CCTGGTGCCTGAAGCCAGCGCCCCATACAGAATGTCCTTGGGGATCCTGCCATCTTCCATTGCGTGGACATGACCAAACCAGCTTAGACGTTGCTAAGATAGGAGTGCGAACATGCTAGGAATTGGGAGAGCACATCTTTGCTTGAAACTCTGTCCTGACATGTGGTACCCAAAATCACACACACACCCCAGTAGCTATGACCCTGTGTGTAATTATAGCTGGAAAAGATTCCTTGCAAACACAGGATTACTCTTGGTGTATTATATCATCTGCAATCATCTATCAAAATAAATATACAGGTGCCATTGTGCAAAATTCTTTTACGTGCGGATGGGGCTGTATATACATTAAAAAACAAACCAACCAAGGGCATGTCATGTCTCTGCAGTAGATAACCAGAGAAGCTGGGGGTGGGAAATAGTCACAATAGCTAACCATCTAATGATGAAGACTCACCTGCCTGATCAAATTTTCCTCTCAAAAAATGATTGCACTTCAAGCTAGCCTATGCCCATTTAAGTAATCACTCAAGGGCCAAGAGTCAATGAAGGACCTGCGTATTGCACCCTGAATGGAAGGGGGGAAATAGAATTTGCTTATTCTGACATCATGGTTAAGCATTTCTGGAGCTTACATCCATTGCTTAAATGGAAGCAAAGACTGTGCATAAAGTATTGCAACAGGATGTAACATCAATATATTGAAACCAAGGAGATGCACTGTAAATTTTACTAGATGCAACTCTCAAAAGCTCAGTAAAAATACTGTTGCTGCTTTTGTTTCTTTTAAAAGGAAGTATGGGAGTTTAGTGGTGGGAAGATGAATATTGACTGTTCATTCAAACATGAGAATGTCCAAGACCGGGGAAGTTGCATGTGAGAAGTTCAAAACACATCCCAAGAGGTGAATTCACTCCATATGATTTAACGTCACCCATAAAACAGCATTAAGCTCATCAGTATGAGCATGTGGGGGTTTTGCTAGATCAGTTAGCTGGCTATTTTCCTGCTATGAGCTAGCACGGGACTCCACTTTCGGAAGAGAATCTCTCCAGAGAGGACATCTGCTATGGAGGAATTGCATCCAGATGCAGAGGAACATGCAAATGAAGCCCTGGCCTGAATCTTGGGCCTCAGAGACCAGGGATTTAGTAATAAGACCAAGCTGCCTGTTTTTGCCTCTGGGTTGGCTGCGGGGGAGAATATGCTGCTACTGCTGTAAGAATTTTTACCTGGCAACATTGGATGGAGAAGTGAAACTTTTTGCTTGGTACTTGGGGGTTGGGGCGGGACAAGCACTTCACTCTTGGCTATCAGCATCTGATTAGCAAGGAGAACATTTGCTCAGTGGTCAGTTTCACTATGTAAAAGATCAGCCCTGTAGCTTTTGCTAAAAAACAGTGTATAACTGCTGCCTGCAATATGTTTATTGTGCTGTTTTATACTGTTTCTACATAGTTTTATTATTGCTAGCCATTCTTTTCACTCTTTGGAGAGGGAGGTCAGGATATAAATTAGAAATATAGAATAAATAGTAATAATACCAGATTAAACTATAAATGGAATGGTAAAAACAGCACAAGTGGTAAATTTAAAGAGAAAACCAATTCACCGATGCAGCATGTTAATTTAACACCACATCTTCTACTAGTCAACCCAGTGGCCAGTGTGACAACAGAAATGGTGCTGTATGTGACCACTTCCAAAAAGATTTTTGAATTGTCCTAACATACACTGCTTCACAACAAACGTAAAGTTTTATTTGTAAAAGAATGTGCTCCATTGCCATTGATTAAAACAGAAAAAGTAAGTATACTGTGTTAATGCAATGCTGCTCTCTACTGGCTGGAATGAGTCCTGAGACTGAGCTTGTAAAAAAACCCACCCTCATTCAGTGTTAAAAATGTTACTTACGGTATTTAAAATAAATGAGCAGATGTACTAGTAATCATGTGCAGTACTAGTAATTATGGATTTAAAAGTTTGACAAACTTTGGCCCAACACTGGGAAATAGAGAAACAATAAAAAGAAACAAGAATACCTGGATTGCCAAATAATTCATTAGGGCAAAATGAAAAATCTTTGTATGAGACAATTAAGACTTCACAGCACAGTAACGCCACACATTCCAGAATCATGATTAAACAAAACAGATTGGATTAAAGTAACTGGACATGCTAGCAGAAGCCCATAACAAGGATCTCCACTAGTGCAATGGGGTTTCCCCACCTCATATCCCCCTACCTAAAAAATAGCTTGGAGTGGTCAGAACACAAAACAGCAAGGTGGGAGGAGAGGGAAGAGAGTTCCATCAAGTAAGTATTATGTTGCTGTGTGTTGAATTTTATGTCCCATCTCTTGCACATTTAATTCCAAATTATCCCTTTTAAAGTAATGACTGACTGGTGCAACTAAAGTCCAAAATACCTCAAGCCAGAACTCACCCAATATCCATACAAAACAACACTAATTTAAAGGATTAAATCCATCCCAATTTTGTGTAGCCAGGATTTTCACTGTATTGCTATATAGAAGTTCCACAGAATTCAACCCAGTATATATACTTATGGGTGGCATTCAATTAAGTCAAAAGTTAGACCCCCTGAAGTCAGTTCTATGATCTATTTCATATATACATTAGCTGTCCTAGGATTTACTTCACAGTACAAGGATTTATTTGCAGTTTCATAAGGGTATATATTGAAAGTAAATAATTAAATGAGCAAATGAAATGAATTTGGAAGGTATTTTTTTAAAAAAAATAAGGAACAGCAGAAAGGGGGGAAGGAAGTCAAACTTTGAAATGTTAAATTGATTGTAAAACTACTGAAATGTATAAACTTGAAAAGTATAAATAAAAACTTTTTTTAAAAAGGATTTACTTCTCCCTAATTGTACTATTTCTATCTTAACACTAGGCTTTCAAGAGAAAGAGCTGAGCTCTCGATGCCCGCGCCCCCGGCGAGCAGCAGAGCATCTCTGAGGTAAGACCAAAACCAAAAACTTCTCCCGACGGCGGGACGCCGTTTCCTCAACCCGTTTCTACGAGTTGCTCGAAGCCACGCCCACATGGGTTCGTCGCGTGGCCAGAGAATCCTCCGCGCCCGCCTACTTCTTCTGAACGGACAATACAGTAACCCCTTCCCCGCCGCCAAACAGTCACGTGACCATCAGCGAGGCAGGAGGACCGCACGCGAGTGAGGTTGGGCGGAGGGGACGCGGGGAGCTACATTACAGATACATAGTCCCGCCTCTCTGGATCTCTCTCTCTCTCTCTCTCTCTCCCGGCGAGGAAAACGAAACGGGATATGATCGGCACCCCGATTTGACCAATTGAAAGGCTCGGGCGGGCGGAGAGGCGGGACGAGGAAGGGAACCAATGAGAGAGCAGTTGTGAAGGGGGAAGCTGAAGGAAGTGCTGAGTCGAAGTAGCTTAAAGCTTCCGAGTGAACGGGCGGGGGGGGGCGGGGGGCGAGGCAGAGAGCAGTTTTTCCTGCCACGTCGCTGCTGGAGGTGTCTGGAACCTTGAAGATCAAAGATTAGGTGGGATGTGCGTGCGCGCGCACGTGGTCGCTAGCAGAGGGAGGAGCTGGGAGGAGGAGGAGCAGAAGCTGGGAGGAGGAAAGGCAGGAGTAGGAGCGACTCCTTGACCACTGCCAGAGTTTTGAGGGAAACGGAGCTGGAAGGAAGGAGGCTGCTGACGGCTGCTGCTTGAGGCTGGTAGGACGGAGTCCGGGGGGGGGGGAGCGGGAAGTTATGGGTCTTTGCTTCACTCCTTGAAGCGGGAAGGGCAGAGGCGCCGTGTGCTGCCGAGTTTGTGGACTTCCCACAGGCACCTGGTTGGCCCCCTCGGCACAAATTCGCTGGTTTTTTTCTCCTCTGACTTTAGCTGTGGGTTAGGTTTTGCTTGGGTTATGATAATTTTAGGTTATATTTTAGTGGTCAAGATTTAATGTATATTTTTAACTGCTGCTAAATCTGAATGGTCTCTGTTAAACCCAGTTGCAATTCAATGTATTCCTGATGTGTTTTATGATTTTTCTGATCTTGTAAGTGAGCCGGAACTGGTCTGTGACTGTAATAATAAAATTCATTTTAATTGTTGGGTTGGATAGCCTTTCGTCCTCTTAAAGAGACCCTTGACTTAATCTAACCATAAAAATAATAGTTACAGGTAGTAGCCGTGTTGGTCTGCCGTAGTCGAAACAAAATAAAAAAATACTTCCAGTAGCATCTTAGAGACCAACTAAGTTTGTTATTGGTATGAGCTTTTGGGTGCATGCACATTTCTTCAGATAGTCTGGCTTGTATAAAAATAAACAACTTCCATGAAAGCCGGTATAGAAACAGTTTCCATTAAAGTCGGCCTAACAACGCAATTGCAGTACAAGGCTAATAATACTAAGACAAAACTAACCAGTAGTAGGAATAGCCAATACCTATATCCTAACAGAAAGCTTGTTACGGGTTTCACGTGCTGTCTTAAATGAATCAGAGAGTAAGTTGGATGAATGTTATTGTGCAGCGGCTAGGATCCAGAAAGTTGCTTTACTGGAGCTCTGGTTTTACTGCTAGCCCAGTGGACTTCTTTCCTTTTTTTTTTTTTTTTTTACATGTTGTATGTACAGTATGTACAGTGCTTCAGGATGAGAACAGAAATTGTGCGGCGGGGCGGAAGGCCCCATTAGCTAAAGTGGTGCTTCAGGTTAAGAACAGTTTCAGGTTAAGAACGGACCTCCAGAACGAATTAAGTACGTAACCAGAGGTACCACTGTATCACAAACTACTTTTTGAAATAATTTCCCCAAAGAATCCTGGGGGAGCTACAATTCTCAGCAGCCTTTAACACGCTACCATTCCCAGGATTCTTTGGGGGAAGCCATGAGCTTTCGGGGTGTATGATGTGGCCGTGAACACAGAATTTAAAGGAGCTGAATTGAGGTGTTATTTGTGTAGAGCTCTTCAAAACTGCTGAAAGTTGTGCTGTACAGTGCACAGAATGAAACGAAACTGTTGGCGAGGCAGAATCTGCTGGCGAGACAATCGAAGGCCAGGTCCCAATCAGACTTGGAGGATACGCCACCGCTGGACTTCTTCAGCAAGGCTAGGGTAGGTGATGATACTTTCAAATTTTTAAGGATTAATGCTTTAAATAGAATGGATGAGTCTTGGATATTTACAGTGAAAGTCCACGCTTAAATATTGGCACAATAGTTGCCCCGCCGCACTCAGTTTGCAACTCAGTGCTGCAGAACATCAGTGTCGGTGTCCATTGGAGGAAGCAGAAAAACTGAAACATTAATTTTTTTCATGCACTTTCTACAGTGGTTTACAGAAATAAATATGCAGATAGTTAAGAAAAGTAATAATAAATATGCAGACAATTTAAAATATTTTCTATAATTTTAAATTTTATGTGATTTCAATTGGTACGTATAATTGCTGTAAACCGCTTTCATTGTTTTTATGAATTTGAAGTATACAAGTATTTTTTTAATAAAATAAATATATAAACAATGAAGCGTTTTGGCCCTTAAGCATTATCTAAGAAGGTCTTTAGGGTTTTATGTTAATTTTTTGTTCACAGTTCATATGTGATATATGCCTTTTAGATGAAAATGGCTAATTTTTTGATTGCAAACTAACTAAAGTTTGTGTGGACGTCACTCCGAGTCAATAGTAAATTATCTGAAGTATGTATGTTGCTCTGGATAACTCTGTAGAGATTAGGTAATCTGTCTATAAACTGTATACACAAAGTAAAATTGATTCCTATGTTGGGATAGAGTAGACCATGGGACTTAACATTTGGTTATTGTAAGCAGTGTTGTAGGAGGACTTGGAAGTGAAAGATCCAGGGGGATATTGGACGAGGTGGGATTTGAATATTATACTGAGAGGTGGGGCATTTTTCCAATGCGGGAGGGAAAAGAAATGCAATAGCGGGGGAGAGAGAGAGAAAGCAGGGGACATGTTCCCTTTTCTTATTCCGTTCTCTTCCTCAGCGTCCCCCAACAAAATTGAGTTCCCCAATAGAACACTGGAGTAGGTGGCTTTATATTGCTCAGGGTAACGACATTTCTTGAAATTAGTTTCCTGCTTTTTTATTCGCTCTTAACCTTTTCACTGATAGTTAATTCGATATTTGTACTTGTTTAATATTTAACCCACCAAATATTTTATGGAATCTTTCTTACTTATGTATCTCCTCCTCATAGACAAGAACCACGACTGCACCCAGACACTGGCGAAGATGAATCTGCCTCCGCTGCATTATCTGAAATAATCTCGAACATGCCACCACCTGGTAAGGAATTTACCAAGAAAGTTCCCACTGCTTTCATGAGTTTGAGACCTTTGACATGTATTGTCACTCAACTTTTCAAAGGGTGCCTGCCGCCTGTGTCTAAGGAATATTTTAATCAGTTTTTAAATATTGACAAGTTAAATTGACAAATGGAAAGTAGCGGCTTTCTTGAAGTCAAATCTTTTTTTCAAACGATAAATATATAAACATTTTTTTCAAACATAATTCACATAAATGAGTATTTCAAGGTCTTGCCATGCCATCTTTATTAATACAGGTTTCTTTAGGGTGCTTCTGCCAGACATGTTGTCAACTTTAGCAACTGAGAGTGAGGTTTCCATCTTCATTTCTGTACATAAGAACTGCCCTGCTGCATCAACCTGCATGATTGACAAATAATTCCATTACTAAATTCATAGGCGGTTTAGAGATTCTCACATTCTAGCAATGTCAACAGGGATGAGTGGGGGACAATTGCCATATCTGGTCAGATAGAAATCAGGTACATCTGTCCAGAGCAACTTCTTGGAAAGTAAAGCTGAAAATAATACATGTTCATATTGTAAAAGGAGTTAACCTCCCTGAAGCCTTTTGGAGACGGCCAGTATAATGTGCTAAAAAAGTTGTGTGCAAAGTTAAAGTAATCTTAAAGAATGACTATGCTGTCTCTATTCCAATTGGTGAATGCAGTAACTTTGATTTGCTGCTTTCATTGTAAGTAGCCAAGGTGGATACAAATCAATGATTTAAAAATTTTTAAAAATGATTTTTTTAAAATTTAAATTGGATTTTTAAAAATAAAATGCTTTTGGAGGAAAAATCTTTCTAAAGATAGTTTTCTAATAAGGATCTGTTTTTAATTATGTAGCATGAGGCTTTATATGCAATGTTTAAATTTTTTGGTAAATGAATTTCATTAATCCATTCACAATGTCATGCTCTTCCAGAGGTTTCTGTAAGATTATTTGGGGCAGTTTTTCTAACAAGAAGATATTATCACAGATGCTTGTTTTTGCAGTTCTCAGAAGTGTGAATTTGTGTCTGCCGATATAACGTGCCTTTTCGTCACAGGAAAAATGTTATAAACATACAGAGTTGAGGAAAAAACTTTTTTTAAAAAAACTCCCATTGTGCCTTTCCAAATTTACATACACAGAATCAACCCCATACCTCTTAAATGCTGAATTCCAAGAGGTTCAATGAATAGATTGTTTGGAGTGGAATAGATCTGCACAAGTAGCTAAGTGTGAATCTGTAAAAATGAAAGTGCAACCTCGTGCGCAGAAAGTGCAACCTCGTGCTCAGAAAACTCCACAAGTCTTGGGATCTTTGTGTAATAATTGTGCAAGCCAGTTGTTTAACCACATCAGTTAACAACATGGATACATATGCTATAATGTTACTGTTTTAGTTAAATAAATTGTTTAAATTGTTATTAAGGAAATGGTTATTTTTCTCCTTCCAAAAAAGTACAGCAGAAAAGTTGTCCAAATATAAATAGTTAAATTATTAAACCTCACAATAATTTCATAATTATCTATGTATTTCTAATAGTATAACCAAATCAGTAATTTTTGCTATAACAATAAAAACTACTCTGAAAATTTATTATTCCAAAAATGAGAGCTTCATCTGGTTGTAAATATTAAGATTATACCAGGAAGCATGAGTCTTTTTGTAAAAAGATTATTTAAATCAAGTCTTTTTTAAAAAAAACTATTTATTTGATTTGATTAGATGTTCATACAAACATTAATACACATACATTTGCAACCATAATAACAACAAAAAGAAAAAAGGATAAGAAGAAAAACAAAAGAAAAAAATTAAGGTAAGAAAGAAGTACATAAAATAGGTGGATGATAATACACCTTTGTGACTTCCCTCCACCAGTGCTTGTCATTTTTTCATTCAAGTTCTTATTTACATTGCAAATAATGTATCACTACATTATTTCTTTTAGTATACTATTATATTATCATGACAAATTTACGAGCTTAGTCTAAACATACCAGCTTGTTATCTTTAGAGCAGTGTTTGCTCTTGTACTCTTCGAACCATAACCATTGTGACCTTAATTTCTGATGTGTTTGATATCTTATTGCCGCAGTTAATTTTGCCAGTTCTATAAATTCTGTTAATTTATATAGCCAATCCTCTTTTGTGGGTATATAATTTCCTTTCCAGTTCTTTGCAAGGAGTAACCCGGCTGCTGCTGTTGCATAAAAGAGTGATTTTTTCCTTTCTTCTGGTATCTCATCTCCTACTATACTTAGTAAGAATGACTCTGGTTTTCCCCCTAAAGATATCCTGAGCATCCTTTTTAGTTCCTCATGGATGCATCCATCCTATTTAAATCAAGTCTTACTGGCTAGTGATTTAAATCATGATTTAAATCAAATCCACCCTGTAAGTAGTAGCTACAGTTGTCCTTTGCTTTTATATTTATTTGTAAGAAAACTACCAACTACTTCCTTGTGTTAAACTGCAATGGCGGATGCTTATCCTACCACAGAAAGTAATTGTATGAAGTCCTACAAATGTTTGTCCATTGTTATGCAGTGTAATCTATGGGGAAGATGGAAGAGGGTTCTGCTAACAGTGTTTGATTTCTTTTTAAGAATTACCAGGATTTTACTACGATCCTGAAAGGAACCGCTACTTTCGCTTGCTTCCTGGGCATAACAACAGCAACCCTCTCACCAGTGAGAGTATTCAGCACAGAAGGATGGAGTGTCAAAGGCTAAAGCTCTTGGAGGAGGAGGAGAAATGCATGAAGGTGAGCTGTTGCACTTAATTGTTCTCTCAAATTAGGTTCACTTAACGCGTAAGGTCTTTGCCATCAGCTGCTTTCAGGGTACGTAATTCTATGCCGGATTCTGGTTTCTGATTTAAGTTTACACGTTTCTCTTACGTATGAAAATCTTATTGTTCAAACTTTAATTCATAAATTGAAAGCTTACATTATTCATTTGATTAAACATAGAACAAGATTATGTGAAGTCCACACACTTGCTCGATGCAAGAGTGACAATTGTACATGAAGAGTTAATGGAGTTGTATTCAATGAAGTCATTGGATGAACAACTTCCAGTGGTGCAATGGAACTTCCTACCCTTTGTCCTTCTGAAAGCCCCCCCCCCCAAAAAACCCTGCTTTGGGAGTTCCCCCATTCCTCCAGAGCAGGATGGTGTTTGTGTGTACTCAAGCACACATGTGGAGGTTGGGAAATTCCATTGTGTGATAGTTCTGCTTATGGTTTTGTTGGATTCAGCCCATGATTTTTTTAAGCACAAGGAACATGATTGTGCACTTTCACCATTTTTAAACAGAAAGCATCCAGGTCTGGGCTGAACTCTTCAATCGTTTTACGCAAGAGGCAGTTAGGTTTGCCTAGCTCTATCAACTATCGCAGGTAAGATGATTTAACATTACTTTTATGTTGCAAAGCTCTTTTTCTTAAGCTCTGTGGAAAAGGGGAACTTCTCTAACAGACCAGAGTGACTACAAGGTGCCCAATTACTGAATATACATTGTTGCTTATGGGTTTATTTGTATCAGATTCTACAGCATGTGGAGGATGGATCTACAACATACCTTTCACATTTATTTGGTTTGCAGCCTACCTAAAACCTCTTTTGCTTGATTTGGTGGAAGAGATAGTTATCAAAGTACGTTTTTGATCAAATGGTAATCTTTCTCTGTTCATAGTATTTTAAAAACAATCTGTAGTTCTTGTATATAAGTTACTTATACTCCATTTTTATCCCGTCCTTCCTCCCAAAGGGCAGCCGTTATTAGACTAGATTTTATTTCAGCTTAACAGTCTAATTGTTGCTGTCACTGAGGGTGATATCCAACTAACTCACTCATAAATGCATTTGCGCGATTCACCTTACAAGCCCCATCAGCAAAAGCCCTATGCGAGGGCTTCCACTTGCATGATGGGGCTTTCCCTTGTCTCTCCTCCCACCACTGTATGACACCTGAAATTGACTGGTGGGGAGTTGGAGGTGAACCCCCAGAGCAGTGAAGGGGGGGGTCGATCCATCTGGCAAGTTGATAGGGGAGGAACCACCTATTCAAATCAGCAGGCTTAAGTCTCCTTTGAGTATGGTGAACATTGGGTATCATCTATGGAATTTCATTGATGTTGATAGGCAATACACTGCAATTTATTCTCCCCCCCACTATTGGACTTTGCACTGGAAATGATAGGTTTGGGAACGCTCAGGTACAATCCTATGGCTAGTTGGTGGGGAAATATGAAAGCATTTTAACCACCCATCTGTTAATGCCTTGTCAGACTCTACTGGCAGAATAGAAGGGAGTACAGAGTGCAGTCCTTCCATTACCATGTGTAAAATATTTTTTAAAATACTTTGGTTTTTCATTTCCTTCCTGTTGGAAACAAGGGGCCGGCTACATTTAGATAAAGTTCAGAAGTGTATGTAAATCTCCTAGTTTTGGAATGTTATCAGGAAACCAGGAGGGCTTTGGACCCAAGCAGCTTCCTAGAATGTCCCCACCCTTTTGACCCTGCATCATGTTGGGCCAAGGTGTCAGAGGAAGCTGGTGCCATTGGAGAAAGATGCTCCGACACTGGTTCTCCCTGACCCACAGTTCTGTTTGTTATGTAGAAGGGTTAGATCTGATCTGTCCTATGACTGCTGCTACACCATCTCCAGGAGCCACAGGACAGCACTCTTAATTTATCTGATCACTCTAAAATAACACTTGATTGTTAGCACTGATACTGGCTCTCATACTGATTTTGGCTTTGTTGACATTAAATGCTAGTTTCCTTGGTTGTTCTCTTTTCCTCGTTCTGACGTAGGTCGATCCATGAATTAAAAGTGAATTGCATGCAGAGAAGGAAATTGGAAATTGAGACCCCAGATTCCTCTATTTGTGGAAGCAACAATTTTAAATTGATAATGGTAAGTTGGAGGGGTTTTGTTTTGTTTTTTTACTTACGTTAGGACAGTCATTTATCTTGGTATTAAGGTTGCAATGTGATCTTACAGCAACAATGATCTCTTCCAGATGCATCCATGGGTACTTTCAGAAATTCTTCTGCCATTCATTTGGAAGAATGGCAGCTACTAGCTGGATCTTGGGGCAGGGTGGGTGGCAGCGGGGAATTTGGCAACTGATAATCTTTCTGTAACATTTTGAGAGGAGCTTGCGATTTTCTTCATTAGTGGAAGAGCCCTCCTTGGGGAAAAAGTAACCCCTCAGCAATTCACCCCTTGCTTTTGCAGGCAGACAGTGCCTCTGAAAGAATATTCACTGTGAATGATGTCGAGCATGGAGGATGTAAATGTGGTATTGTCAACCTCAGTGGTTTGGGGAAGAATACTCTTACTGTGGAAATGTATGACAACCTGTATTTTACAAACCGCAAGGTACTGCTCTGTCCTTCTTTAAAGTTTAGAATGTATTTATTCTCTTTAACCCTAACTACTGAGACCAAGCAGAAATGTGGAGCACTTAAGTCGATTTCTGAATATCAGTTGCTGGGGAACAACACGTGGAGAGGACCAATTTACTTGTGTTCTGCTTATGGGCTTTCCATAGCCATCTGGTTTGACCACTATGGGACATGGGATGTTGAACTAGATAAGCCTCTGGTCTCATAAGCTGGTCTGCTCTTGTGTGAGAGCCTAGCCACAGTTATCTGTGTTCCAGGTTAGATTATTGTAACTCATATGTGGTTTGAATATGGAAGCTCTTTTCAGAATTCAATTGCAAGACTGCTAAACCAAGACCAGACATTGGGAACATGTTTCATCTCTGCTTAAACAAGTTTTTGGAGGGTGGAAAATCAGTCCTTATAACCATAGGGATGAGATGCTTTTCCAAAGATTGCAGTGCAGTTTACAGTATAAAAGCACAAAATGCCTAACATTAAAAAAAAAAGAAATATTTACACACATCCCACACAAACACACTTTTAAAAGGCCATAAATTGTTTAATAGCCAAAGGCCTGGTTAAAGAGCTGTGCCAATCTGTATGAAATCTATGGATTCTCATTTATTAACTAGATTGTGTTCAGCTTCTTATTCATTTTCAGGGGGTGGGGGAGCAGGGTTATACTTTCATCACTAGCCTGTTCAGTTAATCTATCTGCATTCATATATCCTTGTTCCAATAGGCATTTTCTGTTTGTTTGTTTGTTTGTTTGTTTGTTTGTTTGTTTGTTTGTTTGTTTTTGTTTATTTTCAAGGTGAATTCTGTGTGTTGGGCCTCACTAAGTCATCCGGATTCCCATGTGTTATATCCTTCTTATAAAAAAATTAAGTGCTATCGACTGTCTGGCTCCGAAGCATGGAGCCCGGGTGGCCCTGTAGTTTTCGCTGGAGCTGAGGATGATGAAACAATTGCTGACACTGCTAGAGCACCGGTGGCTGAAAACTCATTCCGAGTCAGACCGAACACTGGTTAGAGCTCAATGTTGAGCCTACCAAGCGGTGATAGCGACGGCGAAGAGGACCTTCTTCACCGCTTCTATTGCATCTGTAGAGAACAGCAGCAGGAGACTCTTCTCAAGTGGTTCACAATCTAGCGGAACCACCTTCACCATCAGGGCCTTGTGACGACCCCAATTATCTCCTGCAACGATTTTGAAAAGTTCTTTGCAGATAGTTGCTCAAATTCAGAAAGAGGTAGACTCCACGGTGGGATCCAGGCTGGGGTGGAAGAGTGCTAGGGTCCTGTCTGGTGATGTTGCATGAGATCAATTCCAATGAGGATGTGAACAGGCTGCTTGGACAAGTGAAACCAACCACATGTCTCCTGGATCCTTGCCCATCCTGGCTTATAAAAGTGAGCCGGGCTGGGCGATGGGCTCTGCAGGCTGGTGAATGCTTTCCTCTGTGAGGGAGCCTTCCCAGACCTGCTGAAAGTGGCGGTTATTAAACTGCTTCTTAAAAAACATCTTTGGACCTGGCCAATATGGCCAACTATCGTCCAGTCTCAAATCTTCTGTTTTGGGGCAAGGTGATTAAACGGGTGGTTGCTGAACAACTCCAGGCATGCATGGAGGATGTGCACCATTTAGACCCCTCCCAAAAAACATGAAAATCGTGTTCTCTTCAGTATGACTCTAGAAAATTCAGTTTTCTGTTCTGGGGCTTTGAACATAAATTAAGTAACGCTACTGCAATGTTTTTGTGCTTTGTGGTAGAAAGAGGAGGAACATGATTTCCATCATTTATCTGTTTTTTCCTTCTGTTTATTCTTAGTATCCATGCTAAAAGTAGGGAGCAGAGATTGGAGACATTGGTTTAAATGGGGGTGGGGAACCCCGTAAGTTAACACTTTTATCTATGATGGTTTCTTGATAGTGCATGTTGTACATCTTGAAATGCTCTGAAATCTCCTGTTTTCTAGTGAAATATTTATTAGTGCAACGGTGGCAGAGGGAGATCTGCCTCTTGGGCTGATTTAAAGTGACACATTCTGTTCCTGCGAGAGCTGTCTGTATTGTCTCTTTAATATCCTTAACTACCTCCATCAAGCTGTGCCTCATGGGCATTGCAGAAACTCTCGGCTGTGCCAGCCTGCTTCCAGCATCTTTGTTCAATAACTCTAATGCAGGTAGTGTATATCTGTTGGGTGAAGTCTTAGGCATGCAGAGATCCTATATGAGACATACCAGTTTTACAGTTCTCAAGTATGGTTTTTCTGAGTGTTATAAGAATAACACTGACATTGCCTTACGTCCAGGCCTCTGGCTTTTGTTGGCTTAGTTTAGGTAACTAGTCAGTCTTCTGTCAGTAATTGTTTTGCTCCCTTTATTGGACATGGTTTTTAAAATTATGTCCGAAGCACGTTGCTAATGTTCAGCCACTGAAAGAGGCAAGCATATGCTTTGGGTAGAGGGCATACTTATAAAAGATGGGATGTAGGGATGCATCGTGCAATTTATTCATCATAATTCCTTCCTCAAAGCAGTTCGACTAAAGTAAATGAGACTGCTTTGGTCTAAGTGGATTATGGCCTTGCTCCCTAGCAGGCATTGGGTCGTCAGTTAAGCAGTTCAGTGTGGCAGAAGCTCTTCAAGTGTTTTTTGCATTTGAATGTTTTGAAGATACAGCGGTGTGAATACTAAAAGATAGGTACCCTATACCGTTTTTGGGAGACAAACCTGGTGTTGAGGATGCTTTGCTAATGGCTTCTTCCTTTTTCTTTTTAGGAGACCAGCCTGGAATGTTGTGCAGCTTCAAGATCTCCACAGCCTGGTCCTGTGCTTGGTGTCTGAATCCTCAGGCTGATAATTACTTTAGCACAGGTAAGGTGCAATACTTTACCACTATCATTTTGAAGCTAATTACTTGTCTGGTGCTGACATTTTGTTTCATCTTAGGTTTAAGTCAACAAGTCCATGTGACCAATGCAGTGACCGGTCATCGTCAGATATTTTCTATCAGCAGCGATGCTCTTGCACAGCAGTTTGCCACCCAGGTAGGAGAGACTTTTTGTGCAACAAGCAGACCCAGGCAATGATAGCCCTGAATTTCTGTGGTTAATGTTGTCACCACTCAACTTAAACAAGCTTTGAGGATACAGTAAAGTTGTACTATGGAGTAGAGCACTGAGCTTTGGTGGAGAAAACCTGGGTTCAGATCCTAGTAATTGAATTTGCCTGGTTTTCTTTGGTTGGTATCATGTAGCTTATTTCAGATGGTTGTTGCTTGGATAAAATGGAGGTGGGGGAACAGCCCAGGTACACAACCCCTCGCTACCCAAGAAGAAGGGTTTGGTTACAAGTAGTAAGGCAGTGTTGAAATCCACTGAATTTGTTCTTTGGTTTTTATAGGCTCCAGTGCTGTATAATGGCTGCCGTTCAGGGGAGATTTTCAGCATTGATATCCGCCGCCCCATGAATACAGGGCAAGGGTTGAAAAGCCTCCGGCTGTTTCATGACTCGGCAGTCACATCTGTGAATCTTCTGAAGGATGAGCAGTACCTCTTGGCTGCAGACATGGCAGGCCGGGTAGAGATCCAGTTTGTTTCACGAAATATTCCATGAATACTGTTTTTACTGCCTTGCCTAAGCATTCCAAGGATGTGATGTGTTTGTTCTCTTACTCTGTCCATTTGCAGATAAAACTCTGGGATCTGAGAAAACTAAAATGTGTGAAAGAATATCACGGTCATCACAATGAACACAGCATTCTGCCTTTGCATGTCAATGAGGAAGAAGGGCTTCTTACAGCAGGTAGGGCACATGGTCATGCACAAAATGGAGTTTGCCTAAAAAAGGCTGTTGAGACAAAGCTGTCTGACAAATGTTTTATATATCTCTAGGGCTGTGTAGTGAGAGTTTTTCCATCGTTGTTCAGCCACTGGATCCAGTGCATTTCACTCACAGTAACTGTACCAAGTCAAAATATTGGTCCATCTGCCTTAGTGTTGTCCACACTGGCTGGCAGCAGCTGCCCAGTATTCCAAACAGACTTATATAACCTATAAATAGAAAATAATGCTTTCCTGCATTTGAATTGTGAAGAAATCTTAATAGCTGACAGGAAACATGCCCAGGACTCCACAAAATGTTTCTAGTCTGCTGACCCAAATTTTCAGAAAATTTCTCCTCTCTGGGAGATTCATTTGCCCTTTCTTCCACATATGTATCTCCTGGGCCTGTGTTTTGCTCTCCACAAATGGCTGAGCTTTATCCTTGGCCTCTGATGTTGCTGGCCACCATCTCCATAAATCCACAGTCAGTCCCATCCTCCTGGCATAACTCTTGCAGCTGCAGCAAGCAGCCTCGCATGATTGAGGAGACAGGGAGGTGTAAATGTAAATGTAACAAGTATTTCATTAAATGGATGTAATGGGCTGTTAGGTGCTAGAATTTTTGTTTTTTCCTTCCTCAGTGGGTCAGGATTGTTATACACGAATTTGGAGTCTCCAAGACGCTCACTTGCTACGGACTATACCTTCTCCACATCCATTTTCCACTGACTCCATCCCAAGTGTGGAGTTTTCATCACATCTTGGAGGCTCCCGAGGGGTTCCCGGCTTGCTTATGGCTGTCAAGCAGGATCTCCATTATTTCTCCTACAAAACAGACGATCCATATTGTCTGTCTGCCACAGAAGAGGACAATTCCACACCACCTCAGTGATGGAGAACAAAAATGTGGAGGCTGTCTGCCCTGCATATTGTTGTACGGAGATGGACTGTGGTTCTTTCCTTTAACATTCTTTATTTTCTTATTTCGTGAACACTTTTCTCCTCAGTTTTCATATTTCAGAATATTGTGAATGAAGTCATGGGAGCATTTAGTTGCTTTTGCTATTTTCAAACACAGTTCTTTGATTTTTATTGCATATTGTCAGCTTCAGATGTTGAAACTCATAGAAGAAAAAATTCAGTATACCTGCGTCCTCAGATATGCCACTTTACAGTTTCCATGCTACATGCTTGCTCCTAATTGTTTACTTGGAGAGCTTATAGGTTTTATATAAGCACACAGAAATAGTAGAACAGTGCTGGCTATCGAGGAAGGGTGCTTTCATTGGCAGTGCAAGCAACCTGCAGGAATATTGCCCATGCCATGCAGAATGGCTGCTGTTCTGGAAATCCTGATTATACCTACCATTCTTGCTTCTGGGCTGAACATGTTCAGTTCCAGTTACTGAGCTTGCTGATTACTCAATACATAATATTTTTCTTGCTTCTGTAATTTGCTAGAAATGCTTACCAAAAGCTATGCCATCTTGCAGAGTCTCTGAGGTGGGTCTGCTCGTGTTCCCAACGTCCTAAGAACTAGAATTATCTGAGAGATATTTCAAGTGACATAAATCAAGCACAACAAATACTTGCTTCCCAAAGTATGTTTCTACTGTGATGGATAGGGAACAAGTACGTGCAGATTTGTGCTAAACCTGACCTGTTCAGCGCACCATTTTACGCTTTTTAAAATAAGTGGATTTAGATTTTATTTTGACTGTTCTTCGGCAACTTTGCTTACTGAAATCTAGATAAGATTTTTTTGTGTTAAACTCAAATGTTTAAGAATTTAAGCGAAAGTTTGTTATTTGTTGCTGCTGCTGTTTTTAGAGATTCTGCATCTTCATCATTCCACGATGAAAATGTTTCTTAAAAAATAAAGGGAGACTGAAGTTCTTAGTGGATGGTGGATTTGAATCCGCAGATCCATTCCAGCACAATAACAAATATTTTTGCAAAGTCTCTGGAAAAGTGGTATGGTTTTTAAGACAACAGCAGCTGAAGGAGGAATTTAATTATTTTACTTAGAGCTCAGATACCAGCATGTCTGATGACACCTAATCCACAATAGCAGCTTGTAGTTCTAAAACGAGTAAGGAGTGAGAGACGGCTGCCAAAGTGGGCTGCCGCCGCACCAGAACAGAAATTGAGACTCTGTTGCCCACATTGGGGGGCTTGGAAGACAGTTTTGGAAATATCAGCACAGCTTTTGCTGAGATAACTGTTAAGCATCATTTTCAAAGGCTCCAAAAAGCCTACCAGAACTCAAAAGACAAGACTTTTGATGTGGAAAACAGTTCTGGGTGTTCTCATCTATGGTTTTAATGAGCGTTTGGAACAGGATATGACAGGTGTTTATGGCTTGCAGATGTATTTGATTTGAAGGTCCCCCAGGGGTGTGGATTTGAGTATACTCATTGAGTTAACTTTTCCACTGGAGTGGCAAGTGGGACTTAATGACATATTGTGGTTAGCATTCAAAAACAATATAAGGCACTTATTCCTAGATGTAAAGTGAAAACCTTCCTTACCAATGAGGATCAGCACAGTATTTCAAGACTGATCTGCTGGGCTGTTTCATTGCAGGGAACAATTTTCATTTAAGTGGGTCATTGAATCCTTAAGATACTTAGGTGTACAAATACCTACTCAGTTGTCAAAACTGTAATTTCATACTACTGGCAACCACCACATCAACCCCCTGGAGAAGGAGAATCTGGAATATGATGCTTTTGAATGAACTGTATAACTTGTGACTTTGTGCATAAGCATAACCGAGAGTCTGTTCCATGTTCAAAATATTTTAAGACACTGTAGGCTTTTTTGACGAGTAGGAATAAATTAAATATTTTGGACTGGAGGTTCTGAATGTGGCTCTCCCTGACATCCCTTTAGTGTGCACCAAGTTCCCTCACCATTCCTTCTTTATTATTATTATTAATTGGGATTCCTTGGTGCTTGCTATTCCTTTCTGCCTTCACACCCTGTGTAGACTAGGACCTGGGTAGCCAGGGTTGAAATCCTGCCCAGGGCCAGTCACTGTTTTTGTCACAACAGCCTTGTGAGGCAGGTTAGACTAAGATTAGAGGGTGGGAGAAACCTTGCTCTCCTTAAAGGAAAAGTGGAATACGTAGAATAAATAAAAATTCTTTATAGGATTGGAAAGGAAGAGAGAGTAGCAGGTGGTAGAAGCCTGTGCATCTTAGCCTCCTGCTACTGCCTAGTAATTCTGAGGGATCAGGGGAATGACCAGGAGTGCTTTGCTTAGAGGTGGGGACAGGTATCTGCTTTTTAAAAAAAGCTTTGGCCATTTCTTGTGGTTGGCCTGTTGTTTTGGCCCATAAACCTCTCCAGATAGGTTTCTGCAGCAGCTTGAATCCTAAGCTGGTAGCAGGCACTCCTAGCCACTGGCTCTTCCACAGAGTCCAAGAGAACCACCAAACTGTATTCTTGCCCCTTGAGAGGAATGCAACCCTATCCTGATAAGACACAACAGTGATGACTCTCTGGATGACCTTCCCAGTGCTTTCATGTAGAGAAATCATAAATGTGTCACCATAAATCAGTTAATGGAAGAATGGTGACTTGCAGTTACCTTTTTCAGAAGGGGAACAGTAGGCTTGGGGAAAATATGATTGTTTTTACTGAATCTGTAAAACAGACTTTGATATTTCTCTTATGATACATTGAATCTTTACATTGAAATAATGTATGGTGAAGGCTGAATTCAAATACTTCATTGTAAACAAAAGAAGAAATGCTTCATTTTTTAAACCAGTATCTAAGCCTATCTTTCCATTTGCCAGCTGCCACGTTGGAAACAAATAATAACTTTGTCACGGAATAGTTGACTCGAAGCCTTTAATTTTGTAACTTTTTTTGGTATGTTTTGGCATGGTTACTTCATCTTACTACAGCCAAATCCCAGACTGAGAAACACACCTGTGTGCTGGGTGAACCATGCACTGCGCCTTGTAGAATATGTAAACCAGGAAAATCCCATTTTGTGGGGCTGTTTATGGTATGGTGTGTGAAGAATATTTATTTCATTTTATACAAAACCTATAATGTGGGATTTAAACTTCAGTTTGGCAGGGGTGTATCACCTTTTCCTACTTTCTTTATATTATCTTATGACAATTCCTTTGTGAGCAGACACCTACTTTTGGCTTCCCATTTAAATTCCCACCTTGGCTGTGAGCCCTGGGAGAGCTGTTCCCTGCCCTGCAAGCCTTTTCCCACTTGGTCTGGGAAGACCTGGGCCCGGACTACTTCAGCTACAAAAGCTGAGGCCGCTGAACAGACTTTGGGGCTCTACTGACTGAGGTGGGGGGGGGGTTGTTGCTGTTACTTTTTATTTTTATTTTATTTTTTGTATTTTTATGTTGATGTTATGATTTATATGGATTTTTTTTAATGTGGTTGTGTACTTTTTGATGTTTTATTGTTTATGACTACTTTTAATAATTATGTATTTTTCATTTTGTAAGCTGCCATGAGCATAGTTTCAACTATGGAAGGGTGCCATACAAATAAAATTATGTATATATGTTTGGAAAATCTGCTAATTTTTATTTGTAATTTTTTGTGCTAGTTACTCCTAGCTGTACTAATTTAGCACCAATACACACATCTCTTTTTGTCAACAGATTATGAAAAGGGTGTAACTAAAGTCCATGGCAAAGGTTGATATTTTTGGCATATAAGCCCTTCTTACTGATAAAATCCCAGTTATGAGATGGGAAGCAGCAAGGTGGAAAGGGAAGGAGAGAAGGCTTTTCAGATATCTTGCCTTCCTTTTATTGACTTTGTGTACACTAAACTTCATTTGGACATTCATAGTTGTTATGTTAGCCTGGTACATTTGCTTATTTGTCTTTTTTTTTTTTAAGGAAGATGAATGCCATTACCCCGAGGCTCCCTTAGGCATATCCCTCTAATGCAGAGGTTTTCAACCTCTTTTGAGTCCATGGCTCCCTTGACCAACTACCTTCTTTCTTGTGGAGCCCAGTTATGTCACCCCTTGCCTGCAGAGCTGGCAGCCCCTCACCCCTTTTTGAACACCCTCCCTTGTGGAGTGTTCCCTCAGCCCCCTTTCCTCGGGAGTCCTCTGGGCAGCCGCAGCTGCCGCCCTTGCCCCAAAGAGACGTGCCTCCTCACACTTCCCCACAAGGGCCTGGGAAGCACCGCCTGGCCAGCCCCAGAGGCAACATTCACCTGCTGAGCTTGTAGCCAGGGGTTCTGCAACAAACAGCAATGCATGCCTTTGGGAGGCAGAGACGCAAGAGGGCATCAGAGGAGGGAAGGAAGGAAAGAGGGACAAAGGCCAGTGTTGCCCGCAGCACCCGACCATCATTCAAGGCACCCTAGGGTGCCACAGCACACTGATTCAAAACCACTGCTCCAATGGCTCACTTGAGGTGGTCTGGCTTTGGCTGGAAAAATACCTCAGTAATGTCTTTTTTTTTTTTTTAAGTATTTACACATGCAGCAATGCCAGCCCCAGGCTTTTTAATTACTTGAGGCAAAACAAAATGGTGCACGTCCCCCACCTTTGCCACCACTTGTGGCAACCGGAGGTGGCCCAGGGAAACTTCAGCGTGCTGAAGGTGATGAGGAGCGGGAAAGGAGGTTGGAGAGGAGCAGATGGCTACAGCAGTGGCCTTGCTGTTTCCAGGCAGCAGCCACAGGTGACAAACCAGGAGGCAGCAAGTGACGTGCTTCTTGGCCTTCAGAGCTTCTTCCAAGCTCCTGTTCTGAGGTACCAGAGGGACCGTTCCCCCTCAGGGGGCGACTGGGATGACAGCAGCAGCACATATTTACAGACAAAGGAGCAGCAAAGGTTCATGAGGATCCCTTCACCTTCCTTTCCGGATCTGCTGTCCATGGTGACTGCCTCAGGGTAATGGGTGGACAGGCCCTCCCTATTGCGGAAAGGATACTAGACTAAATGGGTCCCTGGCCTGAACCAGAAGACTCTCCTTATGTTTGAGGTGCAGGTAAACGCTAAACTCTGAAAGTCCTTGTGCTGGGCTTCCACAGCTGTGGCAGGTTAGCAGAATCCCACAAATGGTATTTCTCATAGAGAGCCCCAGTAGTTTGAAGTCTTGTTTCTTGCTAGAGAATTTTCTAGATTTGTTTGGTTTGCTACTGATACAGCTAATCTTTTATCTGAGGGGTTGTAGTCATTCAGATACCTAGCTTGTCTAGAAAAAAAGGCCCCCTAATTATATTGATGCCTTGAGTCCTTTTGTATCTGGAGATTCCAATCTTTTACTTGGGTGTGATTTTGAAACTAAGGGAAAGCAGCCAGTGTGAAGTTGCTCTTGGAAGCATAAATCTCCCTCTTGTTTCCAATATAATACCGAGTATTGCAGGGCCAAGCAAAATTACAGGTTCAACTTCCCCATCTCCTAAAAATTATGGCACGTTATTTCTACTTTGTGGAAACAGCCAGTTCTTAAGAGCATTGCCACATAGAAACTTTCTCCACTTTCTACAACCAGCTAAGTGACTTAAGGGGAGAGGGGAGGGCAAGGAGAGAGAGTGAGATGGTGCTAACAGGCTTTCTGTTATCCCTCAGATACACTGAACCCACTATGGCACGCATTGTAGAAATGCAATAGCTGGCTTTAAGAGAATGAGGCTGTTCTGTGGTAACAACAAAACCCAGACAAGTCAACGAAACAGAAGCTTACAAGTGAAGATTTTATACAAGGAATGCCAAGGGTGGTCTCTGGGTGTGCAATAACATGGTAGAATACCTACATGCATGGAGAACATACAGAGGGCATGGACTACACAACAGGTTTCACTTGTATTTTCCACCACAGAGTCAAAAATAAAACACTTCAAAGTGCAGTTACCTAGGTTGAAAAATCACTACAAGATAACTTCTCCCACTTCTATCCCTTGAAGAAAAAACCCCCAAACCTAGTTTCTAGTTACAAAACACATATTAATCCCTGTAGAGTTTAGACAGCAGGAATGTACTACTACATAATCCAGTTCCATTTTGGCATGCAAGCCGGAAACTGTCTCTCCCTTCCCAAGACACAGCAAGATTAGGTAGATATACAGAAGAAATCAGCACACTTGTTCAGAAGGGATAGTCCTTTATAGCACTTAATTTCATATTACAGTTCTAAAATAGGGGTCAGTCATCAAGGTATACAAGGTTATATTTTAATAAGTGGGAGAAACAACAGTGCCAGGGTATTGTGCCTGACTATCATGCCAAACTCCAGCTGTTATGAGTGACGACAAATCTCTGCCATGGGAATGTGCCATTCTCAGGAGTAAAAAGGAGAAGGATTCATTCTTCAAACTGATTGGGTTTCTGAAGGTCTCTTGTCATGGAAGCAGAGATCCACATCAAAGTCTAATGCAATAATTTTACTCAGTGGTTTGATCAGTGTCTCAAAGTGGTTCAATGCAGGGTTTTCTCCCTCCAAAAAGACAATCCCCCGATGTCATCAGAAGTACATCACTGTTTTCCAAGTTGGTTTATATGAGTGCTTTAAGGGTGGTTCACATAGATACTGCTAAGAATCTATACTTGGGACCATTTACAGAAGACAAGTGACTAAGATGCTAAGCAAACACTACACTGCAGGTTTGTGGGTCTTGCCTAGTACTTACCTTTGCTCTTAGCCTGAAGATTTTTGATGGGGGGGGCGGGGAAGAGTCCATCAACAAGGAAAACCAAGCATAGAGGAATGTGAACAAGAGAAATAAGGCCTCATCAGCCCAAAGTGAAGCTGAAATAGCTGTTAGAAGACCAGCTTTAAGTTTTGTGTTACATTGTTTGATTCCTCCCATACTTCCACTGCCTTTAGCGCATGGCCCTTCTAAGATTACCATCCTTTCTGCAGCAGCACATATTTTTATCAGGACCTGTACAGAGCCGCTTCCTCATTTCTCTGGCTGTTTTCAGCCATGAGGAAACTCCTTAGCTCTGGATGACAAGGCCCTATAAACAGAACAAAAGCCATCTGGGATAAAATAAATATGGGTGATGGGAGTTCCAAAGGGTCAGACCCAAAAGCTTAGGACTCACTGTCTGAAACAGGGAGTATGAACAACGGTTAGTTCAAGGTGTATGGAACCAAAGCCTTTGTAAGTCTAAGATGCTGTAAACAAACAGCAAAATGCTTCACACAAAAGAATTCCAAGGCACTCAAGAAGCTGTATGTTTGACCCCCTTTACATTTCAGAAAACAGTTCTATTTACCTTTGCTTGTTTTAATTGTAAATCATCAATGCTTCATCAGCCAGCTGCATTCTTAGCATACTCAATAATATAGATATAGAGATACATACTTTAAACTGGTATATAATACACTGGATTTTTGGATTCCTCATTTTACTGCAAGCTTCTCCATACATCCCAAGTTGGCCAAGTCCTGCAGAACTTGTTAAAACTAGCTGTTCAGCAATCCTATAGAAATCCGCACATGGGGAAAAAGGGCCAGAGATCAGGAGCATGCACTCTGGCTGCAAAAGGTTAAAAAGGGTGACTTTTGTTTTATATAACCCTGAGAAGCTACGGTGTTACGGAGGACCCAGAAAGGTAGGTAGGGTTAAAGGTCACCGGGCTTTTTATTGCAATTAAAGCAGACTCTGACAGGATGATCCCAGCCACGGGAAGGGACAGCTCTGCGCTCCAGAGAGCACTCGTCACAGAAACCCTGGCCACAGGCACGGCAGTGGTGCTTCGACAGCTTGATATTGAATTCCTTCTGGCAACTGTGGCAGTGTAAGATTTCATGGTCGGGCACCCAGTAGGCAGGTCTGGCAGCATCCTTCACAAGACCTACAGAGAGTTAGGGGGAAAAACCCACAACACCATTTCTGTTTGTTACCAATAAAGAGGAGGAGGGACTGTACAAAACCCACCTCTGTTTTTGCTGCTCTTAATGAAGGATTAAGACTAATCTATAGGATGGTTCAAATAATTCTCAGGCTGTGGCTTATAAAGGATTAGTGAACAAGTTGTCGATAAGCCCAAGATTTCTGTTTTCCCTGCTTACGCTTTTGCGTGCAACCTTATGTATGGGAACCAGGTTTAGAGAATAAAACAACCTATTGCAGAGCTCTGCATCTTAGCATTAACTTGGTGGGGGAGAGGGAAGGATGGCAGTACCTGTGCAGATTCCCCACACCTGCCACCTGAAGAGCCCTGGTCTTCTGCTTCACTGGACTTCTTTTATTTCACTAAGTGCTACTTGCTGAGGGGGAAAGAAAAGCCTCCAATTCTATACATACCCACTGAACTGAGAAGCTAAAAGGTTTCTAAATGCACCAATAGCACTTACCCAACGGGATATCAATGGCAGTCACTACAGCTCCAAGAGTGTTCTGCACAGCTTCACCAACCTTCCTGGCAATCACTGTCCCCCCTTCCTCATCAGTTGGAGCCTCAGGCACATCTGCATGACAGAAGTTAGGGCTCAGAGACAAAGGCACAACTCCAGCCTAAGACACAGCTGTTCTATTTAGAATTAAAATTGATGTTCCCCCAGAAGTTGCAGCCAGCTGCAGTCAGTGGTTGGTCCCTAACCTGGTAGGGGACAATGACTGAAATCCATAGATCTTCCACACTGAGATCTTCACCGAAGGCTACCTCCCCAGGACGATTCCACCAAAAACTGTTTTGTGGGCAGAATCCATGAGTAAGAAGAGATGAAAGCTCACAATTTGCCTTTCTTGTTACCTTTACTTTCAGCTACTGCCAAGTGGGCAAGGCACAAAGCAGGGCTATATCCTCACAGTAGTATGAGTAAAACTATTGTGCTTCACTACCCTGTCAGTGGCATAGGCTATCTGTGTGACTGTGAAGGTTTTCAAGGTAGCAGCTGTTGAGGGGACTAACTGCCATAGGAGAATTTGCTATGATTTCTCATGCTTAGGCAAGAAATTGTTCAATCTGCAGCTTACTTAGCTGCCCATGCTTAAATACATGGTTTCTACATGAGCATGAGTTGGAAATGAGCTGAAAATGGGAGAAACAGGTTCTTGATCCCCCTTTGTTTTATTTCAGGTTAAGTAAAGGTAAAGGTAAAGGTAAAGGGACCCCTGACCATTAGGTCCAGTCGTGACCAACACTGGGGTTGCGGCGCTCATCTTGCTTTATTGGCCGAGGGAGCCGGCATACAGCTTCCGGGTCATGTGGCCAGCATGACTAAGCCGCTTCTGGCGAACCAGAGCAGCGCACGGAAACGCTGTTTACCTTCCTGCCAGAGCGGTACCTATTTGCACTTTGACGTGCTTTCGAACTGCTAGGTTGGCAGGAGCAGGGACCGAGCAACGGGAGCTCACCCCGTCGCGGGGATTTGAACTGCTGACCTTCTGATCAGCAAATCCTAGGCTCTGTGGTTTAACCCACAGCGCCACCCACATCCCATTTTCAGGTTAAGAGACCCTGTAAATAACAACAGGCCCATTATACCAGGGATAAAAGGGTGACTGGAGTTCTTGAATTCATTGTAATGCCATAGGATCCCTGAGACAGTCAACAAAAGTGTGTGATTGATTCTTTGGGATGCAAACAGATATGCCTTCAAAGAGGAGGAAGGTTTTTCTGCTGTGAAGGGAGCTCTGCTTTCAGAAGTGGCTGGCATGGTGGAGTAATGCAGCAGGAGTGCCTTCCTGGTACAGCAGCCCTGCTGCCAGCTACTGGCAGTGGCAAGATCAGGGATGTGTTGGTTCACTGGCAGAGCCAGTCTGGCACTCCCACCATTGCCCCAGCGAAGTCCTTGCCACACTGCCACTCTGTCCCACCCCACTGCACCAGCCACTCCTGTCTTCTTCCCAACCACCGCTGCCACTCTTGCAATGGCACCACCTCATGTTACGCTTCCGGTGGATGCCTGCTTTGCAGGGTAGGGGGTTGGGGAGAGAACCTAAAACACAAGGATCTTGGCTAGCCATCTCGTCAAACATTGGTTCAGTGCTTTAAAAATATTATTATTATTAATAATAATAATAATACAAGTTATGTGTTAAGCTTTGTAAAACTGCTTTTGAGAAGGAAGTGGATTTGTGAATGACAGAATGGCTAGCCAATTGACACGATCAAATTCAGCATCTGAAAACCAGAACATCAGGACTTGCCTGCGTTTGATCGGAGCAGGGGAAGGTACATTTCACAACAGGCTCACTGCTGAAATTTTTTCATCTGTACAAACACCATGATACCCCCTTGTTGAATCAACTCTCATTTATCCACAGGTGTATAAGCAACCTCTATAATACGTTCTCCTAGCTTGAATCATGCACAAGTGTCTTGAAATGGTATGTTACCAGAGTCATAAACAGCTCTGGTATAGCCCTGGGTAGGTTGCCCTCCAAGGTTGCACACAAGGCTTCTCTAGTGAGCACCAGACTGAATGCTGCCACCTCCTCCCCTTGTAAGCTCAGCATGGCAGCAGCAGAGATGGGTGGCAGCACTCAGCCTAGTGCTCCCCAGCAATGTGCCGAGCAAAGCAGCTGTCTGCTGCCATCTTTATTAATCCAGAATGCCTTGGGAATTCTAGGGTAAGAAAAGATGATAGCTGCTGTGTTCCATTAGCTCAGTGCTCATCAGAAATTAAAACAAAACAAAATAAAGAATGACAGCATCAGCCCAGTCAGCTCTCCAGGGTCCATGGGCAACTATGATGAAAGTGTCGGTTTGGAACTGAGCAGCTTCAGGAACAGAATGACAAGAAAGCATCAACAATGTCCCTCCTCTGGGGAAGCTACTCAGTACATACACACTGTTCTTCTCTATTGCCATTAAATAGATCATTTTCTTACAACCGGTGAATAAATCCATTAATTCTAGAGTTAAAATGAAGGAGATTTAATTCAATCTGAATAGCGATTTCTTAAGATTTAGGTAAGTTGTTTTCATGGAGGAAGAAGACTTCAATTGTAAATGCACTGAGAAATTTGGAAACTAAAATTTATTATTATGCTCCTTCATTTTGCTTTCTCATTATTCTGCTGTTTGGTGGGAGTTGCCCTCTACTTTTGGATACAGGAAGGACCACAGCTGAGTGTCAGGTCCAAACTAGACGAATCACTCAACTGGAAGGGACAGGAGGTCATCTTGCCTGATGCAGGAAATGCACTGCTACCACATCCCTTATAGGTGGCCACCCAGCTTCTGCTTAAAACCTCTAATGAAAGAGATGAGATGTTGGAAATCCACAGCTAGATTCCCCAATTTATTTCATAAGGAACCAGAAGGCCTTAAATCAGAACATTCTCCCACCCATGGGGCAAATAGTGACTTTGGGGTATATTTAGATCAGATGTTGGGAAGCCTTTGGTCCTCCAGATGTTACTGGGCTACAATTCCCATCATCCCTAGCCACTGGCCATGCTTGCTGGGAGTTGTAGTTCCACAACAGGTGGAGGGCCAAAGGTTCCACACACATTACTTAGATGATGCAAATAGCACAGGTTAACAGCTTCCTCCAGTGATGCCATCCCAATCCAATTCAGGGACCCCATGGCTGCTTTTGAAGAATCAAAGCAAGACATCCAATCACAGATCTTCAACATCTCACATAGCCTGACCTCAATCTCAGCTGGGAGGTGACAAAAGGCAACAGGGACAAGCATTTAAAAGCACAACATGATACACCAACAGACACACAAAAGGTTATAGGTTTCCCCCCTTTGGTTCACACACCTACTATGGTCAGGATGGGATTACCTAACTGAACGCCCCTGCCGTCATAGCAGCCATCGCATACTCGCACTGGTGTGGGGCCCCAGCCACGTTCGGGAACAGGGCGGGTCTTGGATGAACAACCATCACAGAAACCTTCTCCACAAGCCCGACAATGGTGTTTGGTGTCATTATCTTTAAATGAGATGCCACACTTTCTGCAATTCTGAAGGAGATAAAAAAACACGACAACAAGCCATTGGACTAAGTAGTTTGGTGAAAGAGGTATTGTTAGTCTTTCAGTCAGCTAAATTGGTGGTGGGAACATCTGGCTAGCAGGGAACTCAAGCCATATCCACTTGTCCCTACACCTGATATGGCATTGTGTGTGTGTGTGTGTGTGTGTGTGTGTGTGTGTGGACCAGGAGTGCCAACTTGAATATTGGGTGGGCCAAGGTAAGCTCCACCCGCATAATCAATCACAAGTTGCAATGCACACACACCATTTGAATGGCAATGCCCATCAACTTGGGGACCCCAACCTGCTCAAATATTTTTTGGGGGGGCAAAGGGACCTTGCCCCTAGGGGCTGGCTCCTATGGTGAGGACACAGCTCTCTGCTAAAGGCCTCCTGAGACAAGCTAGGGCAAGGCAAGCAGGTGTGAAGGGGTCATTAGCATCCACGGCAGCCTCAGAGCTAACCACACGATGGACACATTTCATTTTGCCATGAGGCTCAGGATTGGCACCTGCGTCAGAGGTGTCTGTGGCCCAGCTGTTGAGCCTCGAGCAGAAAGGCTTCTTTCTTTTTTCCTGGTGGGAAGCAGGAGAGTGAGAGCCCACAAAGGGGGAGACTGCACACAGGGCTGTCTCGCTGTGTCTGCTGGAGGCAACAGATTTGTAGAACACAACAGAGGCATTTCATCGAGCAATGAACCATTATTTCATCTCTTTGGAGAAAGAGAAGTAGGGGAAAGGAAAATGACTTCTCATCAGCATGCAAGTATGATGACTACTAGATACCAGAATCTGGGAATTGGGTTTCCAGTAGGCTGGAGCGATTTGATCCGTCAGCCAAGAGGTCACTGCTTTTGTGGGTCCCAGGCTCAGTTCAGACACTGACTGTGCCATAAAGTTCATCCCATCTATGAGGCGCTGAGCAGCATTGTTGTTGTCTTTCAGACTGCAATCCGTCTGCAACAAAAATGGATATTCAATACAATTAACATCTCATTGTGCCTGTCTGCTGCTGACCTGCTGACCTCTACCAAATATTAGAAGATATACATTGTCTTTTATTTGGAGAAAGGAAGTGACTCACCGGTGCAACCACATAAGGAAATTAGACTTCTGTTACTGACTGGGACGCCCCAGATCTTCATGTAAATTCCTTAGAAGGAATTCAAAATAGGAGCTCTGTCTAGGGGCATGGAAGTTCCTAATGCAGGGCTCTGGTCCCTTACTCTCACTCTTTGCTTTGGAATGTGTGGCCTAAACACACTAGGATGGATCTTAAGGAGATGAACCAGGATGAATACAGGAAATATTTTTTGAAGCTGGGCAGGAGAGATCTGGTATACATATTTCTCAATTCATGTCTCCAAGACACAACATGGTGGCGTCAAACTTGGCTTTAATGGCCTGGGCAAGTAAAATGTCTCTCATCGTCAAGATCTCCTGAAATGGGATGATTTAACACAACAGGGGTGGAATGCCTGCTACTGTGGCAACCTAATCGTTTCCCCTTCAATTAAAAGGACAAGAAACAAATGTATGCAAGTAGACTTACACCTGGCCAGATGTGCACAATTTCTGTCCTCACCACGGTATCCACAGGGTCTTGGTTGCCAAACCAGTACTGTCGGCTGCGGTACACAACTCCGCAGTTGGGGCACTCGATCACATACCTGCAGTCAGGAAGGAAGAAGAACTGGTCACTTGAGCATGCTCCAAGTGAAGAGAATGGGAGCAGGGAAGGATGAAGGGGGAAAACAGATCCTCTCCTGCTCCTGTACTCACCCTGACCAGGCATACTTGGCAAGTCCCATCCAAGGGGAATCAGTGGAAGCGGACGTTTTGGGCACCACTCTAACTTCATTCCCACGTTCATAACAGGCCTGGAATGCAAAATATCAATTAAAATGACTGATCTTCAGATCTCAAAGTCCATACCTTCCATTTACAATGAAGAGTTATGCGTTAGTTCCCCCAAAATGGAGGCAACGAGGAATGGCATGGTTTGAACATATGCATGAAAACATTTACAGCATTAAAACTAGGAACTTACTGTTCTTCAGTAGACAGTGGGTGCCAGAAAACAGGCCAGGGAAAACCCTAATTCTTTCTAGCCCAAAGCTGTGAAATCTTTGACCCACCAAAGTGAATTCACAGCCCAGCAGAGGCTCAGAGATCCTCTTGTTTCTGCCTCCAACTGCAAACACAGATGGGTTGTGTAATGTACAGAGGGAGGGGGACGCAGAGTTTGCTCCTTACCGATCACAGGTTGCAAAGCGCCTTGGAAGCTACAATACATGGATTGATGGGCTACATTAATCTTAGCAGGTTATAAGCTATGCAGGCTTTTCTTGTCAACCTCCAGTACCAGAAGCTCTCTTTCACTTGCTTCACTCACCTTGCATGTAAACACTCTGTTATCGTACTGATGGGTGTATCTACACCGATTCTTGGCTTCATGAGGTACCCCTTCTTTTGAATGGTTCATGCTGTTTTTACATCCACACCTGGAATTTCAAAGCAAAGCACACAAATACTCAGAAGGCAGACTGACCAGAAGCTCCCCAATGGATCTCTAAGGCTCCCAATCATTCTTTTGCAGTTGTGGCTTGCATTGGTTGCTCTTTACAATTACAAGCCACATGCAAGCCACACTGCTTCAGCTGGGAGTCATATCAACCTTATGTCAGATGACTGGTAGATGGGCAACCCTGCCCACTTGTCAAATGTGGCCCATGGGTTGTTGGTTACAATTGGATCTGGCCCACTAGCTAAAAGTGGTTCCCCACCCCCAGTTATATAGATTCCAGGCTTATGATGTTACCTAATGCCTTACACACTAAATATATATACAGTGGTACCTCGGGTTAAGTACTTAATTCGTTTTGGAGGTCTGTTCTTAACCTGAAACTGTTCTTAACCTGAAGCACCACTCTAGCTAATGGGGCCTCACGCTGGCGCCGCATGATTTCTTTCTCATCCTGAAGCAAAGTTCTTAACCCGAGGTACTATTTCTGGGTTAGCGGAGTCTGTTAGCTGAAGCATATATAACCTGAAGCATATGTAACCCGAGGTACCACTGTACAGTGGTACCTCCAGTTATGAACGGAATCCATTCCGGAGCCCAGCCACATCCCAAAAACCTCATAACTGGAGACGCCCTTCTGCGCGCGCACATGGCGCAATGCGGTGAAACCCAGAAGTATATGCATTCGCAACCCAAAGTTTACGTATCCAGAGGGATACGTAAGCAGAGGTACGACTGTACAGTAATGTTGGATTTTATTTAAAGTTAATAAGATCGTTTCGGAAGCAGTGTTCTCCCAACAACACAAGAAACAAAGCAAATTCCCAACACGAATAACCAACCGCAAAATTTCTCACCCAAGTTTTACTTAACAGTGACATTGGCAACTCCCTATTTAAAATGGGCAATGACTGGGTTGCTCGTAACATGCTCATTATATTGTAATATAAAACATAATTCTGACACTGTAGATCTTATTCAAATAGTGTTCTTCACATTCCACCTACCCGCAGCTGAGACATACGGAGGAACAGGTGAAATACTCGTCTGGAAAGAAGGAGCTGTGGGCCATCTGATCATCTGGGATCTCACCGCAGAACCTATCACTCAGTGCCTGCAGAACACACAGAGAGAAACCAGCAGTGAGTATAGAGCTAGAGGGACAACAAAAAAACACCAACTTTTATGGAACGGTATAGGAGCGTGAAGCACCTCTTATGTGTTAGATCAGGGCGTGGAACATTTTCGGCCTGGCATGTCAGATCTTCCTCTCCCCGCACCCTGCAGGCCAACTTTAACAGATGCACAGAGCCACTTCCCTGACAAGCATCTGATGGTTCCACTAATCTGTCAAAACTGAACTGTGAGGGAGAGGTCTGCTTTGCCTGCATGTTCCCCACAGGAAACACAGCACCTAGCAGGACAGAACTCTCTGCTCACAAGCTGATGAGTGGAGGGTACAATCTTGCCCTCTGCAAGGGTCTGCTGTCAGTGAGTTCCTCCTCCGCTGTAGGGAGGACTGACGAGGCTCTCTGCTGTGGCGGATATATCTCGCGATAGATTGAGGCATTGTGATGTTTAGCTGGTGATATATTAGGATGTTGAAAACCAGATATTGCCCAGCCCGATCTTCAACAAGGATGGAAAGACTGTCAAAACTGTTAGGTTCTAGCCATATTGCCATTCATTTATTCTTTTCGTAAACCACGTTGAGGTTTTTATTACAATTAAATGGTATATAAATTTCATAAAATAAAAATAAATCATAAAATCCAAAATTTCCAGGAAAGAGAAAGAGAGGCAAAGGGCTTACTCCTACATTGGCAGCCTATTGGCAGGAATTTCCCTGAATGTTTTGTAAGCAACTTCTCCCCCCATCCCCTGCTCACAAAGATTGAATGTAAAGATTGCAAAAGCACCAAGCAGACCCTGAAAACCTTTTAGACTACAGGGGTATCATTGCCTGGCATTACATGCATTTTGGGAGAAGCAGAACTTTACAAACTCCTCTCTGCTGCAGTTATTAAAGCCACAAAATCTCTCTTTGGTTCAGCAGGCAAGAACCATAGATTAAGACAGTGCAACTGATTGCAATTCAGATGAGAAACTTTTCTTCTCGCAACAAAACATTAAATACCTCATGATCAGAAAGTGTATACTTCACACTGCAACATCCATAAATAGATAAGCCATGAATGAATAATGAACATTAAAACCATGGGTAACTATACTCTTCACGTACTGTAAAAATGCCTGTCAAATCATAAACTGAACAAGGAGGGGTTGTGGAAAAGAAGAGTTCGGCTGCAATGCCATGCACAATTTCCAGGAAGTAAACCCCACTGAGCACAGCGTAAATAATCATAGGATTCTGAGAGAACATGTTAAGGATTGTGTTGTTAGTGACAACACCACAATAAATATAGGAGCGTGGTTGTAGGGAAGAAGTCAAAAATTACAACTTCTCATTACATGAGAAAGATCTAATTATATAATAAATGCTCAGTGGAGGATGTTTTGCAGTAAAACTTCTAATTGCATACATATAAACTCTCTCCTCGAAAAACATATCCATCCTCATTTTAAAATACTTTCCCTGACAGCCACTCAGACTCTTACATTGTCCCCTGAAGAGCTGTGCTCTTGACCTCCACTAGCTCCAGATGTTACATCTTTGCTATCTACAGATGAAAAACCATTTAAGGAAACTGAGGGAAAAAAATCAAGGCAAGTCAGAGAATAGGTTGTTGCCTGGAGACCATGTCCTGACTCTCAGTTACCCTGGCAACAAGAAGGATCTTTCCATTGTACTACAGCAGCTTAGTCCCGCCTTGCTTGGCCATTTATGGTGCATTACTACTAGTAGAAGTACAGTGTCTGTAGAAACTACGTTTGCAAACACTGGGGGAAAGTATTAAAGAGACATGGGCTTGATGAAGTACTATTTTCACCTACTCCACAAACCCAGTCCAAAGTTTCTTCTGGCCTTTTTTTAAAAGAAGAAAACAACTCACAGAAGCTGATATGCCCTGGGCAACTGGAATAGTCAGGAAGTACAAATCAGACCTCAGTGTTAGTTGTAAGCCTGCCAATGTCCTCAATTTCCCTCAGTGTCAGCCTAATTGGAGGCAGGGTGTCCATTTTCTCTTGGCATGGCTCACTTGCTGTACTGTTCTGGGTCTGCCTACTCTTCAGGAGCTCTGATACACTGTCTACTCCGGTCAACTTTCGTTCTTTGCTGTTTGCTTTATATTATGGGAGTTGCTCCGTGGATAGGAGGAGTGCAGGTGACCCTGCTTTGGGATTGGGGGTTGCACTTCGATTTCTAAGGGACCTGATGGCAATCAAAGTCCAACCCTCCAAGAATGAAACTGGAGGAATTTGCAATTTGAAATATAGCCACCTGCCCCCAGAGCTGCTGGCTGTGGCGACGGAATCTGTGGTCTTTGTATAGAGGAACAGTAATTCACCATCTTACACTTACTTTGAGTGCCTTGTAGATAACTCCAGGAGGCCGGGGAGAACGGGTCGTATTATTTTCTAGCTGCTGCTCCACGGCATGCCTGAGCCCAGAGAAATCTGTTGGGGGGTTATGTGTCCTTGTTCCTTTGTAATGGATCGAGCTGAAGGCTTCAGGGAAGAGCCCAAGTTTCCGGAACCGATCCTGGACAAGTTTCTCAGGCACCTCAGAAGGGTGATCTAAAAGATTCAATCACTTTAGCTATATTATCGTGAGGTTTGCACGTGTATTTACTTTTTTTTTTTAACATACGTGTTTACACGTATTTGCATGTGCATTCTTGATCAAAACAACGAATTCTCTCCTAATAGGAAACACCTAGAGCAAAGCATAGGCTGGACCCAAAGGTTACCTTCCTTTCCCAGAAACAACATTTCTGTGAACACAAGGGCCTTCAATCCAATGGAGGGGAAATTTCTTCCAATCTCTGCAGCCCCACCACCACCACCACCCTGTCACTATGCTGTTCTGGAGCAGATTGGAGATTGGAGGGAAGGGGGGAGGGTGGTAAAAAACCAGCCGCCCTTTTCTATTAGCAGATGACAGGATCACGGGATCCAACTCCATGCTGCCAGAACATACCTTTTAAAAAGTAGCTTACAAATTGTTAACCTAAATAGATTATTAGAGGAAAGAAATGGGGAATAGGAAGAAGAAGCCCTTTATAGGAAATCTTACTATCAATATTACATTATTTAGATGCAGTTGTATTGATGGCCTATTGATGGGGTCACATTGTTTTTTTAAAAGTGTATCTGCTGCAAGGTGCAACTGATGAAAGCCTCCTCCTCCTCCAACAGCATAAACTACTTGTACTACCATGGTCTATAAACAAGGGATTTTTAATTTATATAATACCGCTTGTTTTCTTGTGTGCACAAGTGGTGGAGGAGGTTTCTTGGTGTGTGTTTTTTACTACTCTACCTATTTCTGTAAAATCAGTGGCAATGACATTGTACTCCATTATACTCCAAAGATGGCAAAATCATCTCCTGCAAGAAAGTTCCAGGAACATGTTCTTGAAACTCCTTTCATTCAGATCAGATCTCAGCTGCTGAATATACCAGCTGGACCACTTACCACTGCTCTTTAAAATGCTTATTTGACTGTCTTTACTGTTTACTGCTTGTTTTACTAATTTAACATTTTGTTGTTGTTGATTATATTGTTGCTTCAAAGCTATGAAGCATCTTATTGAAAGGCAGATTTTTAAAACTTCTTAAATAAAACAAAATAGTTTCTGCATCTTTGTCAGTTTTTCGGTAGTTTCACTGGTGTTCTCCAGAGCTACTGGTAATACTCAGCAAAGTCAGTCCACAGGGAATTCCTTTCCTTTTAGAGATGGGCTGATACCAGGGACGTTCATACTGCCAAGCTTTTTATTTTTAAAATATGTATAAAAGTACTCTATAATATGCAAGCAGGATTTGCATCTATTGCATAATTTAGTCTGCTTCTGTTAGGTATCAAGGGAAAAACTATGGAAGACAATGAAGCCATGCTTCCTGCCACTGGAAATTCTGATCAACCCTGCCTCTGGTTTCTAAGATTTCAACAGGTGGTATACACTAGCTTTGCAGCTAGAATATCTAGAAACTTCCTTCTTCTCCTTGCTTTTAAAAAAAGGACGATGAAATGTGATCCCAAAAGCCATAGTCACACAAAATACACATAATCCAAACTAACTGGCTTATGCTTTGCTATTTGCCAGATGCAAACTCCCTGCATGTTACCTCTCCACCTTCTTATTCTAGATAGTGAGCTAAGTCAGGATTCAGTCCCCAAATCTTCCACGTGGCAACACCCAACTCTGGTTGTGTTACGATACAGATCCATCCCAAGTGATTTACATTGCAGCAACCAACGTGCGTCTACTCACCAGCACCTAGTAACTGTGTGTATACAGTCTCGTGGAAGATAATGACTCCAGGGCCCAAAGTGGACAAGGGAACATCCAGGCCACAACGGGCTGTGGTTGCCTTCAGTTCTTTGGTGAAGTGTTTTAGGTAGGCCTCTGAGGCATCTCCAAGAAATTTGAAGAGATCGTTGTGAAGTCTGTCAGCATGAGTACGGTAGATGATAAGGTCCGAAATAGCCAAGACCTTCAAAAGCAGCCGGGTCCTCTGACTCAGGTTGACAGTGGCCCCCAGAAGACCCTCTGTGTCAATCACCACCATTTTGTGGACAGGGTCATAGGCTGCCCAAACCCCTACCGTACAAGACTCCTGAGCGGGAGATGTTTTAAAAACCTCACGGCCGTAGAAGAAAGTGTGGTTAAGGGTATGAGATTTGCCATCCCCAGTGTTCCCAAAAATAGACACCACCTTTACGTGCTGATCAGGTTTGCAGTCCAGTTTCCTGATAAATTCGTCTTCGTTTGCCACCTTCCAAAACAAGAAGAGAAAGATTGCGTTAGAACTTTTTAATGGAAAGAACCCACTGCTGAAACGGTGCCACTTCTGGGACATGACTTGTAACTGCAAGTGACATTCTTTTAGCCAGTAACACTCTGAGATACTGGTGCCTGCTAAAGACTTTTTTGTTTAAGCAAGGAATGGACGGTAACATAGCTAGCCCACACAGGAATATTTGGATTTCTTATCCTGCCTAAGGATGTCACATCTTAGCAAGAGGGGCAAAAAACTTAAATGATTGTGCAAGGATTCAGTCCTTTACTCTTACTCTATTTTAAAATTCCTAGCATCTAGAAATCATTCTGTTATTATATTTGAGCATAGTTGAACTATGCTGTTATCTTACCTCCAGGAAAAAATATGATCCAATCATAGATTCTTTGCCACTTTAATTACATACAACTGACATACATTTTTCCAGTATGGAGTGAGCCAATGAAAATGTGAACTAAAACTATGAACTATTAGAGGGGGGGTCATATATGAATGGATGTCATGTATTTTCTTGTCCAATCGCAGCATCAATTTGACTTTGTCAATGAGATATGAAATTATACATATAATTTGAAGCATATATCACATAAATTGTATCATCTTTCTTCTCCTTAGCAGGACTCCTCTACATCTAACAACTGCGTGATAAGCAAAATTTAGTGGACGAGGCTTTTCCTGGCATACAGCTGAAGCAAGAGGAAAAGTTTCATCTGGTATGTTTCTGCTTGTCTTTCAGCCTTTAAAAATGGTACAGCAATTCTCCACAATGTACACTATTTAAATGAAGGTAGATATTTTGAGGGAGAAGCCACACCTGAATTCTCTTCTACTTCTTTGAGGCTGTTAGAGAAGCAGACTCTCCAGGTTGCAAATCAGCAACCTTAATTGTTAGGGATCCACTTTCAATGTCACCATTATGTTTATTAGAAAAGAGAACAGATGTGCCGCTAAGCCATAACTGAAGGCCTTATAGCCAAGCCACAGGAAGGTTTGTCCTCACTGAAGTCAAATACAACCTTGACATCTATTGCATTAGAAAACAGCTCCACCCACCCATTACTGATGAAACAGCTAGAAACAAGGATAAATGGGATAGAAAACTGAGGCTGCATCCTACAAAAACCTTCTTGGCAGTATGCCCTGTTGAACAGAGTGAGATTCACTTCCGAGTACACCTGCTAGGGTTGTGTCAACAACTTTTGTAGTTGCATCAGAGAGATACCTCTTTCAAAAGAACTTACAACTTTAAAAAGATATAAAACAGTAATAAAAAAAGAAAATCCAAGACAGCATGACAGTCAAGCTATAAAAGAGCTAAAAACAGCACCCCACAATAAAGTCAAAGTTAATAGGTAAATAATTTTTTAAAAGCTTTCTCTAAAAGGATATTCATAACTGCTTGCTGCCCATGAGCTATGACACCCTTGCTCCTAAGGAGTCTATTCAAAGTCAGTGGAACTGCACCAGTTTATACCGTATTTTTCGCTCTATAAGACGCACCAGACCATAAGACGCACCCAGTTTTTGGAGGAGGAAAACAAGAAAAAAAATATTCTGAATCTCAGAAGACAGAACAACAAGAGGGATTTCTGTGCAGCGAAAGCAGCGATCCCTCTTGCTGTTCTGGCTTCTGGGATAGCTGCGCAACCTGCATTCACTCCATAAGACGCACACACATTTCCCCTAACTTTTTAGGAGGGAAAAAGTGAGTCTTATAGAGCAAAAAATACGGTAAATGGGTTATTTTCAATTTGACCTGTAGATGAGGAACCATACCACCGACTTCTCTAGAGATGGGAAGGCCTGGGGAAAAAACGGAAAATTGGGAGGAAAAACCAGGGGGTTTTTTCCGTTTTTTTTCCAAACGGGGAAAAAACAGCTTTGGGGGGGAAAACAAAAAAAGGCGGGACTGGTTTCCCCCCAGTTTTCCGGGTTTTTTCCAGGCCTTCCCATCTCTAGACTTGCCTAAGAAGAGAACAGAAGTTACAACGCATTTTACAAGCCTATAAGCTTTCACACTGTTGTTAGGGCTGCCATTTTATTTCACTTGTGCTGTTCTTCTGCCTTCAATAGCAACCTCATACCTAGAACCCCACCCAGTTACACCTTTCCTTATCTCTGTAACAGAAAAAGCTTTACCTCAGTGTCAGTCACTAGCATTTGACTATACAATAGAAACAGTATAGATGGATAAGGCGAAAGTTATTCCCTTATCACTGAGTATGGAAACTGACAATGGATGCCTTACTTAGGAAGTGGCCTTATACCTAGTCTGATTATTTGGTCCCTCTGTTGTTTGGCTTGAACAGCCCTCCAGGGTGCCAGACAGGGGGCATTCTCAGCCCCACCTAGTCAGTCAGTCAGATTTGTTTGTGAGAAAGCATTGGTCATAAATGTCCAAAAATGGTACATGTGGTGAATCCATAGTGAATTTGATGCAGGAATCAACCGTGTTCAGCCAAGTAAGAAATTCCAAAACACCCAAATTCTGATGAGCAATGTTAGAAATATACGTCCTACTTAGAAACAACCACAATTTTGTACAAAGAGAAAAATCCACATGTACATTGCATGGCACATATCACTGATATATATCACTGATGATATATATCAGTGTGGGTTTAAATAGTGGTGTTTGGGAATTTCTTACCTGGATGAACACAGTTGATCCTTATATCACTAGTGCACATGGATTTTTAATAGATATAATTTTTTACTTATAAATAACACTGACAATTTTGTGTAAAAAATACAGTAAACCAAGCGACAAGAACATCGTATTATATATTAAAACAGGAATCATTCCACATGTATCACTGCCATTTGGACAGTTTCTGAGGCTGAAACATAATTGTCCAATATATTGAATAAAGGGACACAGACACACGATTTGAAACAAAGAGATTTTCATCAAGAGGGTATAAAGAAGGCTAAATATGGAGTATGAGTTATTGTAGGATAAGAGGTCCGTTCAAAAGCAGAGGAAAAAAACCTTTTCAGGTATATGAAATGAAACAGAATACCTTTACCTATTAGACATATTGTACTGAAACACGGATACTTAATATAAGATACTCCAGGATTTGCCTGTTGTAGGATATTGGATCTTTAAATGTGAAGAAAAAAATAGTATATTCAGTTACAGTTTACCACATGAAACCCCTTATTACTAAAGGACATTTTAACAAAGTTAATATTCCAGATCTGTACAACCTGTACAAACAAAACAATTTTTTAATCCTAAAGATGGTAAAGCTTTTGTTTTAAGGGATTTCATTACATGTCACTCCACACATGTGATCTATGTGATTGCATACCCTTGTCCACATGTATATGGAGGAACAACAAAAAAAGTGGAATTTTGGAATTATGGATCATTGAGCAGTAAGATCAGAACTAGAACAACTGAAACTTTATTACTTCCATATTTCATGGTATACAACTATACACCGTAGCATTTGAAGTTTTTGGCAACTGAACAAAAATTTCAAATCCTCAGCAATATTACTCAGCAAGAGTCATATTGAATTGATACATTAAAGACAGTTTCTCCCAATGGTTTAAATTAAAGATTTGATTTCCCAACATTTCCGTAATAAGGTCAATGTTATACTATGCCTTCCCACTTTGGATATATTTTGATGGGCATTTATGTTATTTAAAACGTGTATGGAAGAAGTATGTCATTGTCCTGTCAAAGGAGTAAAGGTTGTACAGCTGACAAAACAGAGAAGTGATAGTAGGAGAGTTTCCTTAGGCCAGTAATGTTACAGTAGTACTTCAGACAGCTGTTTTGTTCTAACTACTGAAGCACATTTAGAAACCAATAAATATGAGGAGTTGCTGTTATTTTAATGTGATAAAGCAGGGAACTAATGTACCTTATAGGAAATAATTTTTCTATAAAAGAAAATACTTCTAAGTTAGAAGAACTGCAGCACACAGCTATCTAGGAAAAACAATTGCATTACATAATTCAAGTTGGAATCCGTCTAAGAAATGTAGAAGTTGTTTTTCATCTATGGAGCTTGAAAATGGATGTTTTACAGGTGATTTGTAGTATATGTTATTGTTGTAGATGGTTGATAACTTTTATTATTAGCACAGTATGTGGACTATTTGGATATAATTTGGGTTCCCATTTGTTGTGCAAACATAAACTCGAAGACAACAGTAAGCTTCCTTAACCTTAAAGGCATATTACAGCTGAGAGTGTGATTTTGGCAAGACTCTACAGGAACTCATCATTCTCTTTGAAGCTCTTTACTTATCTACTCAACCTCAGCCTCCCTTTAATTTCCTTATACCAAGTAGGTTAACTCTTTCAATGGATTGCAAAACTAAGAACACTGTAAGTATGATGATTAACTGCCATGATAGTCTTGAGGTCCAGCAAACAGCACTCTCAAACCTGAACAGACTATGCCAGACACAGTGCAGAAAAACAGAACTATTATGCAGCCACCGTTACAAAAGAAATTGGAATGAAGGTTCAATTCTGACATCCAACAAATCAGCAAGTATCTGTCTGTTTACATCTTAACCAACTTGCATTGGTCATACTTATTGCAGTTCAAAGCTGCCTTGTGGACTTTTGAATTCAAATCCTAAGATCTCAACTCCTCTAGCGGCCAGACCAAAGGTTCCTTCTGTGACATCAGAGCAGTTAACCCAGTGGCAGCAAGAAGACTTATGATGCCTCTGCCTACTGTGACATCATAGCAAAGAAGCCATTGCTTCCTGACTTCAGTGTATGCTACAAACTACAGAAGAGTTTCTCTGTTAGGACAGATATAAGTGACTTTGACCATGACCTCATTTGTATGTATTTGAACCAAGTGGCTTTGTTAAAGTTTGCAAGTTGAGGAGTGGGAGGGAAAGTGAGTGGGTGAAGGAAGAAGGGGAAACTGATTTTGCCATTGCTAATACTTGTTATATGCGCTATATAGGAGGGAGGGAGAGAGAGAGAGAGACAGATTTAAATGTAAGGCACTTATGTAGAGGCTCTCAAAAAAAATTTCTTTAAAGACTGAATTGAGGCTGTAATGTTAGCTACTTACCGTGCATCTTGCCCACTCAAGAAAGTATCCACCCCACAACTGTCAAGTTGAAAAGTCACAAAGAATAATTCTATACTACAGTGGTACCTTGGGTTAAGTACTTAATTCGTTCCGGAGGTCCGTATTTAACCTGAAACTGTTCTTAACCTGAAGCACCACTTTAGCTAATGGGGCCTCCCGCTGCCGCCGCACCGCCGGAGCATGATTTCTGTTCTCATCCTGAAGCAAAGTTCTTAACCCGAGGTACTATTTCTGGGTTAGCGGAGTCTGTAACCTGAAGCGTATGTAACCTGAAGTGTATGTAACCCAAGGTACCACTGTATATCATTGGGTTTATTCCCCCCAATATGATGCTGCCTTGAGTCCCTCAGATAAATCATGCAGATTTAATTGTCTGCCTTTCAAAAGTCACAACATTTCTTACCTGGATCTCCTCTGTTTCATCTACCAACAGGAAGCTTACAACGTTTTCTGTCATCTTCTTCCTCTTGGTCTCTTCATCCATCCCCTCCTCCTCCTCGTGAGATTTGTCACCATGGTAAACAGTAATGGGGTGCTTCCTCTTGTTTCCACCCGCATGTGTCCTCTTCTGACACTCTACACAGAGGTTAATTTTGCATGCTTGGCATCTTATTGCTGCCCTCTGTCTGGAGTTTATGATATTGCTCTGCATGATATTCCCACTGGCAACCTTGCAGGTGTCACAGTATGGGACATGGCCGGCTTTAATTCGGGTCCGTTCATGGTTTCGTAGCCTTTCCTGCCTGTGTAGTTCTTCTTCACACCGCTGGCACTGCAGGCTTCCACACTCATCGCACTCAAAGGTTGCTTCATCTGTGCCACTGCAAGCATAGCTTTCCTGGCACAAAAGGGCAGTATTCAGTCCCTTATCAGCTGTTGGAGGCTGGGCACTCATTTTCAGAAATTTTGCTGTTAGCTTTACAATTTTTTAACAGATATGTACATTGGTTTTCCAAAGGATTAGAATTTGTATTTATCTTAACATTGAGGAAACTCTGCATATGTTGATATTTCTATTAAAGAATGTGTCCGTCTTGATTTTCTCTCGTCTATAATGGTATCATCATATGCAAAGCCAATGTAAACACTGCAGCTTTCCACAATTAAGGACAGGCCCAAATGAATTATGGGCTTAAAAGTCACACTGAGGTTAGATATGTGTAAGAAAAACAGGGATATGTTTCTAAAATGCAAGCCAGATCTTTTCCCTGAAAGGCCTGAAAAAGAAATAGGAAAAAGATTTATAAAGATAACATCAGTGGTTTTATATTTTTTTAAAAATCAACAGAAAATTCAGACAATATTAGTAAACCTTGTGCTTTCCTGTCACAATTCAACTCCTCCTGAACAATGCAAAGCACTTGTGGACATTTTCTGGATCTATGTTTTTTGCAAAACAAGGAATGTATTTGTCTGCTCACAGCAATGCTATCTCAGACAAGATCTTTATTTCAGCTGCAATTATATCTGAACAAACTAAACTTCATCACACAAAATAAGCAGAAGGGCCTTTATAAAAGTAAGTGGCATAGGCCCCAATTCTATGTATATTCACTCAGAAATAAGTCTGACTTAAGTCTGGTGGCAGTATATAGGATTACAGCCTTAGGAAGCACGGAAACAAATCTGACCAGGGAGAGCCACATCAAAGCGCCACATATTTTTAAACCCTACTGTCTGGGTTTTTATTTTTCCCAGCGGTGAGTATCTACTTACCTTAAATTAGGACAATAATAAATTACAAACGTAAGTCAAGCAATGTTTAAGCCAGCAAACGGGGTGGGGGGGAGGGTAGGTGTCTTACAGTAAGACCATTCCATCTGTTTACATTTGTAACTTATTTGCTTCCAAAACAGGACCTTTTGCCTTAAAGCACAATAAATATTTGTCTGCCCATATTGCCTAAAAAAGGGCAAAACATATACCTAACGAGCTGCTTACTTAAGGTTACTTTAAATCACAATAGGAAAATATTGCTATATACTAAACATTTCTTTTAAACTAGTAGATCTTCTCATAAACAACAACGGGGTGGGGAGGAAACAGAATAAACGAAATGACAGGGTCTGCCTAGGAGTAAAATATCCCCCCCAACATCCCGATCTATTGTTTACAAAAACAGTAGGCACCTTCCTCCTCCTCTTCCTCCCTGGAAGTCTTAGTGACTAAGTAATCAGATCACAGTCTCCTCCTCCTCCTCCTCTGAGCTTCAAGGATCGAGCTGGGCAGATCCTTCCTCTCCCCCGCAGGGTTAGGGCTTAGCTCCCACAGTGCCTGAGCCCCACCATGTAGACCTGGGACCCCCTAGGAGGGATCGGGGCCAGTCCAAAGCTCTTCTCCTTCTCCCCTTGTTGTCAGTCTTGATCAGCTGATCGCAGGGAACTTCAGGGTTATTTTTTTTTCTAAGACAGGAAGGTGAGCGGTCGAGGGGGGAAAGGCCGGGTGCATTATGGGAATCGTAGTGCTCAGGGGGCGGCGCTTCAACGCGTTCGGAGCGGGGGCAGAACTACATGTCCCAACATGCACTGCGGAGAGAAGTTGAGCCGCCTTGCACAGCATCCCGGGAGATGTAGTTTCAACAATCCCTGGGCTCGTAATTGTGACAAGCCGCGGCGGCGGAGTGAGGTTTCGTAGGAGGAGGAGAATGCATGGATGGGTGTGATGTGGCATAACGTGTTGTGTAACGCGGAGGGATAAAGAGAGATTATCGGATAGGGGTGGAAATTCGTATAGATGTAAGCTCTTCGCCTTTATGGAATATTAGGGTTGACTGCGGCGCACCTGGGAGTTCAGTTTGGCTAAGGGAGCAAAGAGGAGGTTGCAACAGAGCCCCATAAAACTCCCCTCTGGTTTATTCCCAAAGCGAGGCTTCCTTCTGGTTTGCCACGAATTATCTTTAGAATGTCAGTTTAGGGATCTCAAGGGCTGCAGGAGTTGTTAACAGAAAGCGCTTCGAACCTGTTCTCCCGGTTCTATCTTTTTGATGGATGATGAACTTCTGTCCAGTTGCTAGCAGAACTTCCGTATAGCTATGAGTGAAGTTGGTCCGTTAAACTTGGCTTTGGCACTGGGAGATCTACTGGCAGAAAACTGGTAGAGTTGGACTGGAAGCTGAAAGTGATTGCGCTATATAACAATCTGATGAAGGATGAAGAGGATGTCAGGAGGGGTCTGCAGTCACAATACAAGTTCCCAAACACACTGGTGTAGAGCACACACTCCCAGAATAATTGTACTTTGAACTAAAGAGCCTGAAACTATGATATATATGTATAAATGGAAATCTTCAAACTATTCATCAGTAATATAAGAATAGTTGAGCATAAGTGATTATGTTACATTAACACATTAATAGAAACAGATGCTATACATAAAGTACATGTATTGGGTATTAAACAAAGATGCCAATGCATATGCTAATCTGAGCATGATACTAAATAAATGTGTTGCCAATAAAGTCACATAGGTTCAATAAAGATGAGCATCCTAATGTGTAAATTAGCAAAAGTTTTCTATAGGTGTATACAAGGTTTTTTGAGATCCAAAATGACCAACACGTTTTGAATTCAATAGAATTCTTCACGAGAAAAACCTTTTTCTGTTTTGCGTTCAGCTGCAACATGTATCTTCACTCTCATTGGACTGTAAGGTTGCAATCCTTTAAACCCTTAGTAAATGGCTTATTTCTGAGTAAACATACATAGTAATGCAGTGCAATGCTACAAGCCTGTACATATTTCTCTGGAAGTAAGCTTCACTGAATGCAATAGGACAAAATTGTACTGTGCTGGTAGGAACAGTAGAGTGCAACTACTTCAGATTTTTTTTAAAACCACATGAAGATTTTATATAATTTTTCAACTATTTTTCTACCCACATGGTGTACCCAAGGCAACATTCAAAACTCCATAACTACAACACACAGATATCTCATAGTTTAAGGCAAACAAAATGGTATCTCTATCTACTTATTCCTGTGATGTTGACTCCTTCTCGCTGACTTTATACATATCTATGGTGTGATCACTCTTGGAATTCTCTTGACAGTTCTGGTTACCACAGAGCTGGAAAAAGCGTAGAAAATGACAAACAAAATAATCAGGAGGCAGAAGCAACTCACTTCCAAGAAAAGGCTATGATGTTTTGGGACTTATTAGTTTACAAAAAAATTAAGAGTAAGTGGACATGATAGTTTATAAAATGATGCATGTTGAGAAAGTTGTTAGAGCTAAGTTTGTGCGTTGAACCACTGTCAAAGCACAAAAGCTGCTCAAAGGTCTGGTTGGCAACTCTACAAGTGTCTTCTGTTTCCCCCAACATAGTGTGATCTGGTTGTAGCTGACTTCAGGAGGTGACTGTAAGGCAGGGAGCTGGATCTGCTAATGGGCAGCTGCGCCTCCTTTCGCAGTTCTCTTAGGTTCCCGTAAGCTTTAAGGGAGGCTACTCAAATACGTAGTCAGTTGGTCTAGATAGGATAATGGAGTCCTGCTGCAATGCTACCACATTGGGCTTATCAGGCAATACAGGGGAAATTGCCATGGGGAAAGGAGGGGGTCAGTATGGCTAGTTGGCTAATGGAGGGACAGGATTTTACTCCATGCATGCATGGTTGGCTCAGGTGTGGAGGCTGACCCTTCTTTCCTAGTGTGCTGTGTATCCTGAATTTGACTTAGGGCCCTCCAAGCATGCAGCAATTGTTCCACCAGCCCAGGGCTCCTCTTGCATCACCTATGTTCCTGGTACCTATGACTGCATGTTGGGGTTGTGGGCTTCAGAGTGACAAATGCTCCATGACGTCTGTACTTGCCTTCTGCTCTTATGGCTAAGTGTGTAGGCAACTGCTTTGTGGTATTTGAAGTGTGGTCTCAAGTCCTATGTCCACTGGGAAGGATTGTTGGGGTGCTTCCCAATTAGCCCACTCTCCCCTGTTGATGTTCAAACTTCTTTCCCAAACTGTGCTTTATGGAGTGTGCCACTATGTCTGTTGGAGTGAGTACACTGTAGCAGTGTACGTTCTGCGTGGGGTGAGTGAGGAAGTGTCTGAATCAGTGCAATGATATTGGCTGCCTCCACATGTCATGTGGCCATTGTTAGTGGTTGTGGCATGTGTTTGAGCTGCATCAGGGAGCAAGGGTGGGCACATCTATCCTTGTTTTTGTTTTTTGTTTGGAGATGTGTTATTACTAACCTCATGTATGGCAGGCATAGGATGCTTCAGCTATAATGTTGGTGTATTGGAGGCAATTCTATGACCTGGCGTAAATAAGAATATAGCACAACTTTATCAGAGTGGGGAGCTAGCAAAGCAAAGCAGTATTTTTTTACTGCACTTTGCCTTGCCCAGTGCAAGAACTGGGCTGTAGATGTGAAGCTGGCTTTGCCACTCCATCAAGCTCTGCTGAACGACGATTAGGATTGTATTCTAATTTTTTGAGAGCAACTGTTGTAGCCCCAACCAAGGCTGCATCACAGTTTAGCTAACGCTATCCAAACTCTCAGCATGATCACTCTGTTAGTCACACAGAAACACACACACCTTTTCTCAGGAAACTTCAACCTTAGCTTCTATTGAGGGAATGCCAATGTGGAACAATTAGCAAGCAAATAAATCCTGAAATTGTATTGTATTGTTTTGACTGCTTAATGAGGAGTTGTCCATCAGCCAGTGTAATGATGTGTAAAGATCAGAATGCAAGGTATGTAAATGTAATTGCATAAAGCATAAATTAAAATATAGTTGTTACTCTACCGAGTTTAATTGGAAACTGCTTCATCAATAGCCAGATCATCTGCCACATCTTAATATTCCCACTGAATATTATTACTTGTATCTTCATTACTTGTATTGCAAGACTGCTAGTTGTTTAAAAACGGTTGTTACTCTGAGCCTATGGAACAACAAAGGCTAAATATAAATCCATGACCTGTAGTCTTTCTGTCTGTCCTTTTCTCTTTCTATCCCTATTCAGGCATTATATTCATGAATAAGTAATATACAAAAGCTGAAAGAGTGGGGCCAGGTATGCTAGTTCCACCACCACCCCATCCTCATTCACAACTTACATTATAGTACTTTACATCAGGGGTGGGGAACCCTTTTCAAACCAAGGGGCCACATTCCTTTCTGGACAACCTTCCAGGAGCCACATGCCAGCAGTTGGTAAAATCACAGGCAAATGTGGGCAGAGCAATGAATCTGTATTTTACCTTTGTGTGGCAAGCTAGTTTATTCACAGAATTGCACACCCCTCACTAACCTCCATCTAGGCAAGCAAGAAATGTAATGTGTTAAAGGACAGTTTCTAGCCATAAAAAAATCACCCGAGGGTGCAAAGCAGGGATGGTGAGAGGTGTGGTCTGAAGAGGCCTGAGGGCCAGATAGAGAGGCCTGGATTTACACGATTAACTAGTACTTTTTTTATCCCAGGCTGATACTGACATGTACTGTAATTCATGTTTTGACGTGTTCAGTCTAGAAGCTACACAGGAAACACCTCATAATTCAGTATTATTCTAGTGAACAGAGTGCTGAGTGCTTTGCACAAATTTTAGTGACCATCTGCTGCAGGAATCCTGCTCTGCTCCTGTAGATTCCCTGGGCAATGTAGAACCCTGCAAAACTATTCAGAAACCTATTTGTATTTTTTGTTTTAAAAGAGAAACACCTGCATTAGCATAGATTCAACTGTACTCATGCGCAGAAAGAAACATGGAATTTTATTAAGAAATGGGGGGGGGGAGGGTGTTTTTCTACTTAAGAGCTTGTAAAATATGAACAGTCTAGAGAATAATGTAGCCTGGGCCCTGAGCGTATGTATGTGAGGTGTTGTGTATTAGTGGTTTGTAATAAGAGTTAAAAGGGGTCCTTCTCCAGGAGGGAGTCTGGACCTTTGGCAGAGCACAATTGAAAGCCCTTACCGGCTAGTAAAATGACAAGAGACCAGACCAGAATTCTAGTGAAAAGCAAGACGGCTAGGTAAGCCTGACCTTTATTTTTAAAAAACTGTTGCAACAGGGTGCTCCCCCACACGCAGGAGAGAGGAGGACCCAGAACAAAGGTGTGCCCACGGTTATATAGACATTTCAAATTGCCCATCCTGGAGTCCAAGACCACCCTCCAGATACATCATCCCTACATCACAGAAATCTGAGTGCATTGTTTTTACCCTGTCTGCCAGGTTACCTGTTAATTAGGTCACTTGACTGAATTACCCATGGAGTCTGGCCATCCTTTTGTAATGATAATACTTAATTCCTGAGCCAGGTCACAGGCTCACCCTATTCACACCTTAAATGTGCCCTTAAGGCAGGATTTGTGAGGACAGAGACAATAGGGAAGTTTCTGCATTTCCTTCGACCTTGTAGAGAAATATTTGAGGTGACTGAAAGAGTCAAAATGGCTTTAGGATTTTCCCTATGGGTTTCAGACATGTGGTTTTATATATTTATATATGTGTTTGCTCGGTACATTTATGAACATTATATATATGTGTGTGTGTGTGTGTGACATAAAAATTATTATAACAGGTTATAATGCCAAACCACAACAGGGGAAATCAGACACAAGTTCAAAATCTGCCCCCCCCCAATTAATTTTACTTGGTGACCTTTGGCCAGTTACTACTCAACTTGATCTACCTCACCGAGTTCTTTGGATTTCAAGTTTCAAGAATAAAGCTGCCCTACACCAAGACACCTTGGCTTCGCTACCTAGGAACAAGGCCGCAGCAGGTTCCTTATTTTCATAGTTTTTCCGAAGGCACTGAAGGCAGCCTGCTATTGAAGTACGGAGCCCTACAATTCAGGGTTCCTGAATGTTTATCGTGGCTGTGCGTGTCTAGGAAGCCATTTCGCAAACGAAGAGAGCCCCAACAGCCTCGCTTGAAGCGCTGGCGTATGCTTATGTATGAAGGGGTCGATGAGAACGAAGACGCTCTACAATGTTGGTTTTCCATGGTAAGAATCCAAAGAAGCTCAGATGTGACCGGGAAATGGCGGCTCGCCGCAAAACATTATGCGGTAGTGTTGACTGCCCACAGCAAAGATGGCGACAGAGCCGTCAAGCCGCTCGCCCTCTTTGCAGGTAATTGACGAGATGCACCACAGACTTCATTCCTTCTGACGCTCTTCTTGTGTGAGCCAAAGGAGGCCGCTACTCCTAGGAAACATTGCAGCAGGGGCAGAGGTTCGCACTTTTCTCTAACTCAGCTTTAACCCTCGGCGATTTTTCTCCATGAGAAGACTAGTTAGTCACAACTCTACCCTCTGAGAGACGGGCGGACAGGCCGTCGGGAAGAGCTGAGGTGATTCCGAGAGGTTTCTGTTTCCTTTCGGACGGGGGCGCTCTAGCTCCTCTCTCTATGGTCGGCCGCGCGCGCGCTGCAGCCCGGTCTTCTGACGAAAGGCGCTCAGGGGCGGCCCCTCACGTGACCAGCGGCGTAACGCGACGGCGCCTGTGGCTCATTGCGGTGCGTTCGCGGCCTAGTTGCCTTTGCCGGGTTTAGAGGCGTCGCGAGGGAAAGGCCTCGTTTCCTCCGGCAGCGCTTGCGGTGAGAGGCGGGTGACGTCCGGGCCGCTGCCGCTAATCCTCCTCAAGGAACGGGGAGGGGGCGAGGACATGACGGGCCTCGCCGGCATGGGGCACCTGCGGTACTGGGCGCCACTCTAGCAGGGGGCGGGAGCGGGTTGGGGGGGTCCGCTCTTGGTTTCCCCGGGGGAGGGGGAATGGCGGAGTCCGCGACCTACAGACCACGAGGGGGGGAGCTGGGCGGCGGGATCGGGTCCTCTTTCGCGGGAAGGGGGTTGTTTGGAGGTTCCCCCCCTTTCTTAGCGGATGGGCGGAGGGAAAGGATGTGGGGGGCGCTAGTGGGCGAGAGCTTCTTAGGAAGGGAGGGCCACACTCTCAACCGCCCTGCGACTTAGCCCGTTTAGAACGAAGCCTTATAGTCGTGTTCCTGGAAGCCCCCTGCGTGTTTTGTACACGGGCCTGATTCACGACGTGCGTGTTCAGAGCTTGACGAGAACCAAGCTTTGACTCGTGCGTGTGAATGGGGCCATCGCAGATCACGCACCGTAGGCAGAATTGTCAGCTTGTTAAAGCGCAGTGTTCTTGAAAGGTTTCACTCGTGCAAAATAAGCTTCTATATGACAGTGCGTTGGCAAATGGGTAATTTTATTCCAAAACGTTGAGCAGCAAGCTGAACTTCGCTATCTTTCAAGTTCAGCGTGTAAAAAAAATAATAATCCTGCAGCTTCTATACTTGAACATGCAGATAATCTCATAGAAGTACCTGCAACATGCCCACATAATGGGGTTGGGATCAATCATTCATAACTGTGTTTTAAGTAGCAGGTTATTGTTCCTTTATTGCAGGCAAGGCTGTGGAATGTAATGGTAATGAATCTGCACAGCTTCAATGGAGGTTTTCCATTATGTGTGTGAGAAATGTGTTTTAAGTCTTAATAACATTTACCTGAAATAAAACCCCAATGGAACTTGGTATGAATTAGACTTGCAGCAGAAATAATGCTGGGAGAGCTGGCATATTGATCATAGCTGTAGAGCATCAACTTTGCATGCAGCGGGTCTCAGATTCAGTTCCAAGCATCTTCAGGTAAGGCTGGGTAAGACTCTAGTCTGAAATCCTGGAGAGACTGCCAATCAGCCTAGGTATTGCTGAACTAGAAGGCCGTGTGGTCTGACTGCTTTTTATCTCTAAATATCTCCAGAAAATTCATGTTAAATTAGCACTGAACATTTCAGATCTTTTTATGCAATTCCAAAATACAGTAGTTCATAGTCCTCTGGCTCTGTTTCCGGTGACCCTCAAACTAGTTGTCTACTTGTGTTTAGGCAACATTTTGATAAAATGTTAAGAAAAAATGCTAACTGTATTGCAGCTATAATTTCTTCTTTTTTTCTTGTTTTTTAAACCAAATGCCACCAGTTAATCCAAACTTGCAGTCTCTGGTGCAGACTGATTACTGATATTTGTTCAAGCATAAAATTATCTATAGCAGGATGAAGAGGAGTACCTTAAAACAATTAATACAATGTAAATAGCATAATTTTAGGTGTATCAAAACAAACTTCTATATATAGTCTTGGCATTTTTTTTCTTTTCTAAGCATAATAGTATTGCAAATACCGTACTTTTTCATGTATAACATGCCCCCTTGTATAGCACGCCCCTATTTTTGGGGATTCCAATTTCAGAAAATGGCCCAAAGTTGTTGAGCTTTTTTGGGGGGAATGCAGTAAATCACTAACCCGGCAATTGCAATCGCTTGCGCTGCTCGTTAACAATCTCATCAGCTACAGGAGGCTGCCCGATCGCCAACAGCGGAAGTAAATAGCAAGCACAATTGCCCTAGTGGCAGCCAATCCCCAGCAGCCCTTGACACAGCAACCAATCACACACCCATTTCCCACAGCCAATACAAAGAACCCCTTGCCGCAGCCACCAATCACACTACAAATCGCCAATGACAATCTGCAGCTCGCGGCTGCAACCAATCACCTGTCACCCCTACCCATGTATAAGACATCCCCAGTTTTTAAACCTTTTTTAGTAAAAAAAACCCCTAGTCTTATACACAGAAAAGTACGGTATTTTGTTGGTCATCTATATTTATTAATATATATATTTCTATACCACCATACATTTCAAGGTGATATATATACATGTTAAACATGAAATATCATTTTTAAAAAATACAGATTAACATTAAGATGACTTGGTAAGCAAAAATTGAAACAGCTGCAAAGACCTGTTGGTATTTATAGGATCGCTGGTGGAAATGTGGTTTGGTGTATGACTATGTCCCTCTTAATTTAAACTTTATTAAAACTATTTCAACAGATGAGAAATGGAAAATATTCTGGGATCATATAGCATGACCAGGAACTTTTTCTCTTTCATGCATCTAAAAGCCTGACTTTGTCCAAGATTTTTACTACCTGACTCCCCCCCCAAAAACAACAACAACAACAACAACTTTGAATTCTATGGAATTCATCCTTTAACTCCTTATTTTTCTCTTTTTACATACTGAACAGCCTCGTCATAAAAGCTGGATTCATTAAAATGCCATATTTGCAAGACAGTGCCATACATGTCTACTCAGAAGTAGTTTTTCATGGAATTTACTCTCAACAAAGTGCAAATGGAAATTCAGTCCTAGTCTCATCTTTATTACACACACATGTATCTTACCTCTCAGGATACACATGCTTCCGAGCTAGCTTATAAGTAACATTAATCTGTGTTAAAAAATAAAGCAACACATGGTAAGAAGTAGCAACATACAGAACCATTGGGATTCTTTCCACAGTACATATGGTGGTAGATTGCCCTCTGGGAAATGTGGGGGAAATCTACTGGAGCAGGTTCTGATGTACTCTTTGCCTGCATTCCCATCTCTCCTGGAATCCTTCCCAAAGGACAGTTGATGGCTCTGATGTGATTTTCACCTGCATCCCTCTCTCCTGGAATTCTCCTGAGCTCTGTTTATTGTCTAGCTGTCTTGCCAGTATCCAGAGTTCAACATGGCAGAAATAAGTTTTAATTTATTCCTTTATTTCTTGGCATTTATTCAATACACAAATCTTTTAGTTTTTTGGGTTTTTTTACATTTATATGTATGACTAGGGCAGAACTCTTTATTTTAAGGCAGCATTCTAGGAATAAACACTTTTCTCCATCCATGCCAAGGTTTTTGGCCAAGTTTTATCAGTCATTCAGTCTTTCCAGGTTTATCTATCTCTTTACTGCTAACTTGTTTATATATGGTTATAACTGGTTTGAACTTCTGCGACTCCTGCCTGCTAACCTTCCTTCCAGCAGTCAAATTAGAATGCTTCTCTTGTAATCTTCAGACCTAACACTTCTGTAATTTCATTCGTGACTTGCTTTCACATGTTCCCCATTGTTTTCTACTTAGGATGTGGATTTCCTGAGCAGGGAGAATTAATTAGAAAATGTAATGCTGCCCTAAACTGTTTGGATGTGGCATGCATGTTTGACTTTTATTTAGTAGTGAGAGGTTAAAAAGTATATCATGCCAATTTTTCATGCTGTATAAATATCTCTTTAAAATGTACTTTGTGTGATTTAAGTGTTACATTCTATATTTTAATTATGGGTGTTTATAGTTGTACAGTAGTTGATTTGTTTACTTGCAAACCCTTTATAAGTTTGTTTTGGCATGAAGCAGTATACAAAAGTTGGGTCTTCAATCAGTTTCACCTACTACACCAGCAAAAGCCATATCTGGATTTTAATATTCTGGCCACCATAGTCCATGCATTGGTAACTGGATTACTGTAATGAACAGTCAGACAGGCAATGAGGTGGTGGACACGCATGCAAGTGGTGAGCTTGGTGACTGAGCATGGACTTTATCCAAAAAATTAAAGCAATACTGCATGTACGGGAGTGGGCGGGAGGCAGGTGTGATAAATATGTCAGTGATATATCCATTGTATGATTGCCAATCCTGCCTTTTTAAAATAGGATTTTAATTATTTATTGGTTAATTTATCCTTTGGAACAAAGGGTAGCAGTAATAATATTTTTACTAATCTTCTAAATGTTTACTCATAATTGGTAGAAGATTGATTCATGAAGCAGCATCTAATACCCCCAAAATGTTTAGGTTTTCCACACCAGACAGCTGAAGGGCTTTTTTCTCCTTTACATTTTTGGGTCTTGCATCCCTTTGTTTTTCTATTACTGTACTACCCAAGACTCCCTCTGTTCCTTTATCTCTCCGTCTTTCAACTTGTTTTCTTTATTTCCCATGCCTGCGTTCCTGCCTTGTGCTATAATCTTACTTATTTATTGACCAGCCATTCCATTTTCTGCTCATGAATCCACACTCCTTTCCACTTTCAGCTGCTCCTCGGACCAACTACTTCTTTCTTCCCTAGGTCACTATAAAGTCAACACTTCTGTATCCCTTTGATATCAGTTAACCTTTCCCTTGCACTATTCTTACTGCTGCTTGGTTAAATTATCATTCATGTTGTAATGTAGAAGCTGCCTTATATTGACCACTTTCAGACATCACATTAAACTTTGGTATATCACGAGAATAAGCCTAAGCAGAGAGGACTTTAGACAGTTTTGATTTCATTTTTTATTAACTGCAGCTTGAGGTGACATACCAATCTGACAAACTCTAGTTAATCTTAACTACCTGTGGTTGGAAAGTAATTTATTTTAAAAAATCATAGTTAAGATTAACTGTAGTTTTTCAGGTTCAGGCAACACAGACTGTTATTACAAAAAATTAGTGACTATTTCAGAGGATTTAGGGACACGCAAACCTAAGGCTCACCTAGACTCATTCTCATTATGATAAAGGATTGTTTCTTGTGTCATCCAAATGCAGCAACTGTTTGTTCATCTTATCCTATATTGTTCAGTCTAACTGGCAAAAGCTTTCTGGTACTTAAAATAAGAGTCTTTCCCAGCCTAAAATATTTTCATTACAGATGCCAACAACTGGACCTGAAACCTGCATGCAAAGGGTGCTCCACTACTGAGCTTAGCCTGAGGTCATATGGTTAGAGCAAGTCTTCATGCTTTTTATTGTTGAGCTTTAGGTTATTTTTGGTCTAGTGCACCCATATTTCATTTACTTGGAAGTAAGTACTGATTTCAACGGGACTTGATTTCAGGTAAACATGTATAGAATTGAACAAATAAAAGCATTAAGTGCCTTGTCTAATATTTACTTTGTTTTATAAATTTATATGCCCCCTCTTTAAAATTTTATTTTATTTATTGTAGTAATAATAAAATAACACAAGCAAGCAGTAAATACCAAGATGATACAACACCAAATCTAAAAACAGGGCGGCAGCAGACAAAAACAATCCAAGCAAAAATTCCAGCTCTAAAAGCAACCTCAAAAACATAGTAGGTTATATCCAGTTGATGCTGTTGTCCAAGCACAAGGGCTTTTGATCCAGCAGGAGCAATCCTCCTGAGTCAAAGCCATATTAACACTTCATATAAAACACCAGTACCAGAATTGTACTTGGAAGCACATGGGAATTTAGTGAGCCTGCTTAAAAATTTGTGTCATATGGTTCACATAATGGTCCTAACTGATGCTTTCCCCATGGGAGAACTATTTTCTCATTGGAGATGCATCTTATCACTGACATTGCTGACTTTTTGTAGATTGGTGAAGACACTTCTCTTTGACTAGGACTTTGGGAGGGCTTGAGAATTAGTCATCCAGCATCAAGCTGGAGTTCCTCAGTTTGGATATAATGGGGAATTCTGGCTTAATACAAGCCAGGGTCATCACATCAAAGCTGGTGTGCAACGAAGGGAGGAATATTCAGCTCAGCTGCAATTCTTATCCAGACTGGGCCTTTGTGGCTATTAGGATCAGCTGTGTTCCCAACTGAGCCTTTTATCTGCACAAAACTTGCTAGCCCTACCTACATAGGGGGGTAGTTTGTGTAGCAACAACCTGAGGTGAGAACCATGCTCAATGGGCTTTCTCTGTAGGTGTTTCATAGTTAGATATCTCATATCTGATAACTTGGAGCAAGATGTGCTTAGGCAGCTAGAGTTAGGCTAGAGCTCCTGTTTTCTACCTGGTTTTAAGCATCTTTCTCATTTAGGGGTAGAGTAGAAACACATGTAAACAAGCACTGATTTGAAGCTAATAAGTTCATTCTTTTTCTAGGTTACTGCTAAAAATGTCTTTTCCGCCTCACTTGAATCGCCCTCCTATGGGTATCCCAACACTTCCACCTGGGATTCCACCTCCACAATTTCCAGGTTTTCCTCCACCTGTACCTCCTGGTAAGTTTTCTATCAGAAGCTTGTCTGATAAACCTCATTCTTCTATATTGGTCAGCAATATCTTAACATTTTAGGTTGGTGTTTAGTTTTTCTTTGTGACATGTGAACAAAATAATCCTGCAGCTTCTATACTTCCTGAGAGCACTTAACAGTTCTGTTCCGCCTATTTAATACCGGATTTGAAAATATATATATCGTTTTTTGGTAGCTCTTGCTCAGAGACTATTAATGCAACCTCTTATTTCACAGGGACACCGATGATTCCTGTGCCAATGGGTATTATGGCTCCTGCACCGACTGTAAGTATCGCATAAGCCACTGTTCACTGTAAATATCTTTTTCATTTAAATGATAACTTTATAAAAAAGCATTAAAATAAATAACAATAAAGACACAATTAGCAGCATCAAATATTAAAACACAGCATAGTTGTGTTCATCTTCTGCCTACTGTATATGTAACACTGTACTGATCCCATATCATAGTTAGCAAATTGGGAACCATTCCCATGAACACATGACCCACCCTCCTCCAAAACAAAGTCCTACCTCCTTTTGCTTTTTGGCTTTAACCGTGTTTAATCATTGGATCTGCACTGACCCTAACTATGGTTGGGGTGACGTCTTTGAAGTTGAAAAGAATGCGCATGAAAAATTGCAAGGCTGTAACAGTGTAACACATTTAAATACAAGGTTCCTGACTTAAATGTTATTTCCTGTGTGCTTTTATTCATAAAGCACGTGTATTGCAATTTGTGAAGTAGAATCGACTCAAAGGAACTGTATGAAATTTCCTTTGCAGGCTAATCTGTTCAGGCAAAAATAATTAATGCTAAGTTCCTGCTTGGTACCTTAGGAACAGTGCTTTTTAAACTAACTAATTGTTGCAGTGGGAAAAAAATCACAAGAGGTATTTGTTCCTTATTTTTCAGGTTCTGGTCCCAACTACCGTGTCAATGGTTGGAAAACATATGGGAGTTAGAAAGGAACATCCAGGTCTAAAGAACAAGGAAAATGATGAAAACAGCGGTCCCACTACTACTGTTTTCGTAGGCAACATATCTGAAAAGGCTTCAGACATGCTTATACGACAGCTTCTTGCCGTAAGTGGAATTGCCTTTTAGAAAGCAGCCTTGCATTGTGTTGATTAGAGATTTTAGTGTTGCTTAATTTTTCATTGATTTCATTGACTTTTTGTATTCTTTAAAATGTTAGCTAAATTCTTTCATGTTAAGTGTTCCATATGCATGCAGGGCTTTTTAGCTCACCTCTTCCCCATAGCTCTGGAAAGTCCACCCTCAAGATCAGGGCCCTCCAGACCATATCTCATGACACATGAGGGGCTGCCCTACAAAGATAAATAATCTACCCCCAATAGACATGCAAAAAAATTCCTGCATTGCAGGGGGTTGGACTAATGACCCTCATGGTCCCTTCCGACTCTACAATTCGATGATGATGGTGGTGGTGGTGGTGGTGATGATGATGATATTTATACTTCACCCATCTGGCTGGGTTTCCCCAGCCACTGTGGGCGGCTTACAGCATATAAAAAATTGTTGAAACATCAGACATTTAAAATTTCCCAATACAGGGCTGCCTGAATCTATGAAATGCTAGATTATTGCTACATATTATTTCAGCCCTGAAGCTAAGTACAAATTTACTAACTTACCAATCTGTTTGCATTGTGTTAGGATAGTCAGTGGTGGGTTGATGTAGTTTAGGCTGTTACCAAACTAAACTCTTGGAGTAGCTCTTTTCATGGAAAATAAGGCTAGGTTATGCCTTCACTAGCAGTATGTCAAGGGTAACACAAGCTGGGAGAGGTACAGTTGCTCTCAGGTCCTTCTTGAAGATTTCCCATAGGCAGCTGGTTCACCACTGTGAGAACAGGATCCTGGACTAGATGGGTCAATGGCCTGATCCAGGATGGCTGGCCTTATGTTCTTTAGTGGAGAACACTAAAACATATACATTAAATCAGAAACTGAAATAGCAAATACAGTCCATAACAATAATAACAATAAAAATCAAATATGAGCTACAAATGAATTTCAAAATTAAAACCAGATTCCTATCTAGTGGGTTACAATGGCACAATTAAAAAACTTAAATCAGATTGGATTTGAAGGGCAAATATCCAGGAAAGAATAGGTTTTCATTGTGTAAAGTTTAAAAGATATTTCTGTCTAGGAAAAAAGTTCCATAGCTGGGGCACCACTACTGAAAAGACCATATCTAATTGCTATGCCTCAGATAATAGGAGCAGATGTAACAGGGCCTTATTGCAAAGACTTCAGTCAAGGAAATGGGTATTTGGAAGGAGATGGCAGACCTTCAACTCACCAGGGTTGTAGATTAGGGTTTTAAACATGGCAGCCTTTAGAATCATAGAATTGTAGAGTTGGAAGGAACCCTAAGGATCATCTAGTCTAACCCTCTGCAATGCAGGAATATGCAGCTGTCCCATACAGGGATCGAACCTGCAACCTTGGTGTTAGCAACACCATGACCTAACCAACCAAGTGATCATAAATTCTCATAAATTCTTATGATTTATGATTTAGGGTTTTAAGAAATTATAAGTGAGATCCAATTCTGGCAACCCATTTGCAGAATGAGACTTTGATTTTGATTTTTCCCTTTCCAGCCACATGCAAACCCCAGAATTTGCTCTGGTGTGTCGCCTAATTCTCCAGATTTTGGTAGTGCAAGTCCCAATGTACGATCGTGCTTTATAAGATGCAACCCTATCAATATATAGAAGTACAGTATTTTAAACCAGGTTGTTTTTAAAGAGACACTTTATAAATAGGGAAGTGGTAACTTGAAATTTTGTTTAGTATTTTTAAAAATCTGGTTATTTTTCCTCTCCTTTTAAAAAATAATCAAACCCACTGAGAGATAATAGAGGATATGTTTTAAGACAAACCTTTATGTACAAGGAGTAAGGAGCTGTCTGTGGAGGTGATAGAAGAGGTTAAATGATGATTAGCAAGGTTGTGATAATAAAATACTAGACACCACCACAATTATTAGGTGTGCTAATTTCTTTTAGGATGTCTTCTCAACTGACACAAAATTCATTGAGAACTTTCAAGAGTGAGAGAAGTTTTCTGAGTAGCAAAAAATAAAAATAAAAATCAATTGCCTCAATAAACATTATGTTAAAAATATTTTACAGAAGTGTGGCTTGGTTTTGAGTTGGAAGAGAGTTCAAGGAGCATCTGGAAAACTTCAAGGTATATATACTTTTTTCCTTTTCTTTTCCCTCTAATAGCTATGAGGATATACACAAGCTTGGTTAAATTTCTGAAGTGCCCACGCTTCAGTAGCAAGGGCTTAATTTTATTTTTCCTCTGAGCTATTCTGTGAGTCAATAAGAGTATCGGATGGAACACAAGTTGTGCCTTCCACTGCAGATCAGTGGTGATCTGGGCACTTGATCTGGCACTGCTTGCTGCCCAACTGTACTGTACCAACATAGCACTGAGAATTAATGCTGCCATGCTAACCAGCTTCCCCTACTACTGAAGAGTGGATTGTAACTTTGTGCAGCCAGTTAAATGTTGCAGCAACCTAGTATTTTTGAAAAACGAGTAACTGACCATAATGGGATTTCAGATGAAAGGCAGCATCACAGGATGGGTGTAGCCTTACCCTCTGAATTGCAGTTGCTTGGGTTTATGGGATTGGGCTGAAGATTTTTTAAGGCATTTAAAAATGTGTTTTAACTGAGGTCCTGCCATATATTTGGTGTAATCATAAAACAAATAGTTGACATTAAAGGCAATTGGGTGTGGGTGTGGGTGTTGCTCTCATGTGCATATATAATTTTTAAAATTTGCTTTTATAAATCTCAATTATTCATCCCCTAGCCTTTGGGTTCTGCGAGTATAAAGAACCAGAATCCACACTACGTGCGCTCAGGCTACTACACGATCTCCAAATTGGAGAAAAGAAACTACTTGTGAAAGTTGATGCCAAGACGAAGGCTCAGCTAGATGAATGGAAAGCGAAGAAAAGGGCTTCCAATGGGGTATGTTGTGTGTAACTATGCTAAACTGGGACAGGAAACAATTGAATTACAAATAAATTGGATTGGCATTAAGTGCTCTTAGTTCTTTTACCTGATTTGCTTATTCTCTGTTGCAATTTAACCTGCTATGCTGACTTTATTACACCTTTTCTGCAGATGACTGTTGCACTGTTCTTTTGTTTAATTTTCATGATCAGAATTTGAGTGTAAACTTCAAATCCCCAACAAACTGCATTTTCTGCTTGAGAAACTGGATTATAAAACTTTGGCTGACAGCAGAAGGTTAAGGGATGAGCAGCTGGAGTCTCTCAGATCAAACCCAACCATTTTCAGGAGGAAACCAGATGCCCTGCTCTCTGCTAGACTTGCTGATCCAGAGTAGAGTCTGCCAACTCCAAAATTTAAAAAATCTGATTCCAGCTGGGTATGACCAGCATGAAAAGCTTTGCTTAACATGCAAAGTTTTACATGTGCTTGCATGTCCTCTGCCAACAAGCACTGTGCCCATATACGTTCTCAGGCCACCATAGTTCAACATAACCATTTAAGTGATAGCTTCATAACAAGCACAAGCAGGTGAACCTAGCCACAAACTGCATGTCAAATCACATTTGTAAACACCCTCACAATTAAGTACAGTGGTACCTCAGGTTAAGTACTTAATTCGTTCCGGAGGTCCGTACTTAACCTGAAACTGTTCTTAACCTGAAGCACCACTTTAGCTAATGGGGCCTCCCACTGCCGCCGCGCCGCCGGAGCCCGATTTCTGTAATTATCCTGATGCAAAGTTCTTAACCTGAAGCACTATTTCTGGGTTAGCGGAGTGTGTAACCTGAAGCGTATGTAACCTGAAGCGTATGTAACCCGAGGTACCACTGTATTTAGAAGAGAAAATAGTAAGATTGGAAGAAGTAAGGCATATAATAGTCCCAAGAACAGTCAGCCCCTGGCTAAGATGCAAAACATAAGGAAATCAATCTAGAAAGTGAGTCATTTCACACAGGTGCACTATTATCAAAAATTTCAAATAAGTTCACAAGTTGCAAGTCCTTGAATTTTTTTACAGACTTGCCTATCAACACGTGAATTCACAAATCACTTTAAAAAATGTATCTAATAATAAGCTATCTGCTAATAATACAGTGTTAAAGGGTCTAAACCACTGAGCCTCTTGGGCTTTCCGATCGGAAGGTTGGCAGTTTAGATCCATGCAAGAAAGTAGATGCTAGTGCAAGTAGATAAGTACTGTGGTGGTAGGAAGGTAAACAGCGTTTCCATGCGCTCTGGTTTCCGTCACGGTGTTCTGTTGTGCCACAAGCGGTTTAGTCATGCTGGCCACATGACCCAGAAAGCTGCTTGTGGACAAATGCTGGCTCCCTTGGCCTGAAGCAAGATGAGCGCCGCCCCCCGTAGTTGTCTTTGACTGGACTTAACCGTTATGGGGTCATTTACCTTACCTTACCTAATAATACAGCTTTTCTGGAATGATAATGTTAGAGAAAAACACAAAATATTTAGAATTTTTTATCTTGATTTAAGTCTATGGCCAAGGCTCAGCCAAAGAAGATGTGAAATATAGTGCATTTTCTTACTTGTAGTAACGTAAGCAATCTTGCATAGCTTACAGTGTTGCTGTACTCTAGCAGCTTCAGCAGGCTCCTAGTTAGGAGTACATGCCTCACCATTCACTATAATTTGTCCTTGGGGCAAGGAAGGGATAAATAAAGACCAGAGCAAAACACAGCCAATCCGCTCACTGAAACATCTTAAAAAGTGTTTTAATGCATTATTAACTTTTTGCTACGTTTGTGTGATAAAGTAGTTAAAAGCTTTTAATGAGTTAAATTTAGTTACCCATGTGCCATAGAAAGGGGTTCAGGGTTTACCCTTTTGATACACAGCCTGTGAAGTAGGAGTATTTTAGTACAGTGCTACCTCGTGTTATGTACCGTGCCCCTTATGAATGCTGCGGGTTATGCGCTCCGCTATCCCGGAAGTAGATGCCCCTTGTTGCAACCTTTGCCCCAGGATGCGAGTGAAGTCGTGCTCTGGTGGTGCGGCAGCAGCAGGAGGCGCCAGTAGCGAAAGCGCGCCTCATGTTAAGAGTGGTTTCCTGTTACAAACAGACCTCCGGAACGGATTAAGTACGTAACACGAGGTACCACTGTATTTATTTCACATAAGCAGGCAAGAAAGCTCCATAAATTCCTGCTGTCTTAAAATATGGAGAAACTAAATAAGGCAGATATCTGGCTCTACTTAACTTCCATCCCTGACTAATACTGTTACCCCCTTAATTTCTTTTACTACCACCTAAGTGGCACTACCTATTAGGTCATTTCAGGCTGTTCCTCCTTGACATTGCAGCTTCTGCACCAGCTGAAATCCCCTCCTGCCCCTACTTCTTAGCTACTGCTTCTCCATAAGCCTGTCTCTTTCCTATTCACTCTTTATCCACTTGGCATTTGACTGGACATCCATCTCTTATTCTCAGGTGAGATTCCCATCCCCTCTTTTTAAGGCAAGAATTTATTATTTAAGTTTAATTCAAGTGTATGAAAAAGGGGGGGACATGATAGGACATTGCCTGGTTTTTTCCACTGCCCCTCAGTAGCAACAGCAGTGACAAATGTTTGATGGGATGGAAGATAAAAAAATAAATGTAATATGCACATTCTTTTTCTGTATTTAGGTTTTCCTTGCAGCCAGGCTGTAGGCTGAGAATGGCCTAGAGCAAGTTGAAGTCACTTGGCCTCAGGTCATTCATACTTCCATGTGCAGATGAGAATTTATCTATTTACTATTTGTAAGGAGGAAAGTGGGGATTTTCATTTCTTACTGTATTTGATTCTGTGATTTATTTATTTTTAGATTGAATTGTTGTGAGCCCCTTTGAGCCTTCTGAGAGGCAAGCTATAAGCCTTTAAATATATAATCATTAAAGTTTTGTAGGCAACTGTGTATATATTAATGTTTTTATTAATAGTTTAAGGTCTATGTTACATTCATCTTTCATGGAAAATTGAAATTCAGCAATTCTAGGTGGGAGTGACAGTCTACAGATATGTATGTTAAAGCATTTTACACACATGTATTGTCATTGTGCAATATGACCACTTACATGCAAAAGTCTGTTTTATACTGCAGACAAACTTTGTGTATAAGTTTGGTAATGTGTGACCCAAAGGGTAGGTTGGTACGTTGTTGCCTTGTATGTGTTCTTCGCTTTGTTGAACAGCATTCTTAATCCTGAGGAACAGAATATTTCTATAACTGCTGACATAGCGTATTAATTTGAAACCTGCACTGTATTATGTTGTACTTGTTGCATAAAAATATCACATGAATCCACACTAAATATTTTTATTTCTTCAGAGAGCACACATTGTAGTGTAGCATTCTCTTTAAAGTTTGTGCCAGGCTTCAACAAATTCATTTGCCCTCTGTCATGTGTGATGAGCGGCAAGCATTATTCTCAGCTTGAAAGGTACATCTGAGCAGTAGAATGGTGGTTCCTGCCACCGCCCCAGCTTCAAAATTGGGAGGAAGGCGGTATGGCAGAGGAACCAAAAGAGACTTAGCTTTAAAGGATTGGCAGGCACGGGAAGTGTTGGCTCTTGCTACCTAAATGCATCTTATGCACCTTTGTGCAGCACCCAAGAGTGCACGCTTCTCTCAGCACCCAAGAGTGCACGCTTCTCTCTTCACCCCGGGTACCACTTCCCAGAAATGCACAGAGGACCTTCCTGCAGCAAGGGCCAAGCACTTCTCAGCTGGTCTTTTCTGAAGGCAGTGCTGTGTGTGTAACCACTCTGCAGCTTTGTCAGCTGGTTGGTTTTGTACAAAACAAAACAAGCAGTGCTTTAGTCATTAATTTAGCTTTGTCTTCCAACAATGAAAATAAGTGGTAGAGTGCTAGGAAGGCCTTTTGTCTTGAGAAAATGATGGGGATATATGTGAACTTTCTGGGTTTGCCAATTGAAAAATTCTGTGTATCACTCTTGTGAGGACTAAGGCTGGGCAATGTATTGATATATCATCCAAAACTGGTTGAAGTGCATATTATTACAATGGTTTCATAATTTTTCACCTGGCAGTATACATGTAATAGACCTATCTAGTTCATATGAAGTAAACATTTTGGATGCCGTTCTGCTATGTCCCATATGCTTGACTTCAAGATTTGTGTTATTCTTTAGAACACCAGGCCAGAAACTACAACTGATGATGACGAAGCCCTCGATGAAGAAGCAAAGAGAAGAGACCAGCTAATTAAAGGGGCCATTGAAGTGTTAATACGGGAATATTCCAGCGAGCTCAATGCCCCCTCCCAAGAGTCTGACTCTCATCCCAGGAAGAAGAAAAAAGAAAAGAAGGAGGATGTATGTGTTTTGATTTTGGACACAAACAGATTTACTTCATCTCCCTACATAAGGGCCAAACCCTGTGCCAATACATTAGCTCAAAGCATCTGATGAGAACACAAATCAACAAACCTTGATGTTAGCAGAAGTTATCATGTTTCATACTGAAATTAAATCAGTTCTAGATGCCAAACCCTGTGGATGTTGTAGGTCTGTGAACACAAAGGTCACAAATGCCTAGACTTCTTGGAGCTACAGGTTTGAATCTCAGCAGGTTTGATTCAGCCTTTCATCCCTTCTAAAATACATGTATTGAAGTAATTGCAAAATGTTTTTTTGAGATGGGGAGATGATTTTAAGACCCTAAAAGAGATTCTGCCTGTAATGTTTGACATCTTAAATGCCCTAAGTCACTGGGTCATAGAGGTTTGCACTGGTGTTATAGCCACAACTCCGCTGATTGGCAGCCCTTCTTCACTGTCCTGATTTAATTATGTTTGTGCACATAGCTAAGAAGCTCTTTCTTATCCTTGAGGGATGAAAGCCATGATGTTACAAAATGGTTTGTTAATATTTGGCTGTTGGGCCAGGTGACGTCCATACTTTTTCAGTGTAACATTTGACCCAAAATGCTATAATCCCCCTTCTGTGGATAACCCTGCTAATGATTATACTAATTTTTGCTTTCCTCTGGGGGGAAAGGGTACAGCTTAGTAGTAATTATGCCAGCCTTGAAAATGCGTCATGATTGTTTCAATGATGGGCTCTTAATACCTGCCACTCATAGCAAGAGATGGGGGTGAATTTTGGTTTCTTTCTGCAGCCTTTCTTACTAAGCTTAACTTTCTCCCTTATGTTGTGCTGATAGCAAGCAATAAGATAGCTTGGGCTGCTGGCAAAGTGTATGAAAAGGCAGTGCAAGAAATAATGCTTCTCACTCAGGGAGTGAGTGCACCTCCCACTGTTCTTTAGCCTCCACTTAACTTAATCTTGCACTGATTTTTTTGCATTCTGCACTTATTTATAGGCAAGCCATGTCTCTCTCTTTAAAAGTTATTATCCATGCTATGGATTGTGTTATGTATATTATCAAGAATATAATGGTATCGAGAGACATAATGGTATTGAGAGGTTACTTTTTAGAAGCCCATATTAAAAGAACTGAATATTGATCTTCCTCCTTTAATAACTGCTAGTTTTAGGGTGACCTGTAGCCACACCTTGCTGATGTAGCTGGGTTTTAAATTTAGTGTGGTCTATCAGAACAATGAAACATTTAACTGTGTCCTTGTCTTCCTGCCCCTTGAAATAGTGGAAGTGCATCTTTATTTTGTAAGGATGAACGTGGGACACGAGCATGACTTCTCATCCCCTTATCTGTTGGGAAGTGTGGGACTAAGAAAGCTCTGTGCATGGTGGGGGGAGGGAAGTATATAAAATTGTGGTGGGTGCCGTGTAAAGCTGATTTTGAGGCACTGTTATCCCCTTTATTGAATGCTTATAATTGTGACTGGTTCCCTTGCCCATTCTGTTTGTTGAAAAGATGAGGGATAATGTGGGGAAATTGAGAGTGCGGGGAAAAGAAATGGCAAGTGAAATCTGACTCTTGATTTCAGATGTGGGGAACCTCGCTAATTTGCAGTAACTGTTGGCAACCCGCCCCTTGATATAATTACAATTTTGCGAATTAGCGAGTAAGAAACAAAACAAGGCTTATAATAGTACCACAAAAGGCCACTTTTAACAAGCGTAGCTTAGCTTGCAAGATTTCCTAGAATGCTAATGTTCTGCAATTTTAAATGGAGACATGCCAGGGTGAGGTGGCACCCAGCAAACCTTTGCCGAGAAGTAGATCAGTAAACGGAGAATTAGCGAGGTTCTTCTGTAACTTTGTTGAGTCAGACCTACGGTCACAGCAATGCAATATTGCTTATTCTGCAAACATACAGAACATTGTTTTTTTTCCAGAGTAGTGTGCAATCTATTTTTTAAAAAAGAAATCTCCGTGGATTTTTCCGCAGATTTTCCGCAGATTTCCAGTGGCCCCACTGATACCCTATCCACTCATCACCAAGGTTCGTTTACATTGTAGGCTTTGACAATGACTATGTTTACTGCTAGTTACCAGATTTGTGACTCGTGTCCATCTAATTTTTTTTTCATTCATTTAACATCAGACTGTGAGGTTTGGTACTGCAGAAGGCCTTTATTTATCTCTTACAAGACTGGTACAAAACATCTAACCTTCAGCTTTTCTTTTGGTTCTCCTGTTTCTGTGCAGATGGGTTTTAATATTCTGTCTCCTGTTCTGCCCCCCTTTCTCTCTTACAGGAGGATATAAATGCTATTGAAATGGAAGAAGATAAAAGGGACCTGATATCCCGAGAGATCAGTAAATTCAGAGATACGCACAAGGTAGTATACTTGTTTTTGTACCTTATATAAAATTAGGTTTTTGCAAAATCCAGTTTCCCTCCCCCTTTAGAAAATTTAAAAGCACATGACCATATCACATATAGTAGGCATAATGTGTGTCTAAAAAGCCACTAAGGACAAAATCTCACTTAAATCGTCGTATTTTGTCCTTTTTATTTTCTAATGACTACCTTGCAGTCTCCTCAGTGTGAATACATTAAAAAATCTAAACACTTCTACCCCACTTTTCTTAAAATTAACCCAAAGCAGCTAAAACCATTTACATAAGACCCAATAATTAGTCTGGGCTGCTGCGTAAAACATTCTGGCCCCCACAACATTCAAGCAGTTGTAAGACATAATTCAAACTCTGTTTTACTGAGCTCTACTGCTTAATTTAAACTTGAGATTTAATTTAATAGCTCTGAGTTGAGAATGGGGGTGAAATTAAATTAGGTTAGTGGTTATCAGACTTTACCAAAATTTAGATGCATGGAAGAACTGTAAATTCCCATTAAGCTAATCTATTCATTGACCCCCACCATTATGATAGAGATCATATGGTGACTAATGCAAGATGAAAAACACAGCTTGGAAAGTAACATGGAATAGGATGTAAGTATGAGCTTCTGTTTTTTTTATTATTTATGGATGCCCCCTCAGAAAAATATGCAAAGGGGTAACTGGCTTGGAAATGTGTTTACACAGCAAATCCTACCTCAGGGTTCCCACCTACAGAAGTTTCTGTAATGTGAATTTGTGAATGTGTTCCGGTTGGGAAGGGTGGTTTAAGGGGGGGGGGTTGAAATTCAAGCTATGCATGCACTGTCTCTTGATGTTAGCTTCTAAGGGAATATGAACTGCCCACCAAGGCTGGAGTACTGCACGCTCAGTGAAGTATTTATCCCTGAAATGAGTGCTTGTAGTTTGCTAATATTGGTGCAATGGTGTGAATTTACAAAACGGGTAAAAAGTACTCTGGTTACAGGATCACACTTACTTTAAAGCAAAAATGGATGTACATTGCTGGCAATGCAACATATTGTAGTATAACTTTGGAATGAGAACCTGAGGATAATTGTTCCAGAAGATGTATGAAACTGTTCAGTGGTGAAACATCGTCTTATTTCCAAGCCCCAACATACCTCTGAAATGTAAAGAAATAATGTGGTTAAAACAAAATCAAAATATGCTTCACTGTTTCAGAAGCAATCGGGCATTTTGCTGCCTTTGATCTATCCTATTGGGGGAATATTTTGAATTAACCTTTTCTAATAGATGGAACTAAATCTAATACCAAATGGCCATTTCATATATTGGGTGGGATGTTCAAAAAGGGGCTGGCTAATGAGCACAGTGAACCTTTGCATGTTTTTTGGTTAGAATTTACAAACAATCGGACTGTTAGGGTATCAGCATTGCAGGGGGTGTCCATTTACAGCACAGATGAGTCTGAAGAGAACCGAAGGTAAGATTTTACGTTTTTTTTTCTACCTACCTTCTTTGCTCATTACTTTATTAGCATATCCTGAATCCTTTTCACCCCTCATTTCCTATAAAACATCCTTTTGTTCACTTGGAAGCAGCCTATTACTTAAATTTTCAATATGAAGCAGCAGTGCTGATTTGGCTTTTAAGAAAAGAGAAGCTTGAAATAAAAGCCTTTAAGATGCCAAAAGTCAATGCAAATTTTTATCATGGCTTTTACTACAAAAGAAATTTTTGCGGGGGAATCCCGGAACTTAACCAAAGACATTCTTATTGGAACAACTAAAATAATCTGTAAGTATCGATCATTTCAGTATATAAACTTTTCTATAAAAGTATACGAAATTTGAGGTAAGTTCTGCTTTTGAAAGTTAATATAGCTAGCATAACCTTAATACACTAAATGAAATTATATTGTATGAGAGCATTTCACTCAGAAAGTAGGTTGCCACATTCTGTACACTTTCACCTTTTCCTCCTCCATTATGGCTGTTCTCTACCATTCTCAAATACCCTTTTCTTTTGTGAGTTCAATGTATCTAACACCATCCTCCCTATATTTCACTTTTGGTGCCATTTAGTGTGGTGGTTAGATATATTGACCTTTTGTTTATTAGTTTTATTACTGTGACTTTGTTTTGGTTCTCTGGTCCATGAGCGCACACGAGAAGACTGTCTGACAGGTAAGATTGTTTTTAAAGTTGTCTTAAATTCTTTGTTGAAAGAGAGAAATATATGCGCACTTTATTGTTCCAGTTTATAAATTATTTCAGCGGTGGTAAACACGGTGCCAAATGGGGCGATTTTGCTCTTCCCCCTTGCATCAACTGCATACAACATATTTAGGGTGTAATCCTTCCTCACTCATGCTGCACCCATGCACAGACGGATCCTGTAAGGAATAATGGTGCTCTGTTACTTTCTCCTTAGCATACATGCAGGCAATGAACCAGGCCACTGCTGAAAATAAGAGGCTTGTGCACTTCTCTTACACCCTCCTCCTCTTGCCACTTGGTGAAGGAACGGCTCATGCTTCTTCCACCAAGTGACAAGAGGGGGCTGAGTAGCGATGCAAGAGCCTCTTATTGGCTGAAATGGTATGGTGCACTGATTGCGCATGTGTGCTAAGGAGAGGAGGCGTGAGAAATGGGCTCTGTTAAGCCCTACGTTGATCTCTTCAGGCACAACACTTGGATGTGGAAGGATCATGCCCTTAATATTTTGGCACCCATCAGGCTGATATTTGGCTTATGTTTTTTTTCCTTCCTTTTTTTGGTTTACTTGTGAACCATGTACTTGCTCTTCCTCCCAGAAATATAGCTTGTAGGCAAGGTTAATCCAGTGTTGGCGGTCCATGTCCTAGCACAGCATCTGTAAGTTAACACACACCAATTGCTTCCAAGGATGGATTTATCTATCATTTTAATGAGATTTTATTTTTCTATTGTCTTCATGGGAGTTTTGGTAATAGGCATGACTTTTTGAATTTTAAAAATGCACTTTTGTATAGAATTCAGTAAAAATGTACTGTATAACCTTTTAGTCTTGTCTATGTGCGATTTCCAACCTTCTTGAGGATCCTGTTCTTTAGAAACCATTACTTTAAGCAGTGAATGCAAAAAAATATAAAAAGTTGGGGAGAATAAAGTGATTGGTAAGATGTATCCTTCCAAACATTTCAAGTAACATACACAGTTGAAGTTGATTTTACTTCCCATCCTTGCATAGAATGAATTTGGTTTGGCTGTGGTATGAGGTAATCTTGTCTGTCAGCATCCTACTAAATGATCTGCCTACATGGGCAGGATTAACTTTGCCAGCTAAAAATTCATCTGTGTTCAAGCTCTTTTCTATCTTTTGTGGCTCGGGAGTTTTCTGTGAACTATTGATGGCAATGCACTATGTAATTGTCAGCATATGCATATATGAGGTGAGCATTGCCCTTCTTTCCAAGGTTGGAGATTGCCAGTCTATGTTAGATATATGCTTTTTGCACGAAATCTAGCCTTACGATTGCAGAACTTTTTTTCTTATGAGCTGACAGTAAGCTGTTAAATATTTAAATGTTAAATTATTGGTGTTCTTGACATGCTCACTACCAGCCTTGGGTGTTGTGCGTGGTGGTGGGGTGGGGCCTCCGACTATAGCTACATGCTAACTTTGAAAATCCTCTTGGTTTCTAGAAATTGGAGGAGGAAAAAGGCAAAAAGGAGAAAGAGAGACAAGAAATTGAAAAAGAACGGCGTGAAAGAGAGAGGGAGCGGGAGCGTGAAAGAGAAAGAAGGGAGCGTGAAAGAGAGAGGGAGAGAGAGCGTGAAAGAGAGAAGGAAAAGGAACGGGAGCGTGAACGAGAACGGGATAGAGATCGGGACCGCACTAAAGACAGAGACCGGGACAGGGAAAGAGATCGGGACAGAGACCGCGAAAGAAGTTCAGACCGAAATAAAGATCGGAGCAGATCTAGGTAAATAGTGCGGTGTAATGAATACTTGTTAATAAATTTGACAATGACAAATAATTCATAGATGCAACCTGTTTTGAAGACCAGCATGCAATAAGCCATGAGGCAATGAATTAAATAGTATGATTTGCTGACAGCCGTGGTGCCCTGTCCCTCAGGCCCTTTTGTATGGTTTGGCTGACGGAATAAAGCCACAACCAACGTACAGAGAGACACTGTGTGTGTGTATATCAATGTAAAGGCAGCAGACTGATGTACCGTGTCTATTCAAAACGTCATTTGTCTAATGACTACATAAGCAATGTTGTGGCTAATTTGAAAAACTTAACAGAGGTTTTGAGTTTGGGCTTAATTTCGGTGATCTCGAAATCGCTACTTTTGTAAACCTCTTATTGTATGGTGTTTTAATTATCTAGTAGAGTTAGTTTTGTTAGACCTAACCTCTATTACCAGCAGTATTAAATGTTGACGATTACATGCAATAATAATTTGTCATTGTATTTGTCCACAGAGAGAAAAGCAGAGACAGAGAAAGGGAGCGAGAGAGAGAACGGGAGAGGGAACGGGAACGAGAGAGGGAACGGGAAAGGGAACGAGAACAACGGGAGAGAGAGCGAGAAAAGGACAAGAAAAGGGATAGGGAAGAGGATGAAGAAGATGCCTATGAGCGGCGCAAACTGGAAAGGAAGCTCCGTGAAAAGGAAGCAGCTTATCAAGAGGTATAGGAGGATGTTGCTTCTGATCTGGGGATTGGATTCAAAGGGATTCTGTTGCAAATGGAAAGCACCTGGTTTTCGGGGGTGGGGTGAGGATATTAATTCTACCATCCCACCCACCAGCTTTGGAGCCCTGCATTGAAGCCCCTCTCCCCCAGTACCCCATGCTCCCTCAGGAGACACTTGTTGAAAGGAGGTTGTCCCTTTTCAGGGTAAAAGCCCCATTCTCTGAATGGAGGTCTGATAATAGTTGTTAAAGATCCAACTCCATTATCGTGGAGCATGTTTCCTGTCCATACCTGTATTCTAATCATTTTGTAGCATTGACCATCAAGCTTCAGAGCATTTTACAGAACCTCTGTATTGAAATAGAAGACTGGGTGATATAATTAAATGTGGATGGTTTTGCTTCTCTCAAGTGACATATGGGATTTTTTCCTCTCTGGTTCAGTAAATGGTAAACAGATTATTTTCTTTCAGCGTCTTAAAAACTGGGAGATCAGAGAACGGAAAAAAGCTAGAGAATATGAAAAAGAAGCTGAGAGGGAGGAAGAAAGGCGAAGAGAAATGGTAAGGGGTTCATTATTTTTTGCACTGCTTTTATTAGATGCTCAAATGGCAGAATCTCTGTGCTGGTATACAAAGGTGTCCTGTAGTAGCAGTAGTAGTAGTCGTAATATTTTTGTGACTTAAGTGATAGCTCACAAATGTTAATGCAAAATAGCTGAGTCTGTATGTTGCCACAATTTTTTTTAAAGCATTATGCGAAAAAAAGTGTTTGGCTGCTTTACAGACTTCGTTCCTTACAAAGTGAAAAGGTCTTAGTTCATTATCTAAAACTATTTTCCAACTTTACTAATATTGCAACTATGTTTTCCTTATTGCTCTCAGACAGATTTGAATAACTACTGGCTGCTTATATTTTTTCTACTCAGACTTCAACCATTCCAAGTAATGGACCAATGTTTGTCATGTCCATTAATTTTAAGTGGTCCACTCTCAGTATGACTGTCATTGGATACATGGAGCATTATGTACCCTAATCAGTTTGCAAAGAGCTTTCTGAATTGCCATCTTAAGGCCATAATGTCATATATGGCTTTGACTACCCACTATGCCATCAGCATATTTTTCTCCTCTCTGCCCTCCTTATTTAAATCTGAAAGCAGCGGAAAAGTTTTGTGAAACTCGGAGTATTTTTTCTAACATACCAACATGGCTGACTGCATACGATCTTCAGCATAAATTTTCAGAACATACGTTTTTGAAAAAACTTCTCTGTGTTTTTATATATTTTTTTGGCTTTCATGTAAATTAACTCCAAACAGATATTTGTTTTGTAGTATTGCTGGTAGCCTGGGACAATCTGCCATTATAAGCAGCAAGTATTGTTCATGCTGTTGTAAGCTAAGGGGGGAAACTGGACAGTCAGTCTGCACCCATGGAAGGTCATTAAAAAAACTCACACCTTGTTGCCAGAAATGGAGAGAATGGATTTTGCATGGTTCTCAGAACTCCTAATGCTGAGAATATAATCCTAAATACACTAAGGGAATAAGTTTCATGGAACTCAGTGTTACTTGCATCTGGGTAAACATGTTTAGGATAGCGCTCTTAAGATTGAGAGAAAAAAACTCTAAGCATTTACTTGCATAGGCCAAGGCAAGCTAGCTGTGACTAGGGCTGGGCGATGTTAGGTTTTTAACATCATGATGAATCGCCTGCAGAACATTGCAGTTCGGTGACAACCCGCTATGTTGAAACAGGCTGCACTGACCTCAGCTGGCAAAGCACTGGGAGAAAATGCCTCAGCTCTCATGGCGGGAACTGAGTGGCTTTCAGCTCAGCATCTAGCGGGCTGGGGACAATGCAGCTGTCCCAGCTTGCTGCTCAGCTGTGGGGCAGAAAGGCTCCTGGCCCTAACTGAGCGGGCCCCAACGTCCCGGTGAGCAGGAGCAGGGCTGCTCAGCTGGGAAGCACAAAGCCCCCACTTCCCAGCTGAGAGATCCCTGACGTCTCTCCTGCTTGCATGCAAGCAGGAGCAGGATTGGGGCTGCTGACCTGGGGAGCACAAAGCATCCGCTTCCCACCTGAGAGATGCCCACTCCCACTCCAGCTTGCATGCAAGTAGGAGTGGGATTGCAAGCCCCTCCTCCCAAGCTGAGAGAACCATGACCCCACTTCTGCAGCCCGGCAGCTGCATCTGAGAACCCTTGCACTGCCTCTTATGCAGCTGTCAGGCTGTCTCCGCCTTGCCAGGTGGTGCTCCTTTAAACTTCTCCATTTAGGGGAACATAGCCACACATCTCTCACAGGAAAAGTGTGATGGAGCCTGCACCTCCTCAGCTGATCCATCTTCTGCTCCCATGCAAGCAGGAGTGGGGTCAGATCTCTCACCTGCGAAACAGGGGCTTTGCGCTCCCCAGCTAAGCAGCCCTGATTCTGCTCCTACTTGGGCGGGAGCAGAAGCTGGATCTAAGTTTGCATGCCTAGTGTTTCATACATGTTTCTTTCAACAGCAGGACCCATCCATTTTCAAAAGCTATATTGTAGACTGTTTTCAAAAGTGGATTGGCACAGGAAACTGCTTTCTAAAATCCATGCCCAAATTCCTCTCATGCATTTAGAGCTCATTAACATGGTTCTCTTGCATCCTAGCCAGAACTGACAGGCTACTTGAGGCAGATTTGCACTCAAAGCGATTATTTCAGGTCCCTTTTGCAAAGCCTGGCTAACTTATCTCATGCCTCTACGCTTTAGTTCAGAACTGGGAAGTCCATTCTCAACTCAGGCTTCAAAGGGTTCAGTAGTTTGTGAGGAGGAAATACCGTTTCAGAAGCAGGAAAAGCAAACTAGTAGTGACTTGCTATCTACTTAAAGGAAGGTGCTACTCTAGAAACTTTCTGGTAGGGAATAACTTCTGCTCCTTCAAGGGTGATGAGCTAATTTCTGTCTGAAATTAATTAAATGTTTTCAACTCTCTTATAGGCAAAAGAAGCTAAGCGTCTAAAAGAATTTCTAGAAGATTATGATGATGACAGAGATGATCCGAAATACTACAGGTATGCTTAGCATGAACTGCAGGAGATTTTTATTTATTCATTAAATTTGTATACCCTTCTATAACTGCAGGTCTCAGGGCGGTTCATGAGATAAATCAGTTTGTGTTCTCAGGTTTCGTCAATGTGACTCCTATCAGAAAGACATATGTAGGAAACCTTGTGTTCCAACATGGGATGAGTAGGAGAGGTTTACAAAAAATGTGATTTAGAATAATAGAATTGAAGGGATCACGAGGGTCATCTAGTCGAACCCACTGCAGCGCAGGGATATTTCTGCCCAATGTGGGGCATGTAGTGGGTGAATCAGGTTAAGCTGGCCAGAGGTGCTCCATGCCACAAAGGAAACCTGTGTGTTCAATGATGGAGATGGCAGCCCCAAATTTATAAATTTATTGCAGCACCAGTAAGAGTGATCATTAGACAAATCTTAGCAAATATGCACCTCTTTTATGAAAAGCACTGAACATATTCAGATAACTTTGTGTTGGAAGAATGAGGCGACTCCTAATCACTTTCAAACTAAAGGATCTTTTATTTCCCTAGTTTTAAGAATTGCTATTCCTTCCTGGCATGTTCTTGTAAGAATCCAGGTGCAAAGAAGTACATGGCTTAATCCTACTCCAAACAGAATATTTTATTTCTCTGATGTAGGGAATGAAACATGAAACTTTATAGTCAGTATTCTGTATCGGGTGCTTATGGTGTGCTGTTTTTGACAAATATTTGTGGGAAACAAGTGCCACGAGACCTTTAAAACAAAAGTGAATACATGTTACAGGGGAAGCGCTCTGCAGAAGCGATTGCGAGATAGGGAAAAGGAAATGGAAGCAGATGAAAGAGATAGGAAAAGGGAAAAGGAAGAACTGGAAGAAATCCGGCAACGTCTTCTTGCAGAAGGACACCCAGATCCAGATGCAGAGCTACAGAGGGTAAGAGACTCCTTTTTTAGCAAAGGGTGGTGAATGAGCATTTTTATAATAGTAGACCATGTCACGTAGTTGACTATTGGTAAGCTAGAGATTTGTGACTGACACTGTTGGTTGACGTGTCCTGGGTTTATCCCCATGTTCATGTGGAAAGCAGTTTTTTGTTTCAGATCTCTTTATATAAGTATCATAGTATTGTTAATCTGGATTTTTCCTTACTTATAAAGCCAAATAAAATTGAGCTTTTAAAAAACTGCCTCGGATTAACTAGGATTATCCATTTACGGGGACAGCCAGGCTTGCTTTGCATGTTTTAACTCCTAATAAGTGCATTTGGTGAAGAATGTGCATAAGACCACAATTTTGTTCCATAGATGGAACAAGAGGCTGAAAGGCGTCGACAGCCACAAACCAAACAGGAGCCAGAATCTGAGGAAGAGGAGGAGGAGAAGCAAGAAAAGGAAGAGAAGAGGGAAGAACCTGAAGAAGAGGAGGAAGAGCCAGAGCAAAAGCCCTGCCTTAAACCAACCTTGCGACCCATCAGCTCTGCCCCATCTGTTTCCTCAGCAAGTGGCAATGCAACTCCTAACACTCCTGGGGACGAATCTCCCTGTGGTATTATCATCCCACATGAAAACTCGCCAGATCAGCAGCAGCCAGAGGAGTACAGGCCTAAAATAGGGCTTAGCCTCAAATTGGGCAAGTTTTTTCTCTTGTTTCTATCCATGTGAGGAAGGAGGGCACAAAGATAGGAAGTGAGATTCTGTGCTTCCCTTCTTTGAACCTTTTGATTGTATAATTATTATTGATCCATTTGAGAGCAGAGCAGTTGAGTGAAGCAGCATAGAATAAACTCTTTAATCCTAGCCACTTTGCTCTATGGTTGATTTTTCTCTCCCCAGCCTTTTATTATTATTTTGTTGATATCCCATTGTTTTTAAAAGTGCAGCTCTTACCTGAATTTGGAAGAGTTTCCAGATTGTGTTTAAATATATTAAAATGAATCTTCTTTATATTTTAGGTGCCTGCAATAGTCCTAACCAGCCCAATGCCGTGAAAAGAAAGAAACTCACTGTGGACAGTGTCTTCAATAAGTTTGAGGATGAAGACAGTGATGACATGCCCCGAAAAAGGAAACTGGTGCCCCTGGATTATGGTGATGAAGACAAAGGCTCCTCCAAAGGCAGCGTCAATACTGAGGAGAAGCGCAAGCACATTAAAAGTCTAATTGAGAAAATCCCCACAGCCAAACCAGAACTCTTTGCTTATCCTCTTGACTGGTCTATTGTGGATTCAGTAAGTGTAATTTTTTACAAAATCTTGAGTATGAACTACAGGACATGTGTTGCACAAATTTGCCACCTCTTATGGTTCAACACTGAGTATAGGTAAAATTTATGCACCTCATTGAATAATATGAGCTCTGTGGGAAAATCCTTATTTCAGTACATAACCAAGCCCCCATGCCTGCTATTTATCTTTAACTAGAAAAGAAATACTACCCTATACATAGGCATGTCACATCATTTTAGTTTAATTTAATGTTCTGTTGAAAGCTGCCCAGAGTGGCTGGGGAAACCCAGCCAGATGGGCGGGGTAGAAATAAATTATTATTATTATTATTATTATTATTATTATTATTATTATTATTACCAAAATGCAAAGATCAGCTTGGATCCTAAGTGTCTAAGTGCCCCTCTGCTTGTGAAAGGCTTCCAGTCTAGCAAAGGATTCCACTAGCAGGAGCAAGGGGAGACAATATTCACTTGTTCATCTTACAGCTCTCCCACAATGTTCTGTAAAGTCCCCAAAAACTATTGAACACATTATGAAGGACACAAGAGGCTGGGGGAAAGAGGAAATCACTTCTGCTCACAGGAGTATCTGTACTTTCATCAGTGAAAGAGAATTCTGGATGCAAGCCATTTACTTATATATCAGATCATTTAGTAGTGGTAGCATGGAATATATAGCAGGCAAGAAGTAAGGAGGCATGTTGCTGTTCTGTCAAACATGTCTCCTTGATGAGATCTGCTGCAGGCAAAGGGAGACAACTAAAACCTGTTGTATTGATACATCTGCCCATGTCCTATTTTGGATCCTGGCTTACAAGTTTGGCAAGAGCTAGCTACCAATTAAATAATGTTAAGTTCATAAACATTTTGTCTTTTAACTGGTCTACTTAATTTTTTTTACATGTTACATACTGTACATGCCTTGAAATCGAAGGAATTTAAAGCAAATTTTGATAAAGGAATTGCCATCATACCTCTGCAGTCCTATGCATATTGTTTTAGAAGTAAGTCTCATTGAGTTCAGTGGGACTTATTTCCAGGTGTGTAGGGTTGCAACCTCAAACATTTTTTCTATTTCATTCTGCTATAATTAAACACCGGAAGCAGATAAATCTAAAAAAATAGCACCAGTAGTTAAAATTTTACTTTACTTGGTTTATTTACTGATGTAAGCCCATTTAAATCTTGTAGTCATAAACACAATAGGTGCTTCTTTACACACTGCATTACAAGATGTGGTCATAGCCACCCGCTAAAATCGGATTAGACAAATTCATAGAGAAGGCTTTCAGTAGCTATTGGGCATAACGGCTTTATACTGCCTCCAGGATCTGGAGGCAAAATTCCTCAGTAGTAGTCACTGGGGAACAGTTCATTCATGTCCTACATGTTAGTTTCCCAGAGGCATTTGGTTGGCCTTTCTGGGAAAAAGGTTGCAGGACTAGATAGGCCTTTAGTCTGAACTAGCAAAGATTTTCTTTCAATGTTAATACAGTATTGTTGCTATAAGTGACAAAGGGACGTGGGTGGTGCTGTGGTTTAAACCACTGAGCCTCTTGAGCTTGCTGATCTGAAAGTTGGTGGTTCGAATCCGTGCGATGGGGTGAGCTCCTGTTGCTCCTGTCCCATCTTCTGCCAACCTAGTGGTTCAAAAGCATATCAGTGCAAGTAGATAAATAGGTACCGCTGTGGCAGGAAGGTAAGCGGTGTTTCCGTGCGCTCTGGCTTCCGTCACGGTGTTCTGTTGCACCAGAAGTGGTTTAGTCATGCTCTCCACATGACCTGAAAAGATGTCTATGGACAAAGCTGGCTCCCTCAGCCTGAAGCGAGATGAGCACTGCACCCCAGCCTTTGACTGGACCTCACCGTCCACGGGTCATTTACTTTTACCTTTACTTTTACCTTTTATAAGTGACAAGGGATGAAAGCAATGTATGGTCCAAATAAAAAAATATGGAAACTATTTAAAATGATAATATTTTCTATTTTAGACATTAATGGAACGTCGAATTAGACCATGGATCAACAAGAAAATAATAGAATATATTGGTGAAGAAGAAGCAACGCTAGTTGACTTTGTTTGTTCAAAGGTAAACTTCTTCATAAATACATATTTTAGGTGGCTGATGCTATAATTTCGCTTGCCAGTTGGGCTTACTTGTACCTTTGGTGGACTAAGGCAGGAATAGCTTTTACAGCAAATACGCTGGCTCCTTTTACTCTTTCATTTCAGCTTAGCAATTTTCTTCTGTGATTCCACTGTTTCTACTGTTCTTTCCATGTATAAATACTAAAAATAAAAATTAGACTTCCTTTCCCTCATCTTCACGGACTGGCTTCTGAGAAGAAGACACAAGAAGCTTGCCTCCCACCCCCACTTTAGGGATAATTGGATTGCCCTCCTTAGCAGCAGTGATACAGTGAGATCTACCTCTCTGCAGGCTTTAATTTTCAGCTCTTACAGAGGTGTCATTGGCTGAGGTGGATTTTTAGAAATGTGTACAGTGGTTACAGACGCTTCAGGTTACAGACTCTACTAACCCAGAAATAGCACCTTGGGTTAAGAACTTTGCTTCAGGATGAGAACAGAAATTGTGCAGTGGTGGCGCAGCAGCAGCAGCGGGAGGCCCCAATGGCTAAAGTGGTACCTCAGGGTACCTCAGTAAAGTGGGACCTCCAGAACGAATTAAGCTCTTAACCTGAGGTACCACTGTACTGTCATCACTAGTCAAAGTACGAGCTGTTTCCCATCCCCTATGCACCCAAGCCACCAAGGCCTGAAGTAGGCCAAACACTCCTGAGCAAGCTAGACCAGACCTAGAGGACACCACAGCTGTGTGTGGCATTCCCTTCACCAATGGAGCTAATATGCCCCTTATAGAGTAGGATGGCAGTCTCAGTGCCACATGAGTGCATTGGAGCACATTGCGAGGGGCAACTGGTCCAGATGGATGGGAGATCCTTTGAGTCACAGCACAGCATTGACTGGCTCAAACTTCAGGCAGCATGTCTGCCCACTCAGTACTTCTTCTACAGCATGCCTGTCTCACACCCTTTGCTTCCTCTGAAACAGCATTGGCTGGAGTAGTAAGTTGTTGCCGTTGGGATCCACTCTAGTTGGTTGGGCTTTTGTACATCCCAACCCAGTGATGCTACATGGGCAAGTGAAATAGCACCATTGTACCTATCTGAAGAGTCGATTTGCTTGTCCAATGTAGCATCACCAAGGCCACACCCTTGCATAGCCTGCAACACCTCTTCCCACCTCTGCTAGCACGGTCGGCTTTCAGTTAGTGGTTTGTTGTAGGATATAGGTTAACATTAGTCTGAGTTTCATTTCTGGACTGTTCATGCTCGGTGAGTATGCAAAACTAAAAAGGAGTCAGCCTATTTCCTGTAAAAGGTACTCCTCCCTTCATCCACTGGAGGCGCAAGGAAGCCCAACTCAGTGATGCTACACTGGACAAGCAAATCTACCCTTCAGGTACAGTGGTAACTTTCTCTCCACCTCGCAATCTGTGCACTTTCATTTCACAGTATTTGCCCAAAGTAAACTACTGACAGTGTGTTGCCTTCTATACATAAATATATAACTATGTTGTTGTTTTAAACTGATGGGTCAAAAGCCTGATACTAGACTTGCACACATAACCTGCAGGCTTGTGCATCAGTTATTTCGGGAAACTACAGTCTGCTCCAACGTGACAGCAAACAGTGTGATGGTTTTGTTTTGAGTTAACTAAGGTGGCAGGACACAAGTGGTAACTTTCCTTTCTCACTGTTCTTGGTCTACCTCAGTCACTTACAAATGCAATCAAATACCTGTTATGAATCGAACAAGGGAGTTGAAACTAAAAATGCCTTTTGGTCCACCTTTCAAATCATTTAGGGTTGTATCCAGTTGTGTTTCTACTCACAATAAGGGTTTTTGATCAGCAGAGGCTTTTGTGAATGGATTGGGAAGAGAAGCCGTTTCCCAAATTCCCTATTTCTCCTACATACCTGTAACACCTCCCGTGCTCTTCCAAAAGCCCCCCTCCCCAATCTTCTGGAACAGGTTTTTGAGGTGCAAGGAGCTACAGAGGGAAGGGGGGAAACAGTAAAAATCACAGTGCTTGCTTCCATTCTCAGAAGCTTCCTCTGGAGCAAACAACCTTATTTAAAATTGAAAGCAACGGGCTTGCTTTTCATGGATTTTATTTTAAGATACATGTGTTTGCTACCTGCTAGAATGTTACTGTTATGTGGGCAACAGTTCTAAATCTTGCATGGTTCAATTTTCAGTCATACAAGTGCTGTGTTCTCAATGTTGATATGTCTCTTTCAGGTTATGGCTCATAGTTCACCGCAGAGCATCTTGGATGATGTTGCTATGGTGAGTAAAGGAAAAACACGCCACATCCAGAATTTCTAATTTGTGTAAACTTAGAGCTCTTCTGTGAGAATCACCTTCACTAAATGTATTCAGATGTACTTTTTCCTCTGGTTTTTAATGCCCTATTTTCTTCTTTTTTGGTGTAGGTGCTAGATGAAGAAGCTGAAGTTTTTATAGTCAAAATGTGGAGGTTATTAATATATGAAACAGAAGCCAAAAAAATTGGGCTGGTGAAATAAAGAATCCCTTTTTGTTTTGGGGGTGCCATTTCAACTTTTGTTCTGCATCACTGAAGAACTTTGAAGTTTCTCTGTCTTCAAGAGACATTTGTGAGACCTGTATTTTTTAAATGTAGAAAATGTGAATTTTTTTCCCATCTTGTTACACTGAGGTCCCCTCTCCCTCCCTCCTGCCCTCACCCCAGCTTCCTTGGTTGTAATTATCTGAATTCTGCATTGGTGGTTTTTCACTCACCAGGTACAGTTACAGGTATTGTTTCATAAACTACTGCAGCTGCTGTACACAGTCTCTGATATTCATCTTCTAAACTGTTCCTTGTAAATATTAAAAAGACCCATGTTTTAGAAGCATCTGTGCTTACCACAAACCAAAATAATTGAATTTTATGTAAATACACCAACCTCTTCTTTCCCTTCTCCATTTTAAAATATTAGAATAAACTTTAAAATTCTAAAAATGGATGGGAGTCATTTTGTTGGCACACAGTTTTCATCTGCATGGATAGGGGATCATTCCCTTGTTGGACTTTATAATATTTCTAGAGGAATCTATAGAAAAACATGGTGGACTTGCTTCAACTCAGGCATTCTTGTAAAGCCATTGATAAATTTCCTCCTGCTCGTTACATGAGGCCTTTTGTTCAGTTACGGTGGTGACAGAATTTCATACTCAGTTGTGTTTTTAATCAAGGATAACTAGTGCACAAATTTATTTAATTTTAGCTTCCTACTAATACAAGTCTGACATCTAAAGTATTCTTTTTTAATTATTTAAAATAAAATCCATAGACAGGTTTGGGAAACTTGTGGATAGAAAAGGTTTAAAAATGTAACTTGAGCACAACAGTTTACAATGTTAAAATCATATGCTTTCGAACAATGGAGAAATTTGTTTTTATGTAAGTCATCAAGTCAGTTGTGACTTTCTTTTTGTACTGTAAGCTGTCTGTCGGCTAGAGGATGATATTTCTTGTCCTCTTACTCTGTATGAGTTTTATACATATGCTGATGTGGTATCAATAACAACGTACTGTAAACTGCATTTTTTAAAATCTTCACAAGTAGAAAGACTGTACGCTATGGGCCTTCTTGATTGCAGGATGAACACTTTCCAGGAAGCAACAATTCTCACTTTTTAAAATACTGCTCTTCTGATATCTCTTTACCTGAAGGATACAGGTTGACCTATTTAGGAGGTGCAACCATGACACTGAGTTACTGAGTACATGCATTATAAGAAGACAGCTGGAAAAAACTGTTCTTAATAAATGGGATCCTATAAATGGTTCCACCATGTAAATATTTCAGATATTAAAAATGTATATATTTGATCTGGATTTTGATTATTTAATTATGTTTCAAAATATACTACTACTTCTATTTCATTTCTGGAAGTAATGGATTAGTTGGCTTGTTGATCTGGCAAAAACTTCCCAGTATGGAAATACAGCTTCAAATTCTGCACACTGGCCAAACTATATAGTGTTGAGTTGGATCTAGAATAAGCTGGTTGCACTTGAGTTTGTTGAAATCAAGTTAGAAGAAGAGTTTGCATTTGCTATCCTGCCTTTCACTCCCTTTAAGGAGTCTCAAAGCGGCTAACATTCTCCTTTCCCTTCCTCCCCCACAACAAACACTCTGTGGGGTGAGTGGGGCTGAGAGACTTCAAAGAAGTGTGACTGGCCCAAGGTCACCCAGCAGCTGCATGTGGAGGAGCGGAGACGCGAACCCGGTTCCCCAGATTAGGAGTCTACCGCTCTTAACCACTACACCACACTGGCTCTCATGTTAGTCATGACTAACTGAAGTCCCTAAGTACAATTTGTTAAATTTGTAGCCTATGTTTCCACGAAATGTTGCTGTGACTAACAGTAATAATTTAAATAGAGTACAATAAAACACCAACAAAATACAAGTTGAAGTAAAAACAAAGTTGCCAAACTTAATCTAGATCCCACCTAGTGAATTGTATTGTTACAATTACTGGGGGTGGGGGGAAGGAATGGAATCTCAAGAATTGAGAACCTTACCACTTCTAGGAGACAAATTATATGTATTGACCTGTTACACAATGATAGAAGTGACAGCCTAACTAATCGAAGAACAATAAAAAACTGAATAATAATGGTCTGTTTTACCACAACCCTTCACAAAAAGGGAAAGGGCCATAACTGGATCCTAGCATTTCCAGGCAGGATCCAGCTGAACTGGAGAGTTGCTGTCAGGCATTTCTCAATCTGATGCCCTTCAGATGTGTGAGATGAGGACTCCTGTCATCTGCTGATCATTGATCATGCTGTCTGAGGGTGATGGTTTAGAGTCCAATCTGGAGGGGGCACCAGGTTGGGGAAGCAGTGGCGTAGCGTGGGGGGTGCAGGGGGGGGCCAGGCGCAACATCTGGGGGTTAAGGTTAGGGGGCGCAAATCAACGGGTTAGAGGGCGCAAATTACTTGCCTTGCCCCGGGTGCTGACAACCCACGCTACGCCACTGTGGGGAAGCCTATGCATGATGAACAAGTGGTCTGTCTGCTATAAAGCAGCTTCTATGTTTGGTTTATCGAAAAAGCAACACTGAACACTTGAAAACAAGAATGTATGCTTAATATGTATGGACATACAATGCTAAATTAGCAACAGCAGTGCAGCAATAAAAGGTAAAGTTAGCTGCATGGCTCCCTGGAGTTGATGTTGGTAACATTAATCTCACCATCAAAATTAACAGTTTGCATCCTAACCAGCAAAAAAAAAGTCGAGAGCAACAAAAATTACTGCTGAAAAATTAATTTTAATGTACGTAATTCCCAACCATCTGCTGAAACATAAGTTTTTAACGCAGAATTGACCTGATAGTGTCTTTTATTGGTCCCTTTTTTTAGCAGACATGTAACTCATGTAACTTGTGTATTTGTTTTGAAACTACTGATTTTACCTATGTTTGATAACATTTTCTGTCTTCTTGTTTTCAAAGTTTTATTTCACTGGCATTTTATTACAACTATATTCTATGAAAACCACATGGGAGTTTTTATTGATTATCAGCATATACATCTTGTAAAATATAAATAAATAGATCAGAGGGGGGGGGAATAGTTCATCATCCCAACTTGGCCATGCATGCATCTGATGGGAGTTTGATACCAGCAACATCTGCAGCACCATAAGTTCCCCAGCACTTATTTTATATAAAAAGTTTTTCAAGGTGTGTATTAACACAAGGATATTGGTTTATAAGAGGTGCTGAGATGATAACCTAGCTCAGGGTTTTCAAATGCCTTGGACTACATCTCGCATCTCCAGCCAGCATGGCCAGTAGTTGGAGATTATGGGAACTGTAGTCCAAAATTTAAGTTTCTGCAGTGTCTTTCAAGTTGTTGGGACCCTTGATTGTATGCTCCTCACTTTAAATCAGGGTAGATTTGTCTAGCTGACAGTTGGGCCAAGTTCACACACTAGTAGTCACAGCTGTAGCAACATAAACTGGATACCTTGTACATCTTATAACAAAGCTTATCTAAAACTATGAAGGCAGTCCTTATTCCCAAACTCAAAAGGTATTGTAGGTTAGGATGTTGAAAGCCATGAGGCTTGTTTGTACATTATTTTAAGTTCTTACATTCATGAGAATCACCACCACGGACAATCTACAGAGTTGTGTCTACATGTAAACAGCTTTGTATCGTTTTTGAAAAGTCAGGAGCCTTTGCTTGTCAGAGTAAGGCAGGGGTCAAATCCCCAGTTATGCATGAAGCTCACGGGATGACCTTGGGCCCCTCACTGTTTCTCAGCCAAACCCACCTCACAGGACTGTGAGGCTAAAAGGAAGAGGGGAACCATATACACTACCCTGAGCTTGGAGGAAAGGTGGGGGTATAAACGTAATAATAAAATGAAATAAACCTTGTCTCATAGTGCAAATGTAGCAAGTGGCAGAGGTAAGATACTAGTGGCTGTGGCTCCTCCTAAACTGCTAAGGGAGTTGTAATCCTCTGCACACTACTTGAAAGTAATCCTAACTGAATAGGATTTTAGTGTCAACATACATGTATACATAGGGTCGGGCTGCAAAATAAAGTGGGTGTGTACCAAAGATGTCATGGACTTTGAAGACGCTCGAACTCAGGAGGAAAGGTAGAAATGCGCTAATAATAATAATAATAATTTGTTAAGAGGAAGGCACGTTTGGCAAACCCTCACCACGATAAACTCCCACCCGGAAACCTACGTCCCCACTGTGGAAGGACGTGTGGATCCAAAACTAGCCTCCACAGTCACTTACGGGCTCACTCTTAAGACCGTGTTCATGGAAGACAATCTTACTCGGCTACGAGTGATCGCCAAACTTAGAAGAAGAATCGCATGGGATCTACCCTAGCAAAGGAGCGACTTCCCTGTTGATCCTCCACGAACAGAGCTAGTATTTTCTCTCGGCCAAACTAAACCCAAAGCGCAGCCCTTCAGAAAGAACGCAGACGGTTTTGAGCTTTAATGTATTTATTATCCCCCTTTTGCGCCAATACAACCTGACCAACCTTAGCTACCAGGCACCTACACTTCGATGGAAGGCGGCGGGCGAGGACCTTTTAACTCTTAGGCAGCAGAATGCCTGCGCCGGCCTTGCTTCGAAGAGAAACGTGCAGATTAAGGCAACCCTTCTTCGAATGGAGCTGCTGCCTTTTTGGCGCAGCGGTTCCTGACGTCATCAGCCCCCGCCCGCTTCCTCCGGCGGCAGCTGCTGCTGGTGCAGCTGCTGTCGTTGCGCGGCCTCGCGCGCTCCTTCTGATAGACAGCTGCGGTCCGCCGAGGAGAAGCTCGGCTGCGCAGGCGCACCACCACCCCCGAGAGAGCGTGAGTGGGCGGGGACGAGGCGCCGACTCCCGAGGGGAGGGGGAATGGGGGGCGGGGCTTCGACCGGAAGCGCCGTGCGTGTCGCGGGAGGAGGGGGTGGGAGGGAGGGGGTGGTGCTGTGAATTCGGGCCGGGAAGAAAACAAACCGGTGGGACCGGCTCCGAGGGGGGACAGGTAAGGAGAGGTGGGCCCGGGGCGGGGAGCTGCGAAGAGCGCGACGAGGAAAGCAGGCCCGTGAGGGGGAAAGGAAGCGGGGCTCCTCTTTCGGGGGGATGGGGGCCCTTCCCCTTCTCCTCGTCACGTCGCCCCTTCCTCACCCGAGCGTTTCCGAGGGGAGTCATGGGACTCCGGAGGCAGCCTTCCCTCACAGCTCCGTGGCCCTCTTTGTCTCAGATCAGAAAGGATGCCCCTCCCCACACGAAACCTCCTCCTGCCTTCAGACACTTTAAACAATACCGGCTGGAATCCCACCTCCCCGCCTTCCCTTCGTGGGTGAAAATGCCCCGGAAAGAGGGCGGGTCTCCTCCAGCCACTCCCGCGGACCGCCAGTCCGTGTGGGAAGTGTGTTGAAATCTGAATTAAAGGGCACTCCTAGGCGTGTCTACTCATTAGTAAGCCTCGTTAAGTTTGTTGTTGTTTAGTCGTGTCCGACTCTTCGTGGCCCCAGAGCACGCCAGGCACTCCTGTCTTCCACTGGCTCCCGCAGTTTGGTCAAACTCATGTTAGTAGCCGTCTCGCCCCTGTCGTCCCCTTCTCCTTGTGCCCTCAGTCTTTCCCAACATCAGGGTCTTTTCCAGGGAGTCTTCTCTTCTCATGAGGTGGCCAAAGTATTGGCGCCTCAGCTTCACGATCTGTCCTTCCAGTGAGCACTCAGGGCTGATTTCCTTCAGAATGGAGAGGTTTAATGGGATTTCTTCCCGGGTAAAGGTGCGTAGGATCGCGCGACCTTAAGTGATTTTGAGCCTACAGCATAGCCAGAATGGACTTGGTGTGCTAGCAGTGGCTTTAGAAGCTCTGAGTGGTATTCTAAGTTTTACTCGGAGAGTAGACCACTGGAATTGATGGGATTAGTTGCGTTCATTAATTTCACTGAGCCTACTCTGAGTAAAGCTTAGTTGATTTTTACCCTCTGTGTCTTTTATAGTTGTACAGAATGCGGACACTTGGAGCTTATGTCATCATGGGGATGTGGTAATGGGGAAATCTTTTGTCTGTTGAAAGTTCTCTTCTGAGTTTTTTTTTTAAAAGGAGCTTTTTCCTTTGGCACAGTGTTACGATAGTACTGGACTGCTGTTTGTGTCCAGTTGTTTTCTGACTTATTTCAGAATAAAGACTAAGTGCTCCTTTTGAAGTATGTTAGCCAGTTCTTTTTTGCTTTCCACCAGAAGTCTTGAAGCCTCTAAACTGGTGCTTATCAATGAGATGCAGAAATATGCAGCGATGCACATAGTTCTGATCGGCTGTACTGATGAAATTTGGTCTTAGGTCTGCTTTGCTACCCCCCTCCCCCTTTAAAAATAGAGTTTTGAGGAGATTATCTGATAGGAGAGGGTTGTAGATGACTTGGATGGTATAAGACCTTTTTTAAAAAAAACTAACCATATTAAAAATTGTAAAAAGCGCAAATCATTCGTATAGTCTGGATAGTAGAAAGTTGGACTTTCCCTTATTTCTTTGCATATTTATCATATGTAAAGTAGGGTTCTAATTGGCATTGACAATGGAAATATGGGACCCAGCAGTGTAACTGGGGTATATTCCAAGCTAAGTAAGTAATATTCTAAGCACTCTTGGAAACAAATGAAAATGAGGTAATGCACAGCATCCCTTTTTAGTGCTTTTGAATTGGCCACAGCTCCTTCTAATTGCTATTACTATCACATTTCAAAAAAGTTGGCAGGACTATCATAATCTGTCTAGACTGTTCATGAATTGATTGGTTGCTGGATTATGTTTTCCTGTCATTTTGTTTCAGTGGTTTCCAATCAAATAATGTCTGTTAAGAGAACACTGCACAGGAACCTTGGTTAGTTCCAACCATGATTAATGTCACTGCTAACATAATAATTTGTTGTCACTTGAAGCTAGTTTGAAATCCTCTGTTAAGGAGGGCGCTAGTCATTGCTATCTGTAGCAGCTAAGCACAACTAGGTCCAGCAAGACAAATTTGTGTTCTAGAAAGTAGAAAGGATTCAGTCCTGTGCTCCACTCCTGACTGCTTAACTGTGATTAATTTCCAAAAATTATAGTGCTCCCTTCATTGTAAAAATAATCTCAGGGTGAGTCACAATAATAGTAGAGCATCCACAACATAACATTGATAATAGAATATTGCTAATATGCAGATTAGCATCTAAAAGAAATACAGCAACCCTTAATGATACAACAGAAAACTACTACTACTTCTTTGGCCATCACTCGTAGCTGAGTAAGATTGTATTCCAAGAACACAGTTTTAACAGTGAGTCCATAAGTGACTGTGAATGCCAGTTCTGGATCCACACATCCTTCCACAGTGGGGACATAGGTTTACATACTGGAGTCGATCAGATAACAAGGTTGTGTCTGTACTGGCTTTGTGTTGTAAAGCATCTCTGTGCTGAAAATAAGTATCCAGAGAAATGTTCCTGTTTAAGAACAGATCATCTCTACCTGAAATAATAAAGCATTAATATGTTTTTAATCCTATTTACAACCTGTCATGCACTTTCTTCCTGTTTTTAAACCAGCTTCATTTCTCAGTTCCCTCCAATCATTCTAGTTTGTTTCCTTTCAAGTTTAATTCTCATTCATTGTGCCATGCATGCAATAACTTCTAAAATCCACTTGGTCCACATGTGAGATATTTCTTAATAATTAATACATGCATCCCTTGTAGTCAGAGGCTTTTTCTAGGTTGCTTCCACATAGTTTATGAAAGTTCAGTGGAAATACTACAGAAGAGAGTACCAACACTTCTTTCAAAGAATCAGTCTGAGTAAAGTATATCATTTATTTCATTAACAAATGTGAAGAAAATTATGGACTCTGTTTTTATAAGCATTGCAACATCCTTCCTTTATAATATTCTCCACCTCCCACATTCACTCCTCCACTCTATCAATTTTTATCAGAATGATAACTGGCAATGCTAACTGCAAGAATACCAAACCAGAAAAAAGTTAACTGTCTACTAATAGATCGTGCTCATTTATTACTACATATGGTGTTCAAATATCTGACTTTTCCCATTATTGCATTCCTTCACTGATAAATGGCTGTGGAGAAATAAGTATGGAGTCTTATTTAGCTCTCTTAGTAAAATATAGTAACAGTATACTACTACTCAAACATTGCTTCCTTAGACTTGATTAATAGAATACAAACTCGAATAAACAGCAATAGATGCTATGACTATATATTTTAATTTTTCTCTGTGATTGTTTAATGCTGTCCTACTGGACAGTTAATAATATTCCATGTGTGTATGTCTCATAGAATAAAGTCAGTACAGAGTGAACACTGAAATCTTAAGCAGTTTTCGGTGAAGGTGAAAGCAATGATCAACTGTCTGAGCCTATGCAATTATTTATTCTAGACATTCTTCAGGTGGAGCTTGGCCAAGCTTGTCAGTAGAAGAAGGATTACTATTATACACATCAGCTAGCCTACCAATCTTGCCACCAGGATGGAAAGTATAGAAACCATCATTCCTGATTGCATCCACAAAGCCTTCTTGGAGCATCTGTTCATGATGATAATGAAGTGTTTCTGCCAGTGAACTCTGTAGCTGTCTTTTATTTTAAATCTCAGAGCAGGCACATTATTGAAACAGTATTTTTCACTGTACAGTCATACCTCGGGTTGAATATGCTTCATGTTGAGCGCGTTCGAGTTGCGCTCCGCGGCAATCCGGAAGTAACAGAGTATGTTACTTCCGGGTTTCACCGCTCGCGCATGCACAGACGCTCAAAATGACGGCATGCGCAGAAGCGGCGAAAAGCGACATGCGCGTGTGCAGACATGCCGTCGCTAGTTACGTTTGCTTCTGGATGCGAACGGTTCTCTGGAACGGATCCCGTTCGCATCCCGAGGTACCACTGTATAGAATAAATAAGTCTAAAGTGTTGAAAATTTCCCTTGTCTCTCTCTGTTGGTTATATCCTACCTTTTTATGTAATTTTCTACAGACCTATGCTTGTTTCTTAAATGACCTTATCCAAAGAAAAGGATGGAAGGGCAGAGTAGATTGTGTCCCAGTGGTATAGTAAAGAGACATGGGTGACTGATTTCAACTAATTAGTGTGTTATCAAGTTATTATTTGAATAATTGCATTCACCATAGGTTTAAGAACGCTAATGTGTAGACTGTGTATTTGGAAGTTTAAGAAACAGTTCTCTTGGCTCTGGTTTTGCAAAACTTTTTTTTGTAATAATGTTGCACCTAGTAGAGCTGATTGGCTTGTCTTCCATTCTTTCTTTTATGTGTCTAAAACTAAGATTTTCCCCATCCTTTTGATTTTTCAGAATTACCATATATCAGTATGAGATCTTACTGTGTACATATTATTCTAATTGGTTTTCAGAGGAGGTGTTTGCATTGTTTTTAGATAACAGTTAGAAATCTTGAATGGCTGTCACATTTGAATCTGTTTCCCTTACTACCGCCCATCAGTTCCATGTTTCTATGTTGCAGACAGCTAAGGCTTAGAAGTAATTTCCATTTAGCAATGTGGAACTTTTCCGTTGTGCTCAGTAGGGCTGGGCAATATATCAATATATCGTCCAAAACCGGTTTGAAGTTCACATCGTCATAATTGTTTCAAAATATTTGAGCTGTCAGTATATCACGAATCACAATGTATGTAAGGACTAGGCGATAACTGGTTTTCAACATCGCAATAACTCACCAGCTAAACCTCACAATATCACCAGCTAAACATTGCAATGTTATCAGCAGCTAAACCTCACACAATATCACCAGCTAAACTTTGCAATCCATCACATCTGTAATAAGGATGAAACTATATAGAGGTGAACAGGACAATATCCAGGCAACTGCTACTACTTAAGAAGTCTAAAATGGGTAAATGACAATATTATCAACCACCACACAGTCAGTTTCATCAGCAGTCAAGCCAAAATGCATCCCAACAGGACTTTTGGTTTTGGCTTGGCTACCAAATGGTGGTATGCAGGACAATCCAAAGTACAGCAATGAGTCATAGTAAATACATATAATCTGGGACTGCCAGTCTGCCAGCAGGAGGCAGAAACAGCTATGGCAGAAACAGCTGGCCATGACCGCGGTATGTGTCGGCAGTAGAGGTGACAACTTGCAAGGCCTCGTTGTGACAGCCCAATCAGTGGTGGCCTGCGAGTCCTTGTGGTGGTGACGGGAGGGGGCAGTAGTAGCAGCGGCAGCTTGCAAGGCCTTGTGGTAGTGGGAGATGTTAACAGGCTGCGATGCCTGGCAGCGATAACAGGGAGTGACAGCAGTAACCGCAAGGCTTCGTGGTGACAACAGGAGGTGGCGGCAGTAGTGGTGGCAGCCTGTGAGGCCTCACGGCGGTGGCGAAAAGTGGCAGCAGTAACGGCAGTGGCTTGCGAGATCTCATGGCAGCGACAGGAGGTGACAGCAGTAGCAGCGGCCTGCAAGGCCTCACAGCGGCGATGGGAGATGGAAGTAGTGGTGGCAGCCTGCAAGGCCTTGCAGTGGCGACACAAACAGTGGTGGCCTGCAAGGCCTTAAGGCGGTGATAGTGATGGCAGGAGTGGCAGTGGCCTGCGAGGACTTGTGGCAGTGATGGGAGGCAGCGGTAGTGTCCTGTTGGCCTCTGCGTAGTTCCTTCCTTATTTCAGATATCATGATATATCAATATATCGTGATGTTTAGCTGGTGATATAATGCAATATTGAAAACCAGTTATCGCTCAGCCCTGGTGCTCAGTACCTTCTGCCAAGCTGTTTCCTATACATTTCCCCCCACCCCACCCCCCAGTTTATTCAGTGACCTCTCCTATCTTTAGGATCTTCTTTCAAAACCCAGTACCTTAGCACAGCCTTTCTGCAACCAGTCTTGTCTCAACTTACTTACACTTCTACTGCCATTTGACATACCTTTTCCCTTCCTTCTATACACTGGACCCAGAACTTACACTTACCTTTCATTCGTGATAGGAACCTTAGGTGGGTGAGCAATAAATAAATGGAGAGCAAGGAAAATACACCATTCCCTGCTCTCCATTTATCTGTCCCCCCCCCCCCCCGCTCACCCAGTGGGTTTTCCTTCTTACTGGGCTCTGGGAAGGTTGCAGGAGGGCTCTGGTAGCATCCTAGGGCCAGGGCCCTCTCATGATCTCAGATCCTGGTAAGCAATCCTCTGCAGTGTGGGAGGGGGCGGTTCTGGGTTTACTGACTTTGCACGATTTTGCCTTTGTGCACAGACTCCTGCAACAGAACCTTAATGTAAGTAGCAGGCCAACTGTATATTTATAAATCCTGGGTGTTCCCTTTATTCCTCATTTCTGGTGAATATAACTTGTAAACTGTGTGTACAGCACATATCAAACTTTGGCAAATAGTGGTAATAGTAATGGTGGTGTAGATTAATGTTTTATATTGATTTAGGAAACCATCAGAACAACAAATGTATCAGATGGTTGCATGTAAATATTGGTTTCTTTCTGATGTAATCATTTTAAATTCTGTTCTTAACCCTTTTGAGTTGCTTCCTTAACCACTAACAAGAAATTCTAGATCACTTTCACACTTCCTGGTATGCCAGATTTTTTGTGGGGGAGGTAGATATGTTGAGGGAAGATGGCAGACAGCATGTTTGTCTAGGCACATGTTCCTGTCTTGAGCACTATCACCATTTTGTTTTCAGGGGTTCATTGGCCTGCTCCAAGCATAAGCACTGCTCAACTTTCTAGCCATGGTTTAGAGACAATTGAGTGTGTTCTGTGGGTTCACAGGCTCATCTTGTGTGAGCATTCCTCAGGCTTGTGGCCAGCTGTGGTTAGCACTGTCTCTGCTCAATGTCAAAATTAACCATAGGAAGTGACAAACAACCATTTTCAACCCAATGGTTAGAAACTGGTTAGTGTTAACTATTGTTAGCTTTTTAACATCAGTGCAAATATATGAAACCACAATTATCTCTGAAAGGGGAGGGAGTGCCCACCCAGGACAGGAAGAACAAATGACTCCATGGTGTACAACAGATCACCTAGCAATAGTATGGAAATAGTTAGATGGCCAGGCAGCAGTGTACTTGCATTCAATTACTTTCCCCTTCACTCTTGTCTTGAAAGCCAAAAGCTTAAAGCAAGAACATCATTTCAGTTCAGGGTAAGCTAACAAAGGATTTCAGACTCTCTCTTTTTAAAAAAATTACAGTTGCAGTATCTCAAGAAGAAGGAGCATTTGTGGAGTACCAAGTTCCAATGGCAGAACTATCTGCACACTTATCACAAGTCCAGCGTGGGCAGCTGAGAGAGAACTTGCCTGACAACCATCAGACCAATACTGTACGTAAGGACTGTTTTTTCACATGCCAGATTATAAACTACATATGGTAGCTGTGTTACAAAATGCTGAAAGATTGTGTAAAGCCTCTTGTGTTTGTTAAATGGGTCTTGTAATCTTGAATGTCATGAAGAAAGCAACATTTAGCAGGTGTAGTGAAGTGGTTAGAGCAGGTATAGGCAAACTCGGCCCTCCAGATGTTTTGGGACTACAACTCCCATCATCCTTAGCTAACAGGACCAGTGGTCAGGGGTGATGGGAATTGTAGTCCCAAAACATTTGGAGAGCCGAGTTTGCCTGTGCCTGGGTTAGAGTGTTGGACTAGGAATGAGAAGACCAGGTTCAAATCTGTGCTTGGCCATAAACTAATTGTGTGATCTTTGTCCAGTCACTATCACTTAGCCTAACCTACCATTATAAAGTTGTTTTGTAGATTAAAAAGTCATGTGTGCTGTCTTCAGCCCTTGGAGGAAAAACAGGATAACAATGCAAATAATAATAAAAATAATATAAATGCATTTAAGGGGAAAAAATTTCTGTTTCATTCTTTGCTAAATCTTTCACACCACATGCATATTATACTACTTTAGAAAGCAGTGACCAGTAAGCTCTTTAACTTTGATTTATTAAGTTATCAGATTGTATACACTGGTACCTTGGTTCTCAAACTTAATCTGTTCCGGGAGTCCGTTCGACTCTCGAAACCATTCAAAAACCAAGGTGAAGCTTCCGATTGGCTGCAGGAGTTTCCTGCACTCAAGCGGAAGCTGCATTGTATATTTGGCTTCTGAAAAGCGTTCGCAAACCGGAACACTTACTTCCGGGTTTGCGGTGTTCAGGAACCAATTTGTTCAGCAACTAAGCCATTCGGGAACCAAGGTTCCACTGTACTGCTTAGTTTTTATAGACAGTACAGTTTTATTTTATTTTTTTTTGCTGTGTGAACATTAGGATTTATTTGTTTATGTTTTATTAAAATATTTACAATCTGCCATTTGTCTGTACTGGTATCAGGGTGGAGCACAGAACAAAAAGTAAAAGCAGCCACCTAAATAATAAAATAAACAGTACTGTTAAAATATACCATCAAGCAAAAAGAAAATGTCTGAGAAAAGAAATAACTCTTAACCTGGTGCCAACATGAGGATGGCATTGGTGCTGATTGTAAGGAAAGGGTGTTCCACAGACAGGGCGCCACTACGGAGGAGGCTCTGTTCCTTCTTTTTCTTCTCTTACTACACATAATGCTAATTTAATGGTGCAACTGATGTATCACACTTTAAGAAATTGGCACTGCCTACTGTGTTGTGGCATCTGCTTGAAGTTTTGTACTTGTAGTATCCTCTGTATTTACAACATACTCTTCCAATCTCACTTGCCTGATAAAGAACCACAATCTGGGCTCAAAAGCAGATGACTGATGAAGTAACTCTGGAAAACTTCTTGCTTTAAACCCTTGTCTTGTAAATCACATTGTGAGGGCAATGTAGCCTGCAAAGTGGGTTATCTTTTAAATAAAATAAACAAAAAAGGCCTTATTCAATCAAAGTTTCTGAAGATCTGAATTCAATAGAAAGCTGCGTGATCTAGTTCATATTCAGAATTACTGGCCTTGTTCACCTATCACAGTAAACCACAGTTAATGGTTTATGGTCAACATATCAGTACTGGATGTTTTGCTCTTACCCACTTCTGCTACATAGGTAGAAACAAACCATAGTATCTGACTTAGCCTTACGTCCAAATTAGTGTGGGCCACAGGCCATTTTCTCCAAACCATACCCTTCAGCTCATCAGCTGATGTCACTTGTCACTTAACTCTCTGCTCATCACCTTATGAGTTAATGTTAAAACCTGCTCAGTTTGGCAGAATTACATGCAAACCCCTTTCTGATTTCTTGATTCAGGAAGGGATATGCTTTGGAATCCAATGCTAAAATGTGGGATGGGGGCTTTGTATAATACTACCTTGCAAGATGCTTTGAAGTCTTGATTTTGGGACTGTCTACCTTGTTAAATTTATGGCAGTTCAAACCATATGCAATTGCAGGCAGCTTGGGCCAGTTTTGGAGCCCCACAAGCTATCAAGGAAGCCAAGAGAGGATTTTACATCTTAAGACACATGAGTGTCATCTCTTCTGATCATTTAGCTTACTCATTCAAAGCTTCAGCTGTTCCATCAGGTCACTGCTAAATTCTGGACCTTGTCTCTGTGTCCTGATCCTCAGTGAAATTTTAGAACTCATAAGGCTTCATGGACAATTTGGTCATTAGCTTTACCAATAATGTTGCAATACATTATGCAGGGAAAGTCATGTCTTTTATTGCTTTAACTGTGTTGTACTAAATTCATTCAGAATGGGACTTTTAGAGAAATATCATAGCACGTGCTGAACAATGAGGGGCCAAACAGAAACTGACATTTGTGAAGAATTTGTAAGACATTTTGAACCAGTATTATTTCGGTATCATTTACAAAATCTTAAACAGCTTGTGCCATAAAAGTGGAAATTTCAGTATTTTTTATTAAAATAAATGCATAGGTATGGTTCCCATTCTGAGTGGCCAGTCCAGATGATGTTAACTTGGCAGGTATACACAGGATCAGCATGCAGGAACAGCATCATTTAAAAAATATTATTGCTCCCTAATTTCCTGACAATGATCACAGACACTTATAATACCTTACCAGTTCATTGCTTTTCAACATGATTTCCAATGCTTTGAACATCTTTGTGCCAAGCAGACCTCCCAAAAGTTTCCATGCTGAATGTGAAGGTTTCTCAGCATTAGTTCACCCAACTCCTGATACAGGTTTTTCAAGTTTCCCTGAAAATCTCTTGCATCTTAAGAGATAGTAAACACATTCATTTATACTGAATGACCCAGAATCTGTGTTTCAAATATTGCCATTTTCACATGCTACTTGAAAACCATTTATGGTAAGAGCCGTAGTTGGAAAAAGGTTTTCCCCCCTAAAAGGTTCACTTACTGCACTGACTCCTTGCAGAAACCAAGGCTCATCCTACATAGAATCCTCAGTAATTGAAGAGTCAGTGGTCCAAAATTTGGCAAAATTTTCAAACCCTACACACCATCATATCTCTTTCCTGGAGCTGCCTTCTGCATTTCCAGTTGGGTGAAAAGGCACTGACATAGTTCAGGAAGTTTGCACGTCCCAGTTCTGCACCTCTGGGACTATTGCTTGGGTTTGATATTTAACTCTTTTTTTTGATAGTTGCCAAGGCTGCTGTTTATCTTTGGTATTACTCATTCACCTTGAAGATATACAGTCATTCTTGCCCACACACCAGAAGTACAAGGGTCTGGTTCAAACCTCTTTCAAGGCTTTGCTTCCATAATGGCTGATGAAACTGAGGAATCTGTTCCTTTGCTTCCACTGCAGGTGGCACCTCTGACCTGTGATCTGTTTAATGCTAATCAGGTAGGGATTTGTGTTTTGTCTGTACTGGAACAAAGTGCAACAAATATGACACAATCCCCAGTGTCATAAAATGCATCTTTGCTCAGATATGCCTGCAGGTTTCACTGTTGTGCATTATTTTATCTTCTGTTCTGAATTGCAATCCTCAGCACAGTTCTTACTTGGAGTAAGAACCATGTCATAATGTCTTTTTTCCGTCTTTGTGTACTTGTGGCCAAAACCCATCATGCCACCCTTCAGAAGAACTGATACGAAAACTATTTAGTTCATACAGCCTGTGAAAATTAACTCCCTGTAGGAAGCAGTCATCAATATTCACTTGCAAGTGTCTTTGAATTGTACTTAATACTGCACTTTCCCCCCCTTCCAAGGTAAGGGCCAAAGATGTTTCTTTGAATCCATCAACAGTTATTTTCAGTTTCTTTAAATAAAAATGTGATGCACTTGACTCTCACCAGGAGAGGAAATTTAGGATCATGGATGTGGTTGTGATGTATATTCCTGTGATCTGTATTCTTTTATTACGCTATAATGTTGCGGCTTTTGGGAGAGTAGTTTTACTTAGATATTTTTTCCTCTCTAAATTGAAATTATTTCATATGGTGTATTACATTTGAATTCTACAACAGCATACAAGCTAATGTTTCATGTTTTTATGCCACCACTGCCAACCTCCACAATCTCATAAGTATAGGTATTACTGCTCTTGTACCTGCTCCTGTCTTGTGGTGATGCCGTACTTGTTTATTTCCAACACCCTTTCATAATTGGCCTGTGTTCCCTTTGCAATTAAAAAGCAATTGGAGAAGGCAGAAGTGTAGGAATGGATATGGTTGCACTTATGGGAACAAAGGATAAGTTCAGTCCTACTTTGTTACTGCTGTTGAGGATATAGATTTTACCTTGGACACTCTAGCACAGCATTGGCGTTTATTATTTATTCACAAAATTGGTTGCTACACTGACACCATACCTAATGCAAGTACACCAAAGGAAGGAAATGAAAAACTTGGAAATTTTTGAAGTCTTCTTGCTTATATCTGCTTCCTGTTTTCCTACTTCCTCTATTCCCACCTTGCTCTAAAGGATTACCTTTCCCATACCAGAAGGTGCAGTACTTTTGCATAGCATTCAACTGAAAGGGAGGCGCTTCTCAATGTCATTTTTGGCAACATTGAAAAGCACGCTCATCCCCCCAGTTTAATTTATTTTATATTTTGTAATTGTATCAAAAAGGCTGGAGGAAATCTTTGTCTCAGGGTCATGGCAACATTTCAGTTCGGAATGATATCAGCCTCTAGCCAAAATTGATATTGTATTTTCATGATGTCATCCTGTTCATTACATCATCCCTGATTTGCTGTCACTGTATGACTAATTGAGGGGGGGAATCAGTGCTGTGAGGAAAGAAAGAAAATGGTACAGCAGAGTGAAAACATTGGCATAAAGAAGGGGGTGGGGAAACATTCCTGCATATATTTTTTAGGAAATACCTTGGGACTCAAATCCAAATGCATTACTTTCTATCCAAAAACCAAATGGGAAGAATATCTGACGCAGCCATATTATTTCAAGGCCTCGACTTAATGCCATGAAGCTCTTCTTAAGGGAAAGGTGCTGTGGCAGAAGGAGAGGCTGCTATTTACTAAATGCCCTAGTGGAAGGAAAAGATGTGTATCAGTAAAAAGCACATGAATCCTAATGTGCTTGTGTGTTCCTTGTTAAAATACTGAATGTAAATTGCAGATTTTAAAACGTTTTTATATCTCTTCAGGTTGTAAAGAAGCTTCAGATAGAAAAGTGATGGGAAAATGTTGGGGAACGAGGAGACTAATAGGTTGAATTTACCAAAGCTCTTTCCCCCAAGAGCTGATTCATTTTTTATTTTTTTATGCACATTAGTAAACAGCAATATCAAGTAAGAATATTGTAGACAAAATTATTGAGGTAAATTAACTTTGGCATTTGTTGCATATGTAGAAATGGTACACTAATTAACTGTTTACAGGTAACTGATATCTGTCTAATTAGCATAATTACCCCTGAGGATTGTAACACTAACTGCCCTGCCTAACATATGCTTTCTTTCTGCTTCATCTACAAGTGCACATTTACCATTTATCACTTCTTTTTCTTACAGTGTGACTGTTATCATCAATTGCCCCTGTATATTAGATACTCTGCTGGTCTTTAGATCCTTTCAGCTGAATCTTTCCTTTATTTCACATGTTGCCCTTTAGTAATATAATTTTATTATCCCTATAACCGGCAACTTCATGGGGCTCCTGGCGATGTCCTGTCTGGGCACCGGCGGGTCCCACGCCCACTTAGCTTCAGCAGTACTGCAGCATCAAATGCTGCCAGACTACTCACTGAGCTCTGCCCTTTACGATTACAACATGGAAAATACATGTTGCATGCAGGTGCTTATGGATCTGGGATTTTTAAAATTATGTTTGTAGAATGACAACGTTGAAAGACGGCGTAATGAAAGCAGCGATCGAAGAGGCAACGATAATCCCGGTTCAGCCTCCAACGGGCAGCCACAGCACAGCACCCGGCAAGTGGTGGAACAAGATGATGACGACGACGATGAAGAGCTGACGCTGAAATACGGGGCAAAGCATGTGATTATGCTGTTTGCACCAGTCACGCTTTGTATGGTGGTAGTTGTTGCAACCATCAAGTCTGTCAGCTTTTATACGCGGAAGGATGGACAGCTGTATGTATTATTATTTTTCTTTTTTGCTCTGATGTCCTCTGAGATCTACCCCCTTTTGTGTTCTGCCATTACACCAGTCTTTCACAGTCATACAGTGAGCAAACAGGAAGCAGGAGACAAATGTTCCCTTGGTTGTGCTTTCTTTGGGGGGGGGGGCTTCCTCTAGCTGCTTTTCTCCCAGCCACGCTCTAAGACTAGAAATGAGCTCTACCAGAAGAAAAGCAACGGGGGGGGGGGCAGTTTTGGAGGGGAAGGATTAAGCTGCTTCTTCCTCCCACTTCTCTTCTTTAGATCATTCTGGACCCAGGTCCCACTTTAAATGACCCATATTATAATACTGTACACTGTTACATCCAGTTATACCTTCAGTGACATTCTGTGAACCAAAGGATAACTTGAGGTTTCTCATTTTATAATGACAAGCAACATTGCTCCTATTGTTGCATTCCCATGTAAAGTCAAGTTGCACCTAGTACTTTATAGATAAATAACCCAAGTTTTTGTTCTATATGCTCAAGTTCTCAGTCTTAAGAGTTTTTTTTTAGCATGGTAATCTTTTATTAACCTCACTACAAAAAGTAAGCTTTCTGACTACAACGTATTTCCTGTGTCTGCCTTTGGTTTTGTTCACAAGTGAATGAAATATTAAATTGTAATTCATTCCATATCCACTAGATGGTGTGGGCATAAAGGCATTACAGTGGAACCTTGGTTCTCGAACGGCTTAGTTGACGAACAAATCAGCTCCCGAATGCCAAAATCCCGGAAGTAAGTGTTCCGGTTTTCGAATGTTTTTCAGAAGCCAAACATCTGATGCGGCTGTTGGCTATTTTTTCTGGGGCGCCAGCACCAATTGGAAGGCGTGCCTTGGTTTTCGAACGTTTCGGGAGTTGAACTGACTTCCAGAACAGATTAAGTTCGAGAACCAAGGTTCTACTGTATTTAGAAGAATTATGGCTCAGAGTATGTACTGTATGTGCTAATGCTTGCTTATTTGTTGAACTCTCCCTAGGGTTGGTCTCTTGCGCTTAGTCAAAAACTTACCACAGTTTAAGAACACATTCATATTGCACAAACTTCACCTTTTACTTTTTATCTGTATTCTATTGCAGCATCTACACCCCATTCACGGAAGATACAGAAACAGTTGGACAAAGGGCTCTGAATTCTATTCTCAATGCTGCCATTATGATTAGCGTCATCATTATCATGACCATACTCCTGGTTGTGCTTTATAAGTACAGGTGCTATAAGGTGAGCTCAGGTTTACTCTTACTGTATCGAGGCTATTATTGAAGCCTTCAGCATGTCTGTCTCATTGTTTCTAATAGCATACCTGGAATATTTTCAGCATACAAAGAGCCAAAATAGTTGCTAAAACAGTGCCTAAGCTAAAGATCAACTGTGATAGAGCAGCACAGGATGATAATAATAAAGATCGCTGTTTTTTCGATATTTCACTATAGATAAGGATAGTTATGAATATCTAAATTGGCAACTAATGTGTATTTTTGACTTTAATTTAGTGGGCCTGTTTTCAGGGAAAGAATAAATATTGAATTAAATTAAAGCACCCTTTAAAAGCTGGGAATAATATGGAAATGTGCAAAAAAAAACAACCCCACCCCAACCTATTAGAGAATGGTTTTGTTGCATGCACTCCAATCTCTGATCGGTAAGAGACTCCAGGGGTCCCAGTGCTTACCCAGGCACTGGGTAGTTCTGGATTCAGCACACAAAGCAGGTCAAGCTGCTGTGTCTCTCCAGCTTCCTCCTCTAGCTTCAGACCAGACTTAAGACAAAGGGCTCACTCTTTACTGATGTTTTCCTTGATCTTGTACTCCTAGGATGATGTAACGTTCAGCCAGGGGGGCAAAGGCCCACGCATTTGTCTCTATAGCAGTATGGTCACTCTTGCCTTGTGTAGCTGAAGGGTGCTTCCAAGCCCAGCTAATCTTACAGAGAGACTGGCTTGACCGGTTCAGTGGTTCCCTCTGCTAGATTCCAACCTAACAGATACATCATCACAGACTTGGAAGGGACCCACAGGCATCATCCAAACCACCAGCCCAATCCTGTAACAGGTTATTTGGACCTCTTGTAGTCTTTATTTGTCCATAATGCTGGTTCTCCCTCCCTTTGTCATGGACTGCATGTACTTATGAAATGAACACATTTTACTGTGGAATATATATGTACTCCACTCTGTCAAGTATAACCATCTCCCTATGGCACGTTAAGCCAAACCTTGGCTTAGTTGCCACACACACTCAGCTAAAAAACCCCAGAAGGAGCCAATCACCTGTGACGTGAACCAGGTTCTTGTCTTATTGACCAACAAATGACAGTTTTCTTTTTTTATTAGTAGTTTAGGTGTATGTAAAAAGAAAAAGAAAAATTCCAGAAAAACGGGCTTCAATTTTCATTATTATATTCCTTGTGTATAGTAAAATTATACTGTTGTTTTTTGTGTTTTCAGGTGATCCATGGGTGGCTCATCGTTTCTTCACTCTTCTTGCTTTTCTTTTTCTCATTCATTTACTTAGGGTAAGTTTACAAGTATTTTGACCTTTAGAAATGTTAGTAAGTAAGAGGATTAGCAAATTTTTGTTGGCTTGTAAAGTCTATGCCCCTTGTAAAAAAGTAAATATTGAAGCACATCTGGAGTAAAGAATACCACGGGTGCAGCACTGCAAAGCTTTGTGTATTTTTCCTTGGACATTCCTCACAGCGAGGAACTAAGGATTCTTAATTCTCTAAGTCTTGTAGTCTGAGCTGTAGAAGAGTGTGCTTCTCAATCAAGACTAAAATAGAGATATTCAACCTTGGGTCCCTAGATATGTTGCAAGTCACATTATCAGACCATGGGTAGTCAAACTAAGGCCCAGGGGCTGGATCCGGCCCAATCGCCTTCTAAATCTGGCCCGCGGACGGCCCAGGAGTCAGCATGTTTTTATATGAGTAGAATGTGTGCTTTTATTTAAAATGCATCTCTGGGTTATTTGTGGGGCATAGGAATTCGTTCATTCCCCCCCCCCCAAAAAAAATATAGTCTGGCCTGCCACAATGTCTGAGGGACAGTGGGCCGGCCCCCTGCTGAAAAAGTTTGCTGACCCGTGTCCTAGACCATAGGCTAAGCTGGCTGGGCTTGGTAGGAACTAGGAACATTTGGAGACCCAGAGTTGAAGAACTCTTCTCTGGAACACGAGTGAATGGTGTTCAGTTATAGCGTAGAACACTTAGATGTCTCACTGTTGTGATTACTTTTCCAGTTACGGAGATTAGAAGGAGGTAAAAGGCAATAAAACAATGTGATGCACAATCGAGCCTAAAAGCATGACACCACATTTGAAATGAAACTTGAATCCTGTGTTTCTTCTAAATGAATTCCCCACCCCTAAGCTTTAAATCTAGGCTAGGAAATGAAGAAGAAACTTTGAGCTTGCTGCACAAAATGCAAACATAATTTGCAGGGTTGACGGTTGCTGTTTCTTCTCCACCATTCTTTGCGTAACAAGTTTTTCTCTTAATCTTGTGTGTGTGTCCAATAGGGAGGTTTTTAAGACTTACAACGTTGCCATGGACTACTTTACCCTAGCGCTCATGATCTGGAACTTTGGAGTGGTGGGAATGATCTGCATTCACTGGAAAGGTCCTCTCCGGCTCCAGCAAGCCTATCTCATTATGATAAGTGCTCTAATGGCCCTGGTATTTATCAAATACCTCCCTGAATGGACTGCCTGGCTCATCTTGGCAGTGATTTCAGTGTACGGTAAGATCCTTCAAACACATCTTTTACTAGGAACAACATTGACTTACTCTGCTTTTTTCCACTTTTATATTTAATGCCTAGAAAACTAGAATCAAGAATCAGACCCTTTTACATGTGTCCTTTTGAAGTCTAAGAAATCATACTGTGAGTCTGTAGAATACTTTGATTATTCTTCTTGTGTGGACTATTCCATCACAAGAACAATTTATTTTCAAAGCATTTATTTTCCCCAATCCTTTGCCCTCAAGGCAGCCTGTCTCTGGTGAAATGAGATAGGTGATGCTAATGGGAGAGAGATATCATTCTCAATACCTAAACTCAGAAGACCTCTGAAAAAGAGGGAACTAGAACTTTTCCATATTTTACTGCTTGATAGCAGCCAGTCCTAAGAAGAATCTCTTAACAAAAAATCTCATAACAAAAAAAATTGTTATGGAAAATATCTAGTAACAACAACTCTTCATAGTTTGCAGTTAATAAATTAATACCGTCTTATCTTTTATGACATACTTCCTCCTTGGTGATGCTGGACTAGATTTACCTGTGGCCTGATCCAGCATGACTTTTCTTAAGTTAAGTTGCTCTCATTCTAAAAAGAAAGAAAAGGGGGAAAGAGCAGATTTGCGCAAGCCATGTGACAAGTTTCTTCCCAAGCTTGATCTGAGGTGAGAATTGTGATGTCTTTGCAGCACTGAACAGTAGAGAACACAAAGAGCAGCCAAATTCCCCAACGACTAAAACATAAATTACTGTAGAAAAGTGTTCATTTATCACTTTAGTTAAGCGTTTAGAACAAAATCTACTTTTAAGTATAACAAACATGTCATTTTTTTTTATTTGCACTCTTGTTTCCCCCCAAGACAGCAAGGTATGATGTAAAGGGAAGGATTCCTCAGGTTTTGCCATTCATAATTTTTGAATACTTACATCAGGTTTTGGCTAATGCTAAACACCTCTAGTTTTTGAGCCAGATCACATTTAAATGTAAGCTTTACCTTTTTCAAGTGGGAACAGGAGCTTGGCAGCCTTTTGAGATATACACACAGTGTAAAACAGGTTTGTGGATGTCACATGCTTTCTCCTCAAATTGTATTTGTTCAGGAAATCCAAATGACCTTTATAAAGCGTTCTTGTTCTTCTGCATAAGATGTACAGAAACAAAGGTTGCACATAAACACAGATGTTCCGTGTCACAAGATTATGCAGATTTGACAGTACCATCATATAACACTGTCATCATTCAGATTCTGCACTCAAAATTTGTTTGTTATGCGTAAAGACAATTTATATAACTGTTATTAACATCTATGCTGAATATGAAAAGAATTGCCAGGTCACGTGGAAATACACATTTGCATCTGCGTAAGCCTAAGTGAGGATGTTTCGTTCAGGAAGAGTGGATGTTTTTCACACTATTGAATTTCAGGCACATCTGGTGTGTGTGTGTGCTGCTAAACAAAGTGATGGCATTTAATTTGGTAAAGAGTGTCTAAGTGTCTTAAAATTACATAGTTCTAGAGATAGCCATGTAATGTTCAATTTTAAAAAGAACCTGGAGAATAGGCTGTGTCATGTACATGTTGTAAAGGTAGTTTTATTCTTTGATATGTGAGCTAAAACTATTGAATGCCCAGGTGCTAACATGTTTTTGAAGCCTGCCAGAAGCAGCCACATAGGGTGGAGCAGGAATAGATTTAAGCCCCAGAGGCCACATTGAAATGGAGGACAGCCATCATTTGCTAAGTCTGCCTTGCCTCACTAGTTAAGTCAGTTAATAAAGATGCCTGAACTTTTTGGTATCCATGGAGGGAACTTAGAAATGATCAGACTGGAAAGCTCATAAACAGATACATTACTCTGGTTGCTGCATATATATTTTTTCAAATAAGACTTTATCTTCACAATTGTGAGACCTGTGAAGATTTGGTTACTGTAATATTTTGTCCACAATGTGGAGAGATATACAGGCAGTATCCTAGCACATAACCTGAAATTTTCTGTAAGACTTCTTCCTGCAGGAGCACTGAACTGCTTACTAAGCTCTTTACCTGATCTTTGACATCTGAGGCACAGTTTTTACTATGATTTATTAAATTTGTATATCACCCTTCATCCAAAGATCACAAAGCAGTTCCCAACATAAATATCCAAAAGGAGAACACAAAATATATAATAAAACAAAAACAAACCAATTATGCCCCCCCCCCCAAAAAAAACACATTTAAAAGGCAGTGGAATGTTAATCAGCAAAAGGCCTGGTTACAGAGAAACATTTTCGCCTGGTGCCTAAAGATATATAATGAAGGTGCCATGCAAACCTCCCTGGGGAGAGTATTCCACAAATGAGGAACTGTTTTTAGGACTCACCCTACTCTTTTTATGTAATTTATTTTTACTGATTTTAATATGGTATTTTTATACTGTTGCAATCCACCCTGGTGTCCTACGGTGACTGCTGAGGTGTAAGCAATCTCCACTTTTAAGAAACTGTATTGCTAAAGTTTAGTTTTTTTTCTGGACAGGAGTTTTTTCTGTGTGTGTTGACCCCAGTGTTGGTGTCTTTCAGATCTGGTTGCTGTATTGTGTCCTAAAGGACCTCTTCGTATGCTAGTTGAAACCGCTCAAGAAAGAAATGAGACTTTGTTCCCAGCACTCATTTACTCATGTAAGTATACAGAGTTGAGTTTTATATTCTGCAGCCTACTCCCAAACTATGGATATTAAAAATTCATCTGATTTTCTGCTGAAGTTGTGTGATGCTAGATGTGCAGCTGTGTTGTCGCGTTTTCATTTCTTTGGGACTCAGATCTGCTGTTGGCTCAAGAGCTTGGAACGTGTGCTGCGTAGGATGTCCCAAGATGAAAAGAACATTATGTTCTACCTTAATTAAAAATGGAAAGAGAGAAAAAGGATTTGCCCTGGTCAAAACACCTCTAATTGTTTTTAGCAGTATTAACTTACTGCATTTATATCTTTCTTCAGTGGATCCAAGGCTGGCCCTGTTTACAAGCATTTATAAAGATACAACTGAAAAATACAAAGTTCATCTTAGAAATTTGGGAGATCTCTGCCCATTGATTTGTATGTAACTTTCAAGGATTCCTTTCAAGGATTCCAGTGTTCAACATTGAAAGTAGAACATTGTTACACCCTGCAATTTCATGCAGATAGCGGTACAAATGATTTTATGGTTACGAAACTATACAAATAAAACACACGTGCCTGTCTATTTGGATTAAGTCAATCTGATTTCTTTATACTAATCTGAATGATTCTACCACGGGTGTCTACTATGCATTTGTACTGGCAAATTTCTTTTTTAAAAAAATAAATAAATAGCCTAATCATACTTCTATTTGATTTTGACATTTTGTTTCAAATAAAGATTGCATTATAGTTTTATGCAATAGAGAGCGGGTTTTTTTAATCAGCTGGACTTACGACTAGCCTCTCCAGCACTCGTTTACTCATGCAAGTGATTTAATGGTAGCTGTGCGGTTAACAAACAGAGAAAACAGCCTGGTTACTGTCGTCTTCCATTTTTTGCTATATTTATTTGTTTATTTAAAATAATTTTTATGCTTCCCTTCAAGCTCAGTAGCAGATGAAACGTCTTGCTGGCTTACAGTCTAAACACCAGGTTTACAACAGGGATTGGGAGGGGAGAAGGGTTAAACAAAACCAGTCACTGGTTCCTGAAGTTACAAATAGCATAATGGAACCCTGGAAGAAGAAAAAAACCTTAAAAATATACTTTCCTGTAATTGACGTGTAGTTAAAAAAATTAAAAACAGGTAGCAGCAGTTAATTAAGGATATCTCTGATTTTTCCAATAGCAACAATGATATGGCTGGTGAACATGGCTGAAGAAGATCCTGAATCTCAAAAGACAGCCACCAAAAACTCCACTTACGATAAACAAGGTGTGTTTTTTCATCTTTGATTAGTTTAGTTCTTTTCACAATGACTTACCGATCAACTTACAAGTGACCCTCCTTTGCTAATAAAAAGTACTTTACTCATCATGTACAAGGATTTTATGAAATTGTATTAAAGAATTTTGCTTTCTGTGATTGGTACAACTATACTGGAATGGTAGTTGGCATAATGACACATAATGTTAATTCTTCTGGAATCCCATGCTCTTTTCCTTTCATCTCCATATCTCCTGCAGACATGGAATAAAAATCCTAAATAACAGTTACAACAAGGACATAAACATAAAGTACTATTCTGTTAAAGATAGTTTTCACGATGTTTTTAGATGTCCAAAACATTGGATTCCAACTGTAAAATTAATCCTACAATGTATTTTATTATAATTATTATTTATTAAATTTGTATATTGCCCTTCATCTGAAGATCACAGAGTGGAAGTTCTGTTACATGAGCAGAGGTTGTTCTGTTCATGCAATAATTTTTTTGGATTCAGCCCATTTTCTCTTTTCAGTTACAGCAAATCAGAGCCAGAATGCAAGTAGTGAGGCAGATGATGGAGGATTCAATCCGGAATGGGTGCAGGAACGAGATCGTAGAATAGGGAATCATGAATCAACCCCTGAATCGCGACAACCTGTTCAGAATCTTCCCAGTAATTCACCAGCAAGTGATGAAGACCCAGAGGAAAGTAAGTAACGTTGCCATATAAATATATGCTCACTTTGTTGTTGTTATTTAGTCGTTTAGTCGTTTCCGACTCTTCGTGACCCCATGGACCAGAGCACTGCTTGAGTTGTATTGAATGGGATGAAAATACAGAGGCCCTCCTGTTTTCTGTTAATTGAATGTTATGATTCCAAAAACCTTGCCAAGCTGCTGATTATCCTAAAAAAATAAAGCTAACTCATACAGAAACCATAAACATAGGTTCAATTATAAGGTTGCATCATAATTAGACACATGTAACTTTATAAAAATCATTATAAGAATTTTGTAGGAGACACGAGGCACTGAAGCAATCTTCCAAGCAAGCAAACTTATCATTTTATGCACAAACTGCAAGCTCCGAGCAAATTATTTGCTTTCTAGGCAGAAAAACTGAAGTTGTCTTTTACCAGAAAGTTGTAATCAAGTAAGATGCATGATGAGTGTGCCATAATTTCAGTCAAGGATTTCCCACTTGATGATACCACTTACATGGCAGGGAGATGACTAGGAAACGTGTGGGGAGAAGCATAGAGGTATGTCGGGCTGTATTTGTAATGTTGTAGGAAGGCAATGTAGTACCTGACCACATTGTTAAGCCACTACCACTACAATTTCCCTCAGCTTCTTGGAAGCAAGGAGAACACTGAGCTTACTGTGGAGTCAGAGGCTGCAGTCTGCCTTTCTACATCATGGGTGCAGGACCTTTGGCCTCCAGATGTTGAACTGCAACGTCCATCATCCCTAGCCATTGGCCATGCTTGCTGAGGCAGATGGAGGTTATATTCATCAATATCTTGAGGGCCAAATGTCCCCCCCCTCCACCGCCTCTCCAAGTTCTACCCTATGATTCTCGGTCATCTGTTTCCACTCAGTCTGAAGCTGTACACTTAATTTGCATATGCTGATGTGGATGTTGTTGAGTGTCCATCCCCCCCCCCCGATTTCCGTTCTAGTGATGTGCACTCACTCATCTTCTTGAGAAATAAAACTTCCAAGAAATAATTTGTGTTTCTGCTTTTTCCAACTCCCTGTTTTGGTTCTTAATTGACTCAGTGGAGTTGAAATCCTGGGACTTGACCATATTTATTCAGGTCACATCTGTTTGATATGAAATAACAAGCATTTGGCACATTGCCGTAATATCGCCAAGAGAAGGGCAGCAGGAAGAACCAAAATACTTTTAGCTGCTTAAGATGGCCTTGATTTCTGGGATGAATGACAGGAGTCATTTTGTGCCATTGCTTAGTTCTTCTCCTTTTCCTCGGCAGGGGGAGTTAAGCTTGGCCTAGGGGACTTCATTTTCTACAGTGTCCTAGTCGGCAAAGCCTCGGCAACGGCCAGCGGAGACTGGAACACAACTCTAGCCTGTTTTGTAGCCATTTTAATTGTGAGTATAATATTAAGGTAGCAATGTTAACGTTCCACTCTAAGTAGCAAAGTGAAGTCATTACTACTGCATTAGGGGATTCTAGAGATCACATTTCAGAGCTCTATTCTGTGGGATTTGTTTGTCTGCCTTGCCGGTCAGGCAGCCTCATTAGCGCTTCTTAAATGTGTGTTACCTTTGTTTTGTCCCCCTCAAAAATCAGTGGATGAATTGTGATAGATTCTGAACCTGGTATGTATGTGAAGAATGTGCATACCCAATTCGAATTCTCTGCATGATGCTGAGCCACCAACACCTACCTGCCTGGTGGAAATGAGGCTTTTCAGCTTGCCACTTTGATGATCAGTTGAAAGAGCCTCTACTCCCTGCAGATTCCAAGAGCAGACGGGCTCTGCTGTTTAACTGAGGGAAGCTGAGCTCAGAATCTGCCAACAGATAATACCCGGTGGCCATATCCATGTTGGATTTTCACTCAACAAGATAAAGTGTGTGAATCATCTGTAGAACATTCAGTGCAAATAGTGCTTCTTGGAAGCAGGCAAACATAGCCTGTAGTATTTTGTGTTTGTTAGAGTTCCACTGTCTAATTTGTGTGTCCTTTTTTGTCTTTTCCTCCCCAGGGCCTGTGCCTTACCCTCTTGCTGCTTGCCATTTTTAAAAAGGCCTTACCAGCTCTTCCAATCTCTATAACCTTTGGGCTCGTTTTCTATTTTGCCACAGATAACTTGGTGCAACCTTTTATGGACCAGCTTGCGTCCCATCAGTTGTATATCTAGCACACTCAGAGTTGATCACCCATGGACGTTTGTAACGACTGTAGCAAATATGGGAGGGAGCAAAGATTTTTCCCTATTTCTTAACTGCCGCTGTGCTGGGCACTACTGGTTTCTTCTCTTTTTTCCAAAAAGGGTCTCTTAATGAAAGGGTTATAGCACATTAAGTCTTCAGCAAACTTGAGTTATACATCTTTGAAAGGACCTTATGTACAAGATACCTATGCTTTCACCAGCAACACTTCTGTTTAGCATAGTGATTCCACCTCCACCCCACTGCTGAAGAGTGCTGAGAATTGTTGTGATGCTAAAGAAAGGGAACTGGTAAATCAAACTGAGCTATCTGAACCATTTGAAGTCAGCCTGGCTCTGGAACATCAACTCTTGCATCCCGGCTTCCACTCTGGGTTACCTGGAGAACAGTAACTGGACTTTGGATGAGAAGATTTATATCTTGTCTAAAGAAAAAAAAATCATGCAAGTCATTCTGTGTGTTTTGTGTTGAATTTAAAAAATCCTAATTATCATTCTGGCACAAAACCCTGTGTGCAAATTTGCACATTTCTAGCATTCTTTGGCACAAAACACACACTTTCTGATTATGCTGCCAAGTGTTCATTGGATTCCATTTACAACAGGTTCGTCATGAGATCAGAGTTGGGGTCCTTGTTTTTGAGACATTTTTAATCCTATATTTCTCCCTGTCCCCCCATAAAAATATGCTGAATATTTAATGTCCTTTCAGCATTATAATGAACATTATAATCTATAGAAGAATGAGAGATTTGAAAAGCTGTAGAAAAGCAATGAAACACACTGCAACCAAAAACATTTATAGTTTTCTTTTCAACAGAGTGGTGAATTTTGGAATTCCATCTTGTTTTCTCAGACTTTTTTTTTTTAGCATTTCTTGGGATCATTTAGTAAAATAGGATGTGTTTATACTGTAAAAGTAAAAAAGAGTAAATATTTATTTTATAAGACTGAGGGCTGACACATAACATTTACCCCCACAGGACTGTTATGTAGCAAACTCTGTGAAAGCATACATGTGAAAAATACTACATCTGAGCTGGTCACACATGGGTTTTTGAGACAAAGTCTATATGCAAAACAAGTTCATCCTCTGGCCTACCCATTGGATAATTCCAGAAAAATTCTTGTGGTAACCACTTGTAGGGTAATTTAAAAAACAAACTTGTATTCTCCATTGGGAATCATTCCAGAAGTACTCGTATAGAAGTGCCTGCTATGTTAGGAAAAAAAGACCTAAAACCTACACAAAGGCTATATTGGCTATGTTGGCTTTCTTCTTTGATTGTCTCGACTTGAGTGCCCTTGAGAATGTCAGATGCACCAGGCTGCAACCTAGAAAGTTGAACATCTCTATTGAAATGAGATGTACCTACCTACCTAATCCTGTAACACTGAACGGCTCACAATTACCTATTGAATTCAATTTGGATAAACATTAATAATGTGGAAAAACTCACTGTGGCTCTCAGGCTGAGATAAGCCAGAGCAAGCTGTGTAAATAACAGCTTTCTGTTTCCAATATTATTTGAGGAATAGGATCTGAAATGAACTACTGATTGTCAGATGATAAGCTGTTGGTGTTTTGTTTGTATTTGTACATTGTTCCTCACTTGAACGTTCATGGGGGGGGGGGGGAGACTCTGTCAGTATGATTCCTATAGAAGGAGATTGACAAAGTCTGATCTACATCTTAGCAGAGCAGTGCAGAGAAGTCATCTTACATGTGATGTTTATCTGCAGAAAGAAAGAAACTCTAGTCAGCGCCCGCAGAAACCAGTAGAAGTCTTTACATGAATTTCAGGAGGCTCTGAGAAACTTGCTTAGAATTGACTCGCACTACTAGTTTTTCCACTGCTAAGATCAATTGCACCAAGTTTGTTAGGCCTCAGTGAAATGGGGAACCTATGTCTGTACAGGTTAGGACTATGGTGGAATGGGCTTCTGTGCCAAAAAAATAAATCCCTCCATTTAAAAAGACAACATTCCTCTTTCTGACTTGCTAGTTGTCTAACCTTCAAGTTAGAAAATTCAAGATGGAAAGTGTTTATTAACTAGTGCATCAAATACAGTAAACTTTAAATGAAGTAAACTAAGTGATCTCTTTTGGTCTTGGCTTGCACCTAGGAAGTAAAAGTTGCACAAGAGTCTGAAACAAGACCACTCACTAATTGTATCTTGTAAAATATTAAAAGAATTGACTGCATTGCTGCCGGTTTCTTAATCAGTGGCAGCAACTAACATGGTTTAGGTTTAGTAACCAAAATCAAAACTTGGACACAAGAGACGTGTGTATTTAATATAATATTCATTTGGAAAGTTGTAACCCAGGAGAGGTTGCTAGGTACTAACAGCTTCTCAGGCAGGACTAAGTCATTCAGTAATTTGAATTCACTTGAACACATTAGATTACAGTACCCTTCAAAAGACAAGACAACTGTAGTGTACTGTTTGGTTAGATATGAATATAGTTCCTTATTGAACAGGCCATCAAATTTGACCTTAACACAGAAGTCAGTGTTCTATTGCGAGCTCTGGTATCTGCAATTCTGCATGGCTCTTTTAAGGGGGATTGCTTGTAAACAGAAGTTTGAAAATTCAAAGCAAGAGTTACAGGAGTACTACTGTGAATGTGGATTTTCTCTGTCTTTTCCATATAATGGAATTTATTAATAGATTGACAACAGAAATGGGAGAGGCGTCTGTAGCATACAGTATAGTAGCATTTTAGAATGAGGCATGTAAGTTCAAGTGCCATTTAGAAATGTTGGGTTAATGCAGTTTATTCAACCTTGATGGTTACCAAACTTTTAAGGGCTGTAGTAAGCTGAAAATAGCTGAATCTTCTTGAAGTACAAAACACATCCTGGATGTCTTTGACTTGCAAGCTCTTGATATTACAGTTAGAGCAGTTGCTTTATGGTGTAGTAAAATAAGCAAATAATTGGGGTACATTACAGAGGATGATTAGAATGAAGAACATTTAAGGGTTTTTTGGTAAATTGTTTTGGCAGCTATGTGTAAAGGCCATTATCAAGAAATCTACAGTACTTGCATTTGTACAGTGGTGTGATTTTTTTAATCTCACAATATTGGTCTGTCAGTGGGAATACTGGAAATGGGGTAGAATTGAATTATTTTACACTCTAGCATTTTGTTTTTTGTTTTTTCCAAACACTGGTTTGTATATAACCTGAACTGAATGTGAATAAGTCTTTTTAAAACACGTTTCCAATTAAGATATCATTTTGATAGGTTATTGCAATTTTCCCTGTATTTATCTGATTATTAAAAATAAAGAATGCATGGATCCTATGACTTTTTCATTATTTTTGCCGAACACTTTGAATTCCAGAACAGATGAAAATCTTGATTAGCATTTATATAATGCCTTTCATATTCAGTTTTGTTTTACAACAATGTGGCTGTTCCCATCTAGAACAAGAGTTCTCCTTATCCCTAGGACTAGAGTAGAGATGTCTGAAAAACCACCAGTCACAGTTACAAAATATTGGTATATGTGGGCACAGGGGTCATCGGCTGCCAATTACTGACATTTTCTACTGATACTGAATCCATCTTCAGAAATTTCTAAATCCTTTGCCGCAGCATTTTCCTTGTGGCAATGAGTTCCTTATCGACTTTCCTTCACACAGGCATTTGCTTTGGAGGCATAGTGACGCGGCTGCTTCATTTTAGGCAGAACCTGCTGCTCCAGAGGCTCTAACTGGAGAAAGCCTTTTTATTTTCTTTACTTAAATTAGTAAATTCATTTCCCGCCCTTCATCTCCAAGGAGCCCAGGGCAGCAAACAAATCAGTTAGAAAACAATGCATTTTAAAACACACATTTAAAAAAATCAACCAAAAGCATGTAAAAAACCAACAACACTCATACCATCACAGCTAGCAATTTCAAGGCTGCCAGGAGCAGACATTGAAAGTTAATAATTGGGAGAAGCAGATGCACCACACCAGGGAAGGCATTTAACAAATTGAGGAGCTGCCACCAACGAGCCCTTGTGGGACAGCATCAACTCGACCATATAACTTTGTAAGGTAAAGGTAAAGGGACCCCTGACCATTAGGTCCAGTCGCAGAGGACTCTGGGGTTGCAGTGCTCATCTCGCTTTATTGGCCAAGGAAGCCGGCTTACCGCTTCTGGGTCATGTGGCCAGCATGACTAAGCCGCTTCTGGCGAACCAGAGCAGCGCACGGAAACGCCGTTTACCTTCCCGCTGGAGTGGTACCTATTTATCTACTTGCACTTTGACGTGCTTTTGAACTGCTAGGTTGGCAGGAGCAGGGACCGAGCAACGGGAGCTCACCCTGTCGGGGAGATTTGAACCGCCGACCTTCTGATTGGCAAGTCCTAGGCTCTGTGGTTTACTAACACTTTAAATTGGACTCGGAGGCTCGGAGGCAGCCAGTGCACTGCTTTCAGGACTAGTGCCACACGGTTCTAGCAGGCTTCCCCACACTCCAGCTCACCCGCCACATCCTGCACTTGTTGCAGCCTCAAACACCTTCTAGGGCAGCCCCATTTAGACTGCATTATGGTTCCTCTTCCCACCCCCACAGGCCACTCAAAATATTTCTACCCATCTCCTGAAATTTATTTAACTCCCTTCTTAGCCCCCTTCTCTTCACCACCAGTTGGTTTCATCTCTCCTCCCTGATCCCTTTGCATTCATTTAGTCTGCCTGTAACAGATTTTATCCCTTAGCATCTTCCTTTCTGTTCCCAGCTGGTTTGCTTATTTATATCATTAGTAATTCTTAACCTCTTATCTTGCTTTCTAATTTCTATCAACACCTCCTCTGGCCCTTACTTGAACCCACAGGAGACATGATTAAGACACGGAAACGGTTATACGAAAACGCAGAAAGGCAACTTGCATTTGAGCAAGAAAAAGTAGCCTTATTAGGACAAAATGTATATAGGTCACTGATGGGCGGAAATACTTCATGGG